ACAATAACCAAGAACAAATAAAGCTGCTACACTACTCAAATTACAATTAAGATACTTTGCAGTTAGTAGGGGTTGGTTGCACTTTTGTCATCCGTGGCTAATCCATTTTTGTGTAACCTACAGATGTTATTCGATAAATAACTAGCAGCAACAAGAGGCCTGATACATACATTAGAATTACTGTGGCAACTAGTAACAAGTTGTCCAATACAATATCATGATCACCGTTGTTGTCTTTTTGGTTCATCTTGCTTAAAATTGGTTTGTAAAATTACATAAACGGAGGTAAACCTTGATAATCCTTATTAATTTATTTATCCATTTTACGGTGGTAGTCACGGTACTAACTGCGCTATATACGAGTATTTACTTTTGTATACCGTAATACTTTAGTGGACTTCCGTGAAGTTATGCAAATAGACTACTAAAAGTACCATGACCTTATTTGTTTCTATTTTGACCTACTGTATATATTTTACCCTATTTACAGTTTAGTAAGTACTTCTTGTTAGTAAAAAGAATACACTAGGGTAAATTTATGCCATGACATTGCACAGATATTTCTACTCTTGATCGTGATGGCTCAATCATATTGCTTCATACGTCAAATCGTCATGTCTCTCACTGGTAAAATTTCAGTTTTACTCTACGTTCTTCAACCATAACAATTTCACGTTTGTGTATTTAGATACTTGTAAACAACTGGTTTGATATCTGTTTTTAGCTACTGAAAATAACATATGTGTAACACACTCCGAGAGATAATATCATTTTAAAACCGAGAATCAGGGGTAAAATTGACAATGCCGAATGAAGATGACAATAAAAGGCAGTGGAAAAGGGGCAATCCACATTCTGCATCTTTAACGGCCTAGTTCTGATACATAATGCCGCTGGTCTCTGTGATTTTTTATTTATGAAAGCCTGTACTAAAATACATAAATTGACAGTAGAAAGTAATCATATTATGGGAATCTTTCAGTCTGCAACCCTAGTCCTTCCAGAACTATGACGCCCTTAAAGAGGCCCATCAGTCTGTTTTATCCACCTTTATGAAGGCGATTAACTATCCTCAACCAGTATTTTTACTTTTAGCGCAGTTATTCATTACTTCTTGTAGTTATGGTAAGTTATTATTTCATTGCTTATTTACTATCCTGTAATGTACTGTATGACTATGTAACAGTTTTGTATAACGAATAAGCTGACCGATAAAAATGAGCACGATTGTGAATTGCGTACTGTGCACGCTATAATCCAGCCCTTAAATTAACATTTAAGTCTATCAATCTCAGTCAAACGAATCCCGTATAGCTAGCATTCAAGAGAAAATCAGTCAACAAGTCCGCTAGGTGGAATATAGTACAGCTAAATTTCTGCCCAGCTACTAATTGTAGTCATGTATTAATAGTAATCCACAACCTTTCCATTAAAAAGTGTAGTCTATATTGAACTTTATCGATGGCATATCGGGTGGAAGCCAAAACAATAGCTCGCTACAATATTTGCCATACGTTTTCTTTTAGTATCAGTATGCTTCAAGTCGTGTATTGATCAGGATGTTACTATTGCAGCTATAATTATTCTAATTAAATAAGGGGAAAAATGTAGTTTGTCAAAAATAAAGCAAAAAGGTGCTAACGTTATTGATGGTAATACCGCATCTTGCGAAAATAGATAGAGATAGTTTGGCTTGATAAAGGAATTGAAATAGACTACATCTGTTAAGGCAATGGAGGCTCTGCTTTTTATTTCTAAAACCAAAGCGGTAAAATCAGCAATGTATCTATATACGCTGTACTTGTACCAAGTGGAAGAGTACATTGTGATCATTTACAAAGCTACCGATGTGTAATCATTGCCATTCGGTTTTTACACGTCACTTACTACGAATTACTGTAGGAAAAGGTCTTCTCTAGAATTTACGATGTTTAAACTTCACTTTTCGAGCGTTTCTATTAGACTTTTCTACGTTATAAGTTAAATTGGATGATCCAGTTTAAATTAGTCTATAATAGCATTCAGAACAACACACTAATATACGAGTAATTGAACACATTAGTCCCCATCTCGGGCGCAAAGTAAATTCTGTAGAAAGCGTTGCTTTCCATCAGTATGACAGTATACGATTGTTGGTGTGGTATTGCATGCTGCATAAAATATTTGCCTTGCTTTCTGATGACTGTGTGAATTCGCCGTATAATTTCGTTCTGTTCTTAAGTTTATTAATAAATGTTATTTAATAATTAATTAATTACAGCAATTATTTGCCGAGAGGGAAGCTACTATTGCAATGTACTGTAAATTGCTGTAATATCCTTAGTGAATGAATGACGGGAGGGAATGTGGTGTTTGTTAAGAAATTTCGTTTTGGAGACCATTGAAAGAACAAAAATTAAAGCCGATTTTCCTTGACGATCAACAACCGTACAGCATGTTATACACCATAACGAGTCGTAGTATACAGTACAGTAAGATAAACTGATGTACAATTTTCCATGGAGTTGGTTTTACTTGGATGATAAAAAATGCATCATTCCGTCAAAACTATATTGGTACAGTGAGAGGGATGGCATTTTTATTTCAATCATCAAGTTACAGCGTGGATGCAAGAACTACTAAAATGATGGATGGACGTATGATAGACTTTCAATTACATCATGCTATGATAAACTGTATTTATTATGACGAGGAATGAAAACTGATTTATTATATAGCTTAGCCAGGAATGACTCAATAAAATGCCTGTGATATTGCACGCTAGCTAATACAAGACAAAATAGTGGCAGATTGATCTACTTTCAATTTTTACACACCCCATTGTTCATTCCTTACTATCGCATGTAGAAACATTTTTTGAGGTAGGTAACCAAGCTTGAAAGGGAGTAAATTGAGAAAAGGTTAAAGGCACGGTCCACCCAAAAGCCAATTTACTTAAGCGAAATTTAATGTAAAGAATATGCTAAAATGTTGTGTACATTTACAATCCGTTGATGACTTTTCCTTTTTAACATACAAAAAAAACACCATCTATTGATAACTTATGTCAATACTATTGCAAAACAATAGCCTGGACTAGACAATTGAGGTAACAATAGCTCTTGGCATGGTATGCATTGTTAACGCCCGCTCTTGTAATCAAATAAATAGATATTTTATTTATAGCAAATGATCCAAGCGTAATCTGATCTGCTATCTGCAATCTTGATTATATTCATTAAAATTGTTAGGTTATTTCAGTTTAACGACAATGATGAAAACAGCATTTTGCTAAGGAAATGACCCTGTTGAGGTTGGTGTTACAACTTAGCACCAAGTCGGAGAGGAGAGAAAGTTCCAATTGCGCTACAAATGACGTACAGAAATGTTAACTTGAATTCACTATACAGTATTCAATCCTATTCAAGATACTGTAAATAGCATAATGGATTGGAACTTATGATTAATCTTGAATTCCGTCTTGTGATGTTTTTTCATGTACTGTATTCGACACAGGTCGGAAAAGAACGTAATATTTTGAGATACTTGAAAGTTCAATTTTTTTTTTGACCGTCTTTATCATTATCACCGATGTAATGTACACAGTAGAATAGAATAAAATAGAATTGATCGTATTGTACTGTATGTACTGTACTGTACAGTATGTACAGTACTATACATTGTTATCTAAAAAGGAACGACGATAACGAGTGGCCGCTTGGATCAAGTTCTTCGTAACGAATAGCGATTGCCTTACGTTCGAATACTCTAGATGCAATATCATGTCCTAACTCAAATAGATACGATAGAACAAGAACGGAATCAGTACGCATGGACTGGCAATTACATATGGTACTTACATAATTTTTCCCCTTTCTGCTATACGTACGTATAACTATTGACCACAAACAGACAGTAAGTTGATCACGGTGAACAATGCTCAAAATAGATACTGTACAAGAAGTACAGTATTGAACATCTCTACGGACTATTATGCTACATATTGTTTTACCTCTTCTGCTACTCATTCCGAAGAAACACTGAAATCGGTTAGGATGCAATATTGATTTCAATAGATACTGTAGATGAAGTACAATATTGCTACTCATTCCGTACTGTAGAAGCAAGGAAATCCATTTTGTAACCATATCAATTTTCCTATTGCTAAAGTCTTCAATCATCCCTAAAAGGGTCTTGTTCCCAAAAATTTTGAACAGTTTGTTATTTGCATTGACATTCAGTGAATGCAGTCAGTCGTTGACTGTATTATGCTGTTTAATGATAGCGGATAGAAAAGCCATCGTCCTTCGGTTCTGTAAATTAAAATATGGACTACTAAAAAATGTACTCCATGACTAAAATCCATATCAATACAGCAAAATTTAACATCAGTCTACATACAGTTTTAATGCTATTTACACGCTATAATTGGCAAGATATATTTTGTACTTCCCCTGAATAGCTAGCTCTTTCATAACGGTTAGCTCGTTTCAAAGCTGCTTAATTCTAATCAATGGTATCGATAATTTCGTAGAAATTTTCGTCTATTTCATTATTAGTTATAAAATTAATATTATTATGTCCTACATATTTCATTAGTTGCCATAATTCGATCATTTTTTAGCTGAGACTTTAGTGTACAAAATATTGACAGTGAACAACTTTGATTTAAGTTTATTATAGTAATACAATATATTAGTTATCATGTATAATTTTATCATTGACTGATTTTTTTGATCAACAACTATTGCTATACCCGAATAAATATCGACGTTCTCAACTAATTTTCTTACTACCGAGTAACAATAACATCAAACGTTTTAGATCGTAAAATAGCTAAATACCCAAATATCTAAATCTGTAATCTGCCTATAAATGACAAAAGAGAGCAAGGCATAATGTTATAAAAACGTATTATCAGGCTAAAGCTATTTTTAAATACTGGGATGATAATGTAAAGGATACTCTTGATGATGTTGAAAATTGAAAGCCAATTTTTTAATGATAATGTTTTTTAGAGTCGAAAGCTGTTATTAAAAGACATCAATGAACATATTACATGTGGTTTGTGCAAAGGATATCTTGTAGATGCCTCTACGATCACGGAATGCCTGCATACATGTAAGTTCGATAACTCTTGCAGCTGTTCTCGAAACTACCAATAAAGACTATCCTTTACATATTTTTAATTATGAAAAACATTTTACAGCAACAACTAATGCATACAGCCAACATTTGCTTGTAATTGCTGCTCAATATAGATTTATCAATGATAACGTAGTTAGATTAACTTAATATTTCATATGCGATGCTGTAATAATATCAGAGAAGATGTGGTTTACATCGATTTTTTTTAAAGTTAACGAAACATTTACCACCTGCTATGCTAACTAATGATTCGCATAGATTGCAAAAGCTGCCTAGTAAGATATGTACAAGATAGTAACCGTTGTCCTACCTGCGATATTGTTATTCATGAAACTCAGCCATTGTATAATATAAGGTTTGTTGTCCTAGTTATGAATTTACCGATTATTGTTTTAAGAATATACCATTATAAACTCTATTCTGCTGGCCTTGTCCTGTCATTATCAACTAGTTGTATGTAAAATGAATTATATACATGCATTCATAGTGATAATATGCTCTTAATCTTGAAGTTATTGATGATGAAAGTTATTGTTGCTCTTGTTGTATGACTTTCAGGATGGATAGAACAATGCAAGATATCGTTGATAAATTCGTTCCTTGGTTAAAAGAAGGTATACTGCGTTCAATTTCGGTATCCATTATACTTTAATTTTTAAATTCATAAATCATCAGGGTTATTTTGAATGTAATACCCTGCGATAACTGAAGAAAGTATAACGTCGCTATAGCAATTTTGCGTAGCACAGCATAAAGCTATAGTTATCAATAATGCTATGTACGGTTAAAAAATAGCAACTATTATTTTCTTATTCAGCAAGAACTAATTCAATTCTTATTATCTTGCTATTAGAAAATGATTTCGGCCAATAAATAAGTTAAAAGTTAACTTTTGTCAACACAAATAAATTCTTGAATGTTTTTGAACCCATTTTACTAACTTATACTTATGTTCATCAATAATTTAACACATTTTATTCATTGATTAATCTTAATCCTTTTGTGAATTAGCGGAGAGGGAAAGATTGAATAAATTTTATATTGACCATGGATTGCAAAACCCTTTCACAAGTATGTAAAGTATTATTTGCTATAACCTAGTGTATATTTACCCTAATCATAATTGTATTTTCTTTTAACTATGTTTTATGTCGGTTTGTAAAGCACTAACAAAGCAAGATAAGTATAGAGATGATAGGCAGCGAGAGAATATAGAAAAACGTCATGATTACGATTATCATCGATCTGATGAGCAAATTGCTATATGTTTTCGGTACATAGCTTCACTGCTTTACTTCAAAACATCTATGAATTTTTCATTACAGTTGTACCAAACTAATATTCTAACGCTAATTAGGTGTTTAGAAGACCAAGATAAAAGTTTGCTTACCCCTATAAAGGTAGAAAAATTTGATCAGTGGAAGATGTGCAGACTCTTTTAGCCGAGTGCTAATGGAGTTTAGAATCTACAAGCTCGATAATTAACAATACCTTGCAAGATTCTATAACGACTTTCTTTTGTTAATCTACTTATTATTCTATAGTCTTTAGAAAGAAATTTTATTTTGTGTTCATCGCAAATAACTATCCGACATTTGAAGAAATTTTTAATTAAAAAATTATGTCTTCCATCCTTAGATAATGTAAGGTCGTGTTATTAACGCAAAGTCTTTCTTTTTCATAAGTTGATCATTTTTGTAGTATAATTTTGTTATAGTATTTCACATTTTTATTAAAATAGATAATCATAACTTGTAATGGTGTCAGCGTAGGACAAAGTCATAGTATGCAGTTTGTCCGATTAACTCATTGGCTTAAGGTGAGATTTAGATGTGGAGATTAGAATTCATAGTATATGTTGTCGTATCGCTAGTATATTAATTTTTTGTTACCATGAAGTTTTTTTATATTTATAGCATATTGATTTTTGGTGTTGTAAAAAATTTTTGTTTTTTTCTACGCGCTTATTTATCAGGAGCCTCCGGTTGTTCTAAATTATACGTGTATCTAGGAGAGTTATGAATACTAGCTGTGACCGATTATTTCATCAATGTCTACAAAATTTATACAGATCTAATTACTGGTAATATCCGATCGTAATATAGTTTAAGAGCGTAGAATGTGTAGTATTCATACCATTTACCCATATGTATTCACTAGAATAATTTCGCAAGACGACCAAACTAACTTACTTATAATTTTGATATGTATAAAATCTTTCTTGCGATTGGAAATTTCGATTTGCCTTACTGACTGCGTTCCAATTTTACTTACTTTATTGATTTAAAATCAATACTTGTAACATCAATTAATTGTACCAAAATTAATTTCTATATAAATTCTACAATTATCGCTGTTATATGCATGTCAATGACTGAATTATCCATTGTACAATAGAATAAGGTATGAACATATACGACAATGATTGAAATTCTAATAACGGATTAGATTTGACTGTAATTAACTATTCGTCCAAGTCGTTACATTTATTATGGACTGCATTTATTTTGTTAACGGTAATAAGTTTGTTTTATTATTCTGTTTAATGGCTGTTCTTGTTGTATATTGTTTTCGTTACGCTGTATGGATGTTACAGCAATGGTTGAATGATACAAACACCTGTTAGAAGAGCAATAAATGCCGTTTTACAGCATCAATCATTTATTGCTACTGATTATACATGCTATAGTATTTTCTAAATTACATTATTGTAGCACATTCCAATACGGAATAAGCTTCGATCCGAATTGTTTGTTTGATAATGGGTGCATTGATAGAGCGTAGCTTGAGTAATTTCAGTTCCGAAACTGATAAATTCTCTCGTTTTCTGTATAGAATTGTAATTCGTAGTAGATATACTGGTAAGTCTACACAAGATTCGTTGCATGGCAAAAGTTAATATATATATATATTCGTAAGACAACATAGAGACATTTACTTTTGAAAAAGAATAATAATTATAACTAAGTGCAATTATGCCGGTGATGGGCTTTATACTCGTTGAATGTTCGATATCATTTGCATGAAGAGTACGAAGTACTATTAACACTTTAATCAATACAAGAATCAATATGGTCAAGATTGCTAGTAAATAGAGTATGTATGAATATCAGTGCAAGATGAATTTACAAGATGTGTCTTCTGAAGTGAAAGAATTGCTCTAGCTAATGACGTTTAAGGAACTAACAGCATCATACTGTACATATACCGGGTATGCATGGATATTTCTGATTTTGAGTTGATGGCCATAAAATCGAGTCCAAATTTTACTGTACGAGTGTATATCGTGCTTCATTGTAAGACTAGCTATACTGTAGGTCTGTACCTTTACTAAATATCGAAAGCCACATAGCAAGCCAGTAAATTATACAGCAGTAATATGCATTGAGTTCATACATACACCACTACAAGCGTAACCGTAGATACCCAAGTGTAGGAACTTGTACAGTATGTAAACGGGGTTTTCACTCCTCAGGTGCCCCCCTTAGGGCAAATTACTTTCTTTATGTTCTTTATGTTCAAAACCATAGCGTAATGTTACCGTTACGGTAGGCAAGCGATTAAGTAATTATGACTACTATAGCAATCCAAATGCCTTGCACGTCTAAAGAGTTTTTTACTAGATACAACAGACTATTTTTAATAGTAGTACACCGAAACGGCTAGATATTTCTTTCGTCTACACGATACATTGGCCCTCGTTATTCATAATTCATGATTTTCACGTTAAATTACCGTTAAAAAATTGTGACGTCATATTCATTATGGTATTTGGAGCATCAGCTGTTGGCAATGGCCCTGTGGCCCAATGGATAAGGCATCTGACTACGAATCAGGGGATTCCAGGTTCGAGTCCTGGCAGGGTCGGTTTTTTTAGAGTTTTTTTTTAGACCTTTTACCTGACCATTACAAGACCCATTACAAGTATGAATAATGCACAGAAGACACCAATTCTGTGCTCCGTGATAGAGGTTGGATCTTGCAAATTTGCAACTGTAGAGGAAAAAAACAGTATCGTAGTCTCTAAAGCTAAATACTTTATTTTTTTCGAGAGAGTAGTAGAATGAAACGGAATGAAAAGCGACTTCTAAGGTACATGACCTGATACCCTTCAAAAAATTATCTGTCGAAATCGTGGGACTGTAAGTCTGTAACTATGAACAGTCTAGCAAACTAGTAGTTGTTTATCAATTTAGCTGTCGTAAAGTGGTCCAACAGTGCTGGTTATTACTGTACTGTACACTTGTAACCGTGCCAAGGGACTTGTACAGTATATAAATTGAAAGATTTTACTTTGAACTTAAAAGTTTATGGTGACATCATTTTTGCTAACGATTGGAACTCTGTATAGTTCTGCTACATTTACGCCTTTGGCCGCAATGCACTTTTGACTGCAATGTAGATTTGTACAGATAGCCCACTCCAACTTACGAGCAAAAAGGATATCGCCATAATGAATTTGATTTACAATGCTGTACTGTACAGTACTGTTAATCTGTGCAGCATTCGTACTGGTGTGTGATACTGTACGACCCGCGGCGCACACGATACTGGACTGTAGTATCGTACCGCACCGCCGCTACCATGACTTGACTTACTACTGTACACTGTACACTGTACAAAAAGAAGAGAAAACGCTGGTGCTGTACCGTGCAGTATAGTACTTAGGCCCGAGAAAGGTTCGGTTCGGTCCAATACTTTTATGATCTACAGTATATTAGTACTGTACAGTTACAGTGTACAGTACGCAGTATAGAGTACTGTACTGTAGTACAGTACAGTATTAACCAGGGTAGGAAAAAGGATTGTGGAAAAATTACCAGAGTAGTGTGAAGAAGCGTTTGGGTAGAGTAGTTCCAACACCAAAAATCCTTCACGATTTCATTTATGAAGCAATGGATCGCAATACCATAGAAGGGAATAGTTCACCACAACTATCGACTTTTCAGTCTCAACCTGGAGTTGCAGGAGCGACAATTTCTTCGATAACCCATTCGGCTATTGGGCTATTACAGCATGATGCGTCTGGTAAAGGATTATATGTTGTAGAAGCACCGCAACAACATGCTTACACAATATTTAACGGCGATCAACGATTTGTTGCTGGTAATGTGGATTTCAATCCCAACTCTGCTGTTACCACAACAGGAAATAATGTTCACCAAATTGCTTTGGTAGGTCAATCTTTGTTGTTCTTTTTTTGTTTCCTAGTCACTTCACTTGTAGAATTGTAATTATTGCTGGCATCTTTGTAGTGCTTTAGTAAAAGCGATCTTTTTGCAATGTTGTTCTTAAAGCGGGAAAAAATTGCTTGAATAATATTGATCTCATGTTATGGAGTGTTGTGGTCGCTATAGTTGGTCTAATATGGTCGATACCTATAGGATTGAGACGGGACTCTATTATTTTTAGATTGTGTACGCTCGACTGAGAATAGTCTATAGCACTGCAGATACTGGTAGACTTTCTCAACATCAACATTGACAAATTGCAGATTGGATGAATTTTTCCCCTCAACTTTATTGATTGTATTGCATTCATGAATCTCCTTGCATACAGTGCTGTACGTATCGAGTTCGTTTTATGCGTGCGAATGGATGAGGTCTAAATTTCGTCTAATTGATGCAATAACAACCATTCTATCGAATATACATTGGGTGAACTTTGAGAATGGGAGAACTACCATTACTTATTGATATTGGTCATAAAAAATGCATACTGCTTAGAATATGTAGTAAGTACAGTAAAACATGGCAAGTCCGGTGGTCTCTATTTTCTTTGAGAGGATTGTCCACCGGACATTACACAACTCCAACTCTTCACTGTATAGTACAGTAACGTTTTATGCCGCGATAGCACAGTGGTTGCGGTCAATTGTGTTAGTCATAAAGGACCGACTGTGCACTTTCTGTGGAACATCATGCAAAACAAGCGATCACCATACTCTCCCTACCGTTCATTCGGTGTAGTCCGCGATATAGACCAGGGTTATAAAGCGAAACCCCTCTCTCCATGGCTAGCCTATGAGTGTGGTGTAGCTAGACCGGGAACGGTTCGGTTCGGTTCAATACCTTGATGATCTATATCGCGCAGCCTTTACTACAGTACTGTACTGTAGGCTACAGTACGTACGGTAGCAAAACAGTAGATACTGTATCATGTCCATGCTAACTGTAGTTGCTATGGATTTCTTGTCCAACGTCTAACCTGGCTAAGCCAAGTTGTTAAGCTACCTAGTTTGCAATAGTGTTTACTACTCTTCCAGACTGTTAAATAAAGTGATAACAGTCTAAATATTATGTCAATACCAATGCCTGTACTTACGTATCTAATATCCAACGTTGATCGGTCAAGCCATTTCACTAGCTAGTTCAAACGAATCTATAAAGATGAAAGAGGGTGCTTCAATAATGCTCTTTTCTGCAAGGATGAGTAGTTAATTAAAGTGATAACAGTCTAGATATTATGTCAATACCAATTACTGTACTTAGGTATCTAATATCCAACGCTGATCGGTCAAGTCATTTCACTAGCTAGTTCAAACGAATCAATAAAGATGAAAGAGGGTGTTTCAATAATGCTCTTTTCTGCAAGGACGAGTAGTTGGGCTACTTGGATCAAATAGCAACAGAGCAAATTATGTCAATACTAATGCCAACTAATGTACTTACGTATTGAACGTCCAATGCTGATAGACCAAGCCACTTCACTATCTTGTTCAATAATTCAAACTGATGAATAAAGATTAAAGAGTATGTTTTCAATAATACTCTTTTCTGCTGTGATGAGTAGTCAGCGACTTGGATCATGGAACAACAGTCTAGATTACCAACTATTGTACTTACATATCTAACTTCTAACGCTAGTAGCTACTTCAAAACTGATGAATAATGCATAACCAGTGTATTTTCAATAATGCTCTATACCGCAGTGATGAGTAATGATGAGCTGCTTACAATTGAAACACGATGAACGATATCATTGTTTGTAGCCCGGATGCCAATACCAACTACCGTACTTGGTATGCATTTCTTTCTAACGTATCCAACATTGATAGGCCAAGCCACTTAATTAGCTAGTGCAGACTGCTTTCCGTATTGCTCTTTTGGGCTGTGGAATAGAGTATGTTTCCTATGCTACTCTTTAATATGATGATGAGTGGTGACGTGCTTAGATCAAGTAATTACTTTCTAGATACGATGTCAATACCAATGCTAACTACTGTACTTGGTATGCATTTCTTTTCAGCCTATAGTAGTATCACTTGTAGGTATGCAATGAGTCGTTTTGAATGGCTTGAAAGATCTTTGATGCCATTAAAATGCCCTGAATATAAATACCTTATTTATAGTTTAAGTAGCATTATGTTGCCCTTTATCGTAAAAGAATAACCCTGTAAAAATATTTAGCAAAAGAATAGAGTCCTATAATCGAAATATTACAGTAATACCATGTTGGTTGAATATGTCTTACTTACCATAGAATTGATCATAGTTGGAGACCCGGTAGTATATACGAATTTTATAGCTAGTTATTACAATATCACTGGAAGCTACAATATTACTCTTCATGAAGTATCCATTGAGCAAGGATATATATTTGTAGGATACATTCTTAGGATAAAAATCGATCCAAAGTGTGACAATATCCGCTTGATAGTGAATGTCTTGCGGAAAGCAGGACTGATCATACGTAGTAAACACAAGTTGTATAGCTAGCGATTATAAATATTTAAGCATTTAAAGTATCCATTTAGCACATTATATCATTGTACACTGCGTCGTTACCGTAAGCAATCATAAATTATTCATTGACCAAGGTTGTGTATGAATAGGGTACCAATTTACAGTGGGACTCGATCCAGTGTATGGCAAGTTAATACCTTGTAATTGTAGCCTAGAAGAACTACTGTACTTTCATATGGCTAGCCTATCTGCTGCGTATATGAATATACTGAGTAATTTCTAGATAAGCTGCAGTTGCACAATTGCAAGACTAAGCTGCTTCATGTGAAGAACTTTGTAATTATTAGAGTTGTGTTATCACTACGGCTCTGGGCGAGCTTACTTAGTTATCATACAAAAAATGAAATAGAAATGAATCATACTATAAATAGAAGAGTTTCGACGACAGTTATATCATGAATGTTGCGCTTTATTAAGACTACACTATAACGTTATAGGGCATACGTTGTGGTACTCCACTGCATTCTATATGACTATGCTTGCCGTTATGTGCGCCAGATGATGATGATGTATTATAATTCTATACAGATGAATGGACAAAGTCTTCCTCATAATCAGCGTGTACCCGTTCAAGTTGAAGCTATGGAGGAACCGCTGTATGTAAACGCAAAACAATACCACAGAATTTTAAAGCGAAGGCAAGCTCGCTCAAGAATGGAAAGTGAGGGAAGATTAGCAAAGAATCGAAAAGTATGTTAAATTTGGATAGTAATTAGTAGTTCATACCATTGCAATTAGATGATACATTCTCTGACTTGTTTTCGCTCTAGGCACGTTACTTTCCTAATGAATAGAGTAATAGTATACCAACTTTATTATAGTATATACTCTTACTGGTATATAATTTTGACACCTTTATTGATTGATTGATTATATTACTTGTTTGGATTCATTTAGAAATATCTTCATGAGTCTCGACATAAGCATGCTTGTCGCCGGCGACGAAGTAACGGTGGTAGATTCATAACTAAAGAAGAATCGGAGAAAATGGTCTCAGATAGCGATCTTAGTAGCGATCAAATAGGACAGCGAGGCGATGATATGTCTAATCCAGATAGTATTAACAATAAATCTTCACATTCAAATAGCGTTGGACAAGGCGAAAATAGCAACGGCATCGAGAAATCGTAATACTGTGCCAAATTAGGTTTAAGATTATTATGATTAGAATTTGGTATGCTTTTACTGACTGAATTTAAAGTATCAGTTATCCCACTATGGTATCGTCTCACAAGAAGCTGTTTTAGATTGCTTGTGCATAATAAATCTTTTCAAGTTAAATATATACTTAATTTATAACCATATACTGTACAAACAATACCAGGATTAGGACTAAAGTAACAATTAGTACATACTATTTGTAAATCGATGGCTGTTACGGATTATTTCTTTACATTTGTATCTTGTCATTTTCATTGGGAAATAGCAAGCTATTTTGCTGCCCATGTTATAGTATTCGGCAATAGTGCAGCTATCATATTAATAAGTTAGAAGAATAGTATCAGATCATATTGACCAATCGATTGAGTTATTGCCATGTAAGATTTTGGGCTTTTCCGGAAAGATTATTTTATCTGTAAGGTTGATTCTTAATAGATAGATTTATATATTATTTGCACTACAAATACGGATTCGCCTTGTTGCAGTAATCTCGGTATGATGTATATTATTAGCTGACCATATTGCGCTAACCTGTGAAAGAAGTTGCTATTGTGTTACGCCGTGAGCTATGGACCTAGCTTATGGTGTAGGTACAATGAAAATCACTAAGATGTGGGGCAGTTATTAATTTGTGAATAGCAACAGCAAGGAATGTGCCCATTTAGCTGGTCAATTATTTGTATTGACTTATTACGTAGATATTGTTGTAGAAGTTACATGTTAGCTTTTGATCAATTTTATATGTAAATGTCTACATTTGCTAAGTATTATTTTAACTTAATTTTTACTGTACACAGAATTGACACTGACCTGAATAAAGTAACGTCTCTAAAAATATGTAATCGATTGAAGCATTGCTAAAACCCAAGCGTGTTATTCTATTTTAGCTAGGTATAAAAGTTTGTGGTGTACGTACAGTATTATATTGCAAATTGACTCTTTTAAATAACGAAGCTCGTTTCCCATTCAGATAGTGTAAAAGTTATTTAGACTACTGTATCTACGGTAGTATCTAGTACATTATTTGATTTATTATAGCTTAGTTTAGAGACTATCAGACTTGAGTATAACTGTGCTAAAAAGGTGTGTTTATCGTGCTAATGTTTAATATCAGGCATGAGAGCATTTCATTATTGTTAAGATCGCACTATTGCAATAGTGCGATTAGAAATGGGTAGTGTACATGTTACAATGCCAGTTAACGTAACAAGTTCAACAATACAGGCTATTCAAAATTTTTATAGAAAGAAATTTATATGTATTCCTTATTATGGTACAACAAAAAATCAGTTTATACATTTAGAATGTAATATATTGTAAATCAAGATTTTTGATTTATAATATTATACTAAATCCATTAAAATATCCTCCTTGCTAGGGAAATTGAGGTCTGCAATGAATTACGGTACTTTAGGTTAAATTATAGGATAAAGTTGAAATACGCACATAGGCATAAATTGGACGCTATCTATCTTTAGGAATTCAGAGTAATTATAGTACAATTATTACGGTACACCTTTTAATTCTCTATTAAATGGTACAGAACTACATTGTTATTTAACAGTATCATTGTAGCTTAATATCTGCAATAACTTAGTCAAAGGCAGGTAAATATTCGATAATGCCTTTACATCAAGTGGTAAGATTGCTTAATTTTTTTCAGTAAAGAGTAATAAATAGGGTAGTCGTATAGTAATAATTGTTCAGTACAGTATATACCGGCTACGTTTATACAAAGAATATTTAGTTAACTTTCGACAAGACTAGCACGGGCTACTTTTGCCGTAATCTTCCTTGGTTTTATAGATGGAGTTGCGGTAGTCTGTATAGGCGATGGCACAGTAGGCGTAGAATCCTGCAAGCCATCGTCGATAGGTTTTTCACAGACCTTTTCTATTTTATCTGTATCTTCCAGTTCAAAATTTTGCAGTTCTTTATTTAATTCGTCCATTTCTGATTGATTTAGTGAATGATCTATGGCGAATATAGTGGTATAGGAAGTTCAGAGTGAAGTTCAATTGTGATAACAGAAATACTGCTATACAAGTGATGGATGAGTAACACCATTTCATGTAAACAGAAATCTAGCCATGAAAGAAAAATACCTCCAGTAATACTATCGTTCATCTCTTGGATATCATCCATTGCCTAGAATGAAATAAAGTCACAGTCTATTGAGCACTAGGTGGTATTACTTTGTAAGAAGTAAGCTATAATACTCACAATATCGAAATCGGTTAGAATTTTTGCAATGTTTTCGCTAGACAAATCTTCATTTTTTGTTGTTATGCGATTTAGAGCTTTTGTAGTAATTTCGTATACTTTCAATATCTATGGAATAAATACGTTTCATATTGAATAATAGTGCAATTATGAAATAGTACGGACAGATTGCAGTTTACATTGTACTAAAGAATGATATGAAGTTGATTATAATTAAATATACCCGTATATAATTAATTATGTAAGAAATTTACCTGGCCATTTGAAATGGCATCATCAATAAGTTGTAAATGCATGGATAAATTTTGATAATTCAGTTCACACTTGTGGACATTTTGTTGATGTCGCTTACTAGTTGATAACGACGCTCTAGCCTAAGTAAAACAATATACGCGTAGATAGACTAAAGTGAAGACATTGAAAACCAGGACTATTGGATAACACTAAGTTGTCTTACGGCTAGGTGTAAACAAGTATATCTATCCTATTATATAGTATTGACGAATTGCTTTTTGTACCGAGTCCTTCATGTTATCTTTCCAATATTTTAAAGCCCTTTCTTTATGGCTGTAAAAGTAGAAATTGAAGATTATCTACAGGATAGTGTCAGGAAATTGACTAGCATGCGTTTTCATTTATAATTACAGTATATATTAAAATTGTCATTAAATGGCTAAATTTATAGGTCAAGTCTACTACCATCAATTTCTATTTGCTTATCATAGTTGTATAGAGCTAACTCGGGCAAGAAATGCAACTGATAGTTTGTTGTAGTATCGTAATTATTCTGACCTTTTCATAAGCTGGCTGTGATGGTCGATTTTTGTTTGCAATATAGCCATGAATGCTTTAATTCTGCAGTAGAGACGAACAGAGACAATTTACCGATATCAAGCATGGTGGAAGTGTACACAGATTATAGTATCATGGAAAGCTTAAGAGTCCCGATCATTTGACTTACTGTCCAATAGCCATGATTGCTTCCTTTGCATCGCAAGTCAAGGTATCATGTTTTTGACAAAATTGAATAGTCTATGTGCAAAATAGAAGGAAACCATTTTTTTAAATCATTGGTATAGGCTTTGTAAATGAATAAAATTAAGAATGAGTTATTGTGAACCTTGACGGAATTATTAACAAGGCTTATGGTACAGTAATTTTCATTTTGTAGCCAGGTTAAAATGGATTCAATTTCCGCATCAGAGTATCTTTTTAAAGATTGATAATTTTTGAGCTGGATCCAAGGTACAATATAATTGAAGAGTTCATCCTTGTATCGTTGATTATTTTCATCCACAACTGACATCGCTACGTCCTAATCATTTAGCAGAAAAGGGTAGAATTACAAATTAGTCATTGCATGTATGATATAGACATTGATTGGAAAATGCTATTTTACGCTGGTAGTACATCCAAATTGAAGCATTTTATTGGTTGTTTGAAAGTATTCAAGAAGTAACTCAGACGTGATCAAATTAGACATGTTGATTATTAATACAGTATTTGTGTTTGGCGGTTTGCAAGAAGACAAGCTTGTAGAATGCTTGTAGAATCTGTGCAACATTTTTACCGTACTGCATCCATGCATGAATTAAAGTAGGGCTTGTTAACATCAATAAAAGGCTAGCTAGTAATGTGGAATTGGAAAGAAAAGTGGTTACTATTTTATTCAACCTTGATTACTGGTAGTACAATCCATTGATTTGTAGTGGAAGGAGGTCCGATAAAATAGTTTTGAAACCAAGTGACGGATTTTTTCAAGTATCGTATCCACATGGAAGAGGATTGAAATTCGCTAGTAGGAATGAGTTGATTACTACTCAGCATATGATCTATGATTAAATTTAGGCCAAGTGGTTGACGACCATTTCTAGTCAGTATACTTTTAAGTTGATTTCTATTCATGTCAATATGATGATGATGTTGGCAATAACGCAGAATACATTGCTTCCAAAAGTTCATTTTACTATCCCAATGAGCACAATTAACCTCTCGATTGCTTGGAAATGCAGACATCATAAAGTTCATTCTTTCATCATCAAACCATTCAAGTGGTCTATCAACATTATGCGTATCGCTATCCGTAGTAGCCATTTCTTTTCCCTTATGATTTACGTCTTGAATTCAGAATGGATTGATTGATTGTAGATTAATTCTTTGCAAAGCATTTCATTTGGATGCCCAGGTTATCCTTCCTTACAACTGATGATAACATCTTATGGCCATATTCAATACAAGATTGCGTATGCCAACGCTTGAACAGGATTGATGTTACTCTAGTAAGCAGTATGATAGCAATAAGCAAGCTGAAGATATTGAGTTAGCATGGATAAGAAGCACCAAGATGAACGATGATGGAGAGCAGTTGTTTGCTAGGCTTTGCAGATGAGCTCATTTCTGCAGCATTTATTGCTATGCTATGTTGCATACAGTAGTGTAGCAGTCATAGAGATGGCTGTACAACTTGGCAAAGCTCTTGATGTTGTAGTCTACCTCTGTCAAGTGTCTTGTCAACAACGTACCGTAGCCTACAGTGTACAGTACAGTACTGTAGTTAGGCTGCACTGTACACTGTAGCCCAAGTGACTTGCATAACGGTAACTTGAAATGACGGGTGACCTTTGCTGCAAGTCATGCGTCCAGTACTGTAGAGCAAGTCATAGAGCGACCGTGGCAGTTGTGAAAACAGACAGACATAATACAGACACTAGGTAAGGTACTACAGTGGATCTCCAGTAAGATCAGTAGGCAGCAGTGAATTTGCGTTTTCACTTCATTGCAAGATTGTGATCGTACAGCACAGGTAAAGAGTCAGTTGTCAGTTGTAGTAGTCCATTCATTAGCAGTTATTGGACAGTATTGAGCAATGCATGGATGCTTGAGTGTACAGTGTACAGTCCAGACAGGACAGTACTGTAGCATGGACTCGTACTGTCCATGGACATGGGACAGTCTTGATACAGGCACGATAGCTTACTTCAGTTGGCACATTGGAGCCATAAAGAGCCATTGAAAGGAGAGTCATACATGATACAGTCAGTCGGTACACTCCACTGTTGACTGGGTATAGTATGAGCAGCAATGTGCTTCACCTATGCCCTGTCAACGCGTACAGGCTGAAGCGGCGAAAGAGTCAATGCACAACGGAGAGTCATGACACAGACAGTTCAACCTATCCCCTAGTGTAGCCGCGTACAGGTGAAGCGGGTCACGAGTCATCCAGCGCACCGTCGTGATACAGACAGTTGACCGTATTGTGGAGAGTGTAACGGCGTACAGGTGAAGCGGCTAAGCTCATTTCAGCCATGCTGGGCTGTACCGTACAGTGGTGTCTATCGACGATACTAGACACGGTCAGGCTAAAGCCGGTAGTAAACCATTGAAACCGAGAGTCATGATACAGGTAGTAGGGTACTTGAGTAGAAAGCCATGTAGAAGAGGCAATACGCATGCGTACAGTCTCGAAAGGCGGTCAACAGCCATCAAAGAGACAGTGCGCATGCGTGAAGCCTTGAAAGACGGTCAACAGAGACTGGAGAGGACAGAACTGCGCATGACTGCATGGGGAGGCAAGTGTCTTTCACAAACCAGTAATCATTGCTCCACTGTATTGTACAGTAGTAAGCCAGCTATACTAAATGATACTAGTGATCAGGCATGATCGCGAGTATCATACGTTGGTTCTTCTTGCTCGCTCTCTCTCTCTTCATGGTAGAACTCCGCCATGGCCAATTCGTCGGCAGATTCCTCCTCGTTAGACCAATTATTCGCTCAATTAAAACGTTTTGCTGATGAAGGAGACTATAATAAAGCTGATCCTGTCATTAAAAAGAGTAAGTCAATGATGAGGCTATGTTCGCGTTTCAATATTGAGAATGATTGCCTGTCAAAATGGATTCTTCATCAATCGCAAGCACTGGCAGTGCGTAGCAGAACTGGCGTTACTCTTCTTCTTCTAGTCTCCATCTTACATATTCAATGGAGATAGAAAATACCATCCAAAACTACATTACCCATGGCAATAGTCGACATCGATACACCATTCATCATCAGTAGTAACTCAAGTCAAAACAATCTCTTACCATTTGTTCCACAAATAATGACTACCTCCCCATTCTTCTTCTACTCTCCAATACTATATACAAAACTAGACTATCCATGGCAATAGTCGACATCGATACACCATTCATCATCAGTAGTAACTCAAGTCTAAACAATCTTTTACCATCAAAACTAGACTATCCATGGCAATAGTCGACATCGATACACCATTCATCATCAGTAGTAACTCAAGTCAAAACAATCTCTTACCATTTGTTCCACAAGTAATAACTACCTCCCCATTCCTCTTCTACTCTCCAATACTATATACAAAACTAGGCTATCCATAGCAATAGTCGACATCGATACACCATTCATCATCAGTAGTAACTCAAGTCTAAACAATCTTTTACCATCAAAACTAGACTATCCATGGCAAATAATCGACATCGATACACTATTCACCATCAGTAGTAACTCAAGTCAAAACAGTCTCTTACCATTTGTTCCACAGGTAATGACTACCTCCCCATTCTTCTTCTACTCTCCAATACTATATACAAAACTAGACTATCCATGGCAATAGTCGACATCGATACACCATTCATCATCAGTAATAGCTCAAGTCAAAACAATCTCTTGCTTGGGTTAGACGAGTAAGTACTCCCAATGGATTCTTCATGGATAGCAACAACCGTCTACAAGCTAATCTGACGTATTCAATAGGGGATCGAAAAGCGATACAAGACTATACTCTTCATGGCAACAATCTTCATACAGATTGCATTCATCATCGGTAGTAACTAAAGTGAAAACAATCACTTGCCATGGCTTAAACGAGTAATTAGTACTCCAAATGCATTCTTCATGGATAGCAACAATCGTCTAGACGAAAGGACGGCACTCTTCTCCTTGTATACTTACAGTCTTTACGAGTACATCTGACGTATGAAATGGACTTGTTCAATAGGGCATCCAAATACTATACGAGACTATACTTGAAATAGGAATAGCCTACATACTGTACAGATAGCATTCATGATCGGTTGTAACTAAAGTGAAAACAGTCTCTTGCCATGGCTTAAACGAGTAATTCGCACTCCAAAATGCATTCTTCATCAATAACAACAACCGTATCGAACCTAATCTTACGTATTCAAGGGACTTATTCAACAGGGCATCCAAATACTATACCAATAAATAACATGCATTAAATGAACAAATGATCGTAAAAATGATATGTTACGACTAATCACGCTTCTTTTCGCTTTATAGTTTTAAAAGAAGCTCCCCAGGATAAAGACGCTCTGCTATGTCGACTTTGCAGCTTAATTCAACAAGGAAAATACGACAATGCTTTAACTTTTATCAAGTCTAAGCGAGACCTATTATCCGGGTAAGAACAAGTAGCTCAGGTTCACATTCTTGACCTATTTTTATACATTTGGTGTAGAACGATCGGTCCTTAATATCCACTTCAATGTTAAACTGCATCTGATGCATATAATTTTCTGTCTTTCTTATGCAATACGGCGGAAAAATATCACATGGCCGCTCTCTCTCCCAATCTAAATTATGTATTAATCAATATTATTGTTATCATGATTAAACTATTCTATAGCGTCGATTTGACTTTCCAAGAAAGCTACTGTTATTATCGTTTACATAAAACTAAAACTGCACTGGAACTTCTTCAATCTCAAGCCAATCCGAACGACAAGTGTAAAGAGTTATTGGCGCAAGTAGTAAGTGAAATTTTGATTACCAAGTCCCATTTTAATAAACACGACCATACTATTACAATCACTCACCTTCATATTCTATCGTCCTTTCGCTGACAACAGCTTTACAGGTTGGAAAATTATAAAGAATGCATTACTGTATATCGAAACTTAATCAAAAATTCTCAAGTAAGTGTATTCTTGCTTTACATACTATTCTATACTATATGTATTATCTATAGAGTATCCAAAGATCCTCATATAGATATCTTGATCAATTAAATGCCTATGGAATCACTCTAGTTTATAGCTAATCAATGTCTCAACTGGACGATATAACATAGTTATCTAAATACATGGAAATAGAACTGAGTGTAACTTACTTTTAGGATGATTTTGAAAACGAAAGAGAGACAAACTTGGCTGCTGCCTGTGCATTACTTAGCATCGTAAGTCAATCGTATAAAAGAGATCACAACAAATGCTATCACGTAAAACTTGTTTAGAATATTGTGCTTGTAAGTTGTACCTAAGCTATCGAAGAGATCATTGAGTTTTTTAGACAATTGACCTGACCCATTGCACTTTACTTTATGAATATGAATGATACACAAAAGACACAAATACTCCGTGATGGAGGTTGCAACTTGCAACTGTAGAGGAAAAAAAACTGTATAAGTATAAATGATACACAAAAGACACAAATACTCTGTGATGGAGGTTATAACTTTCAACTATAGAGGAAAAAAAACAGTAGCGTAGTCTCTGAAGCTAAATACTTTACTGTTTTCCATAGTCTTAATTTACATATTCCACCACTTGCAATGGATCGGAAGAGACACAATGCTATACGATATCTTAACAGTCTGCAGCGCTAGCACCGAATATGCATAGACATATTGATCTACATCAATGATGGCGTATTATCATAGTATCTTAATAATGAAATTTGCAAGATGTTCATATGATTTCTACCGCGCTTATTTGACAGAATAGGCCCATTTCTATGCTAAAAGTATAATTAACTGCAAGGAGATACAGTAAAATTCTTGCCTAAATGGTAAATAGACGTCGCTCTTAATAATAACACCTTAAGACTGCAGATGAACACAATTATTCAGTTATTCTACACGTATATAAAAGGTACTTTAGATAATAGTTCTAATTGATCAAGTTAATTCATTCTCCGGCTATTACAATATAAAATTCAACCAACTGACCGGACAGCAAAGTGACCTTCTTAATTGTCAATATAATAGATACTATCTTAGTTATACCGTAGTTAAAATGGAAACTTTCATCCAAATTGTGAGATTATTGTTTCCCTACCCAAGATTATGGAATACAGTCCTACTGTATAGCAATGCGCTTATCGTTACAACAAACGTTAACATGAATATTGCTTATGGTATCTTAAGCTGACCTTTATTTTTGTAACAAAAACTAGCATGACCGTAATTTGCGTGAAGATACTTACGAATTGCGTTACAACGCTGCCTGCAATTTATTATCCAGAGGACAAATTAAAGAAACAATCAATAAGCTCAATGAAGCGGAAGGTTTATATCCTGATTTGTGATCATTTGAGCGTAATTTACAATACTTTAATCACATACATCCTATTTATAATAAAATTGACCATGCTTTTAATTTTGCTTTCATTATTATTGAATACAGAACTATGCAGGCGATCTTACGATGATGATGCGGTAATGGGTCAACTACTGTAATTATTTTTCTTTGCTCATATGCTGAAAGTAATTTTTTATTAACTTGTATTATTTCCAAAGGATGTAACCGAAGAAGAAATTGAAGACGAGCTCGGTGTTGTAAGGTACTATAGTAATGATCTTTTTTAGCTGTAAGCACTATAGGATTTACTCCATCACGATCCTTTAAATCTCGCGATCGATGTTGACATCCACAACATAGTTATTAATTCGACAATGATCTGCTAGAGTACAACTTGGTTTTGCTCACCAACGTAATCAAAACAATACTGAAGCTCTTCGCCTATACAATCAAGTTTTGAAAACCAAGTATGGATCAATATTAAACCACTTGAAATTGCCGATTATGTTATTAAATCCTATCTTTATAATACGATTTTAGACCCACCGACACTACTTTGGTTGCTGTCGCTTCCAATAATGTCATTACCATAAACAAGGTAAAGTAGTATTTGAATTTTGCCCTATTTATGATGGTATTATATGTGTGTACAACCTAACGTATTAATTAATTGATGTCTCATCTTTCTTGACTAATTTTTTTAGGATAAAGATGTCTTTGATTCAAAAAAGAAAATCAAAGCCCTAGCAGCTGAAGGCCTACGTCACAAACTAACATCATCTCAGTTGAAATCAATGGAACTAAATAAATGCTTGCTGCATATATATGCTAATCAAGTATTGAAGAATTTTTTGTTTAATATACTCGTACAACAATTTCACTTCTGTACTCTCTCTAATAAAACGTAGCACTAATATGTCAAAACAATTTCCTAATTTACAGCCTGAACAATTTCAAGAATCGTTACAACATTTAATAAAATCTCATGACATGCATGAAATGGCGGATATTCTGCGTTCTTTTCGTTCAGTTAAAGAAAAAAATTTCGAGAATGCAATCTCCATCTTGCAGGTATAGCATTGAATGTGATCAACTATAATGATAGTATTTCAATTTATCGTAGAATTTACCATTACAAAATTAAAATTACAAAAATTGGGGTCTATTCGCTAGAATATGATAAAAGAGTCATCCAACATAACAGAAAAGGGATTCTTAACACTTGCCCAATTGTATTTAATGCAAGGTATTATAACTTCTGTAAATGTAACAATATTTTAATATTTTATGCCCATATTTTACTAGTGCTCTCACAATTTCACATTGTCTTTATAATTGTTAGGTAACAAACAAATGGCGATAGAAACCTTGAAAAAGATGAAGGACAATCACAGATTAGGAATTGTTAGTAATCACATTCATGGAGACAAATGCATTTTTAGGGATAAATAGTAAAATTATTTTGATGACAGTACATCTAGACTATATATTTTTACGAATACTCGATATACATATATGCCTACACCCCTTGATGAAGTGTAAATATCTTGTGTAATTCAGATAGCGACTGTCGTAGCTCTTTTGACGAATTTGGGAGAGGCACATTCTGCCTCAAAACTAATGGATGAAAATACTCAACATTGGTATAAAGAAGCCCAGGTACAATAAACTATAGTTCAATAATTTTTGTCGGCGCTTCTCTACCTATAATTCTTGATATTCATACGCTTTTATCACGTAATTTATATATGTAGGGTTCAGAATTGCCACCCCAGTTGTTTGTCGCTCTGAAAGAAAACGCCAATCTTAAACTGCAGCTTGGTAAGCCCGAGGACGCCGTTGCATCTCTTGAAAGCTTACGAAAGTAAGGGAGCTTTAGCTGATTCGTACGCTTGGAAAATAACTGATATTCGAGTAAAAAACTGAGGATATTTATCTACTAAAATGTTTTGATTTGGTGAATTCATTGTAGATCAAGCCCGAACGATATTAGAATTTTATCACAATTAATTACAGCTTACTCAAAGTTTAACTCAGAGAAAGCAGAATTGTATCCTTACATGACACAATTTTGACACTTAAATGATTGTAGCAACACCATCTGTATAGGACTGATTCTGTTCATCTCCAAACAGTGTAGTACTACCTTAATTCTATAACCTTAAAAAGATTAAGTAAAGAACTTCCAGATGTAGAAACTGAAGTTGATATCGATGTCGATAACCTGGAAATGGCACAGCATTTGTATAGTGCTCGTCAAGCAAAGCGAATGGTAAAAGTTGGCACAGATGCTGGCGACAGCGATCTTAAGTAAGCCTCTTCTTATAAGCATAGATCAAAAAAATTTCTTGCTCAAGCGCGTACTGTTAACTGGAAAAATACCTAGGCTGCTAATTAATTATACTCGACATCGAATCAGGAGAATGTTATTTAATGCGTTTCATGACTCAAATAAATCTTTATTTGTAGGCCTATCATTGTTCGTAAGAAACGCAAAGCTCGCAAAAGAAAAGGTGAATTATTTGTATATCATAGTGAATAATTCTATTTTCGTACAGTTCTTAAAAGCTGCAATCTTATCATAAGCTACCGCCTAATGTAAATAAAATTTCTATAGGAAAATTACCAAAGAACTTTGATGCTACTAAACAACCTGATCCAGAGAGATGGTTACCTCGACGTGAAAGATCATATTACAAGAAAAGGAAGCGGGCACCAATAGGTATGCAGTAAAATAATGCAAAAAATTACTATTAAGGTTAAAATAATGAGTTCACTGAAGTAACGATCATATACTGTAAATACCATACGTAGGCAAAGGTGGTAGTCAAGGAAGTACTGCAAGCTCTGCTGGATATGATGCGTAAGTCTGGCTACGAGTGTATATTTTTATTTTTTATCGTTGGTTTTTTGCGATTTAATTGAAGTATTTTCATCATAAACTTTTCATATAAAATAGATCTGCTACTGCTGCGGCAGCAACATCTCAAAATAAGACAGCCCCAGTAGCGGAAGCTACTAAACAACAGGAGAAGCCCACTGCAGCCCAGCCAGTAAAAAAGCCCGTAAAGAAACCTGTGAAAAAGAAAAAGGGCAAAGGATGGTAATACCCAAACTCACAATTAAATACTTTTATTATACGTGATGATGTATTTTTAACATTTTGACTAATAAACGGTAAAAAGACTTAAATAAAGATCTATTTGAAAATGACAAATTCGGTATTTTACGCTATCCATCACTCATTAATTATTCTGAATGACCTTATCACAATGAGTAGCTGCTAATTTTGTGTTAGCCATAACTCCTAAGAATGACTGACTTTACGATTAAATCTTTTCAATTTATTTGTAAATACACTTGCACGATAGCTAAATGGTAACCAAATAAGACATCAGTAAGTAGGCTTTCCAATAATTAATAATATTTTATTGCTATTATTACAGCAGCAAAATTATCGTCCGTAGTTTGAACATACTGTACATCGTTTAATATGTTTGACATAAATAAAACAACAGCATTTATATCAGGTCCAGTGCTGCTTTTTCATTCTACCATACAAGTATCTTACATTCCAATTTTTGTGTAATTTACACGGTAGTTTCGATCACTACTGCAAATGAAATGATATTATATCAGCATTATATAGATAAGGTTATAGTACGCTGATGTTATCATTGGTGAAGACTGAGGTTATTCATTATTGAAGCATTCTTGACAGACTTTAACCGGTCGATTAAAGCCTAAACGAGGAATTTTCTTGCTGGCAGATACACAGTTCTTGCAAAATATCTAGTAATTAAAGAAATTATTCGATTGTAAGATGAGAGTTAAGTAGTTAGTAATTCGCAAATAGAAGATCGAAGCGCAAAATAGTACTTACTTTTCCACAATTTCTGCAATGATGCTTTCTCCTTAACACGGTAAAGGTAGCTTCGCAAAAAGTGCAAGCATCACATCTTGAATCAGGGACCCAAGAAGGCGGCTGAATCAGATCTAATTAATAATAACATCACTTAGGGCAACGTAGTTCTTGAAAGCCATCAAATGTTATGAAAGACAAGTATACGTATTAATGTGAATGTGACATGTTGCTAATGGACTGATGAGTAGCATTATCACTTATTACATAATAACATAATGCTGTAACGTCTGTGCCAAACGCAATTTTACTTGAAAAAGTCCTGCTATGTTCCGTGTTTCTACCCGTTATTAAACGACTAATTAGCCTATACCCAAAACTATCCTACCATTTTGTAATTCTTGGGGTCTTTCATGCTGAACTTCATTAACAGTTCTATGCATTTTATCTCCATCATTTGAGCTGCTACTATTTTCATTAGTTGTTAACACTTCCAATGGAGTAGATAATTCATTTTTTTCTTCGGCAACACTTTGATTCATATCGCCATCACTATGAGACGGTTTCGACAATAAATTAACCTTAATAGACTTTTGGAGAGCAGATCTGATATCTTCTGCGTGAATATGGTGCAGCCGATCGGCAATAGATGAAATTTTAACGAACAACTCATGTAAAATATCGCTATTTCCTTGAACTTGCACTACTTTCAACGCGGTATACTTAATATCATCACCATCACTGTTCGAAACAGGCGCTTGACTTGCCATTCCAATACTATCATTATTTACACTGGCTTCCTTTGCTGCCGTCTTTACTACCTTATTATTCTGATTTGACAAATCAATCTCCAATTTTGATAAATCTTCATCACCAACTTCACGTAACAGTAATCTAAACGAAGATATTTTAACACAAATTAGAATTAGTTCTACGCATATGTTAACATCAGCATTTATTATTCAATTCCAAAAGATGAATTAGTTCAAGAAACTAATATACTTGATTTCTTGTAATTCCTCTCTGAAGCTATTAAACATTAAGGGTATTGTCATATCGGAATTGAAATCATTTTCGAATTCTTCTTCATGGCAACCGGAAATACAGCTTTAGATTAAAGCGATAACAAGAAATATTACAATTAGATTATCTTTATAATAAAATATATAATATTGGATAAAGTAAAGGTATCATAACTACTGCAATGATAAACTGTTGATCCATTGTGTTGACTTGTATAATTTGATAAAAAATTTAAAGTAAATTTTTTGGATGTGAATAGCCCGATAATTTGCGAGATTGGTTAGTAACTACAAGGTTTCATCTAGAAAGCACTTACTATAGAATTGCTAGACGTGGTACGGCGAAGAAAACTGTGGGATCGAAACATTCTAATTCGGCAGATGTTATAAGATCTGACTTTAATGCCCTAGAAGATTAGCAAAAGCATCAACTGAAGTTAATGATCCTTAATCATATGATAATGTATAAGTTATATTCTAGATTTATTTTTAACCTATCAATGGCTTCTGAAAACATTACAGCAAGAAGTTGTCCATCTTCAACTGATGTAGGTGACTTTAGTTCTGTTAAAAGGTTTACATATCTTTACACACAACCGTGGTAAATTGAAAGAAAAAACTTTGACTTAGTATTTATAATTTCAAATAGGTAAATGTGAAGACAGTCGTATTAAATATTGATGATATTAACGATAGTAAGATTACGAAGTAATAAACATCTTAATGTAATATCATTGCACTTAAATAGTATCCCATGTAGTACAGCCATCAAAACTGAAGTTAATTTACGCATTTTTTTCCCATTTAATAGATACAATAACAGTACGTGGTTGCGGTACCTCATAACTAATAATCTTACGAGAATGGAAAGAAATGACAAATAATAAATTTACCTCAATTCAAATTCTGACCATAGCCTATCAAGTTCTATTAATTCATTTATAACCTATAAAAACAAGAGAAACGATGCAGTTTATTTGATAATAAGGGTAACGTAAAACGTAATTATGAAAGCATGTGATTTTTAAACCACAATTGATGATAATAAGACCAGAGAAATTATATCTCAATAAAATATAAGTGTAGTACCTTTTTAGGATAGATATTAATATTTCGTAATGATTGATTTTTGAGCCGGTCCCGCACTGTATTTAATTGCTTATGCAATTCTGCTGCTAAAGGTTTCATTTCCTGGCTTTCCTCCTCGTGATTTAGAACTGCACTACCAGCTGAGATCCCCTATTACAAGTTACGATTGCAAATGGAACATGAATTTTACTTGCAATTTGTTTATTAGTCTCTTGTAATCACCATAATTGTTTTCGTTAGGTAATATTAAGAATTGAAGGTTTTAAGCTATATAAAGATGTATCTTCTACTGTAACTAGCCATATTTAAATTGATATTCTCGTAGGCAGTGAGCGGAAGACACTATTGTAAAATTTATAGCTCACTTTGTACTGCATACACATTATTAAAAGTCGTAAAATACATCGAATAATACCCCTAAGAAAGTGGGATTCTTACCTCGATTCCGAACCAGATCATTCCTATTTGAAACAAAAATAAAAAAATGTCTGATTAATACAATTCCATAACTATAAAATTTTACGGATATCTTTGATTCAATCAATCATCAAAACGATAGAATATTGATACGTACCTCCTAAATTGTCGGTTAAGAAATCTTCAGGAAATTTTAAACGATAATGACGAGGATGACGTAGATTCATTGGTATAGCCTCTTCCATAACTGCTGTCATTTTCTGATAAACAAGCTGATGTTGTTCACGTAGCTTATTAACTAAAGTCGCACAACGTTGGACATCTTGTTTACCATCAAAACTTCCCAATTCACGAATAATTTTATTTAACGATTCATTGGCGTGATAAAATTGGGCCAGAGGTCGAGTATCATTTCTCTATTGCGTAATTTAAAGATATCTTATATCAAATTCTTTTAATTAACAGTAAAATTATATCGCTATAGCTGTGTATTACGCAAGTTATCCGATATTGTTATGGTGGTATATCATTCGGCTCCTTATCATAGTTACATCATATTGAAAGAATTATTAGATTGTATCAATATGTAGACACCAACTCAAGAAGAAACATTTCATCCACCAACATTTAAGCTGCAATTATCGTGCATTGACTAGTATATCACATTACGGACTGAATAATGATATGAAGGTTTATATTTATATTTTAATGGGGATACCAATACCTAGATACCGCTATCGATTCCATCATGATTTTATTGTTGTATTATCACTCACTTATTACTTATACAAACGAGTGTTTTAGGTACGATACCCACTGCAGTGATATTATCGACTATTGAGTAGTAAAAACGAGGCCAGTTAAGACATTCAATGACAGGATGGTTTCATAACGACTTGTCTACGTCGGTAGAGTATAGCTGAAGGAAAAACGTCGTGATTTTTTTGGCCACTCTGTTAATACTACGTAGTTCAATGATTGAAATAGATACAACTCAGAAACTTATTCATAGAATGCTTAGAATGGAAATTGATGTCGGTATTTCGATACTGTTTACTATTTACCGTACATAGCGATGATGATATGACAGACTTTCCATCAATAACAAGCACACAATATATCCCCTATAGTCCGCAGAACTGCTGTAAAGTACAGTACCAACGATTTATGATCCAATCAAGCCACTACTGTATTTTTAAACAAGTAAGACAATTTCCTTGACTGGTGGACTACGGCATTAAAATTCATTTTGGTATTCCTTAAGCACACTGTGTGAGAGTCGATAGAGCAAGAAGAGTAAGACGATATCATACGCTTGTCTTGTACGGTAACGCAATTTTCATACAAGTAGTCAGTAGTCAACAAAAAGGAATACTGATAAGACATTTCCTGCCTCTTGACTGGTGAAAACTTTGGACATGGATACCATAGAGTACAAGGACACTATGCAATAGTCCATCAATTGCCTATTTGTACAGTATGACAGATATGCAAAATCAACTTTCTAGTCTTATTACCTTTGGCGGCTGAATCCACTGCTTGACTTTTAACATGGTTATTTTTCAACTTGACACAGTGGCAACGTTTGCACCTCCTACCAAATAGGTATTGAGCAATAATGTAGTCCTCTAGTAATAGAGTAGAAACGCTGTGGAGAAGTCTTTGGATGATGTTATTGAAAGTTTTTCTAGTACGCGTATTTCATGAATTGAATTGGTTTTCGTCGCTTCTTACAAATAATTCTAATCTGCTGTGTCACAGAGAATATAGACAGTCAACAACTGCGAGAAATGAATTTTACTGACTGAGTAATCAAGTGATTGCGATCAGAGACTGCGACGTCGGTGAGTGGTACCGTGATGAAAGAAAAATTTCAACGATGCTTCGATCAATTAATGTTGAGTGCGTCGACTACAAGTTGATTTTCTCTTAGACGAAGGCAATTTTGGTTTTTTTTTCTTACAGCCACATCCTATCCTTGGACGAATAAGCCAAATAGAATTTGGTTTCTATGAATCTCGACGACTGTTGTCTGTCTTCAACACTATCAAGAATTGATTTCTTAGTGAAAAAAAATTCAAAGGAATGAAAGCAAGTCCAAGTGGACGTTTGCAGTGGGATTCAAGTTATGGCAGGTCAAGCGATTTTGACCAACAATCAATTCAACCTTCCTTGCTACTGTGTAAATAAACATCCTACCTGTACCAGTGCCAGCCATAGTGGAGTACCGGTACGTATCAACTGTTGTCGTCCCGCTATAGTTAGAGAATGGGTTTGCCTATACAAAACTGTGTAACTAGTTGTACAGTACTAAAAATACAGTACTAAGTGGAAAATTACAGTACCCTACTGTACAGTAAGTACTGTACTCAGTTAATTGTTTTGCATAAATAAACATACAGTACAGGTGTACAGTACAGCCTCAGTACAGGCACACCAGTGCCATAGTGGAGTACCGGTACGTATCAACTGCTGTTGTCACGCTATGGTGAGGGAATGGGTTTGCCTATACAAAACTGTGTAACTACAGTACAAGTTGTACAGTACTAAAAATACAGTACTAAGTGGAAAATTACAGTACTGTACTGTACAGTACACTACTGTACAGTACGTACTGTACAGTACAGTACTCAGTTAATTGTTTTGCATAAATAAACATACAGTACATTGTACAGTACTGTACAGCCTCAGTACAGGCACACCAGTGCCATAGTGGAGTACCGGTACGTATCAACTGTTGTTGTCACGCTATGGTGAGGGAATGGGTTTGCTTATACAAAACTGTGTAACTAGTTGAGTTGTACAGTACTGTGACTGTACTAAAAATACAGTACCAAGTGGAAAATCACTGTACTGTACTGTACTGTACTGTACACTGTACAGTACAGTACAGTAACAACCGTACTGTGTACTGTATGGTATAGTACTGTACGCCCAGTTAATTGTTTTGCCTAGGACGTCAACGTCAAGACTGAAGTCGTCAACCTGACCCACAGTACTGTACAGTGTACAGTACACGTGACTCCTGAGCACTGTACGAGTGTACGTGCGTGTCAATCGGTACTGTATTGAATCGAAATGCTACAATCAAGGGCTACGGTATGGTGTTCGGTACTAGGTACTGTGCACTGTACCGTTGATTGCAACGTCGATGCTGGCATACGCTATCAAACAGCCAGGTCTAGAAACAGGCTTTACCATCGCATTGGTTTTGCGCCATCTTTTCAATCATTTTCGGATATGTAGCACTATCAAGAGTTTATACGTATGCTTATGGAGTTACTGTAGCTGTAATCACATTAGTTGATGCTCCAAGTCGATCAGCGGACGTACAAGTCCACTCGTTTTAGAGGATATAAATTCGTGTCTTCAGTGAGGTAGTAATGCATGTGTAGAGCGGTTTTAGCCAAGCGTAGAACGAGTTTGATGCATTTTGACGACAGCTTTTGTAGCAGTCGTTCTTTCACCTTGATCCGCAATGGTCAAGCGTTTTGCAAGCCTATACCTCAAACGTTGGATTGAAAGCTTGCTGTTACTAATACTGAGTGAACACTTGTTCACTCAGTATTGGTAGTTCAATTTGTTGCCATGGATAAGCTTGATCGAGACACAATGTTTTCAAATTATCGGTTACAACAACCGCTTACAAACGATTCAAGAATATCATGCAGTTGCACTCATAAATTTTCTGATGACGATGATAGACAAATAGCATCCACAAACTGCCGACTACCTTGCAGTCATATTGAAGCATAATGAATAGAGAGAAAGTCCTTCTCAACAAACAATATCGTCATGGACCAACTATTGCATCCATGTGGTTCTCACTCTCATACTTCATATCCAATACGTTTCAATCTGATCTTGAAACCAGACTACGTGTATATAGATGAGTAGAACTTACAGTATATAGAATATAGACCGACATACGTGCGCTGAAAACGAAATGGATGCAATCGATGAATCTCACAATCGAGTACATGTGGAGCACTTGAAATTTTATTTACACTTTCACCTAGTGTAAACCAAAGGCAGTTTATACAGTATATTTTCCTCAATTCAGTAATTAGATACATTAACTTTTGTACAGAGTTGCATAATTATTAAATGAAGCAAATCTAAAGCAAAGTACTCTGTATCTGAGTTTATCTTCCGATTTGAAGATACAAGATAGAATGCAATTGTAGTAATAATAACAGATGCTTTGAGCTATGGATCGCATTAACGCCATTTCTTTTGATTGACCATTTGTTTCAATAACTTTGCCTGCTTATTACTGCAAAAAGTAGGCTTTCTTAGATGTCGGCGGTTCTTTTTCGATTTGCTTAAAGCCAAGTGACGTCTACCACATTTCCAACGCTTAATTTTACCACTACCGAGCATTTTAAATCTCTTGACAACAGCTTTAACGGTTTTCCTTTTCCCTTTTTTGCTGTACACGACAATGCTACGATTGGGTTGCTTTCCTATCGGATTGAAAGTATTGTTCCTCCATATTGAGTTGAATAGAAATAGATTCGGACGGCCATTCGATGCGTAGGTTTGCGGAATGCTTTGATACGAACGATATGAAATCAATTTTAAACTGGCAATATTAGAATGACCGGGTAGCCATCCCTTAGGCATCATTTGTGACGTAAAAGATGGTAATGTGCTATATCTACAAGCTGAAAAATACATGCAAACAAGTGAGAAATTTCATTGAAAGATCATTAGCATTTATTAGCTACTGCCTACTAGATGCATGCATGCAAGAATACAATCATTTAGTGTGTACTAGAATCATTGAAAACATATCGTAAATAAGCAAATCTGCAGCAGATGCAAGGATATTATTCGTATATTGATCCTGAAATGTCCCTGCAACTGGCTAGGTAGTCCTATATTACCGCTACTACAGTAAAGTATGGAAGGGGTGCATCTTGCAGCCAACGAGAATCAAATTGTAATTACATATAAGGCATCCGAGCAGATATACCCGTACAATCATTATTTTTATCGATAATTCCTGTTATGCAGCATGATTTACTAAGGCATTCGATTACGCTAAGAGCACTTAGCATCTTTGCATGTTGAACCATACAATGCACTAACACGCTACAACACTGAAAGAACACCGACAACAGTAAAGCCTCTATGCTATCAACTTTGACTCAAACTATGTCCAAATTTACAAAACATTTCAGCGTTCTTTCCACATTGTTCAAAAGTACTCCAAGTAGTCGTAACCACATGTACATTTGTAAGTTATCCTATTATACACAGCATACACGGAATCTGTTTCAAACGAGTTATTTGAACGCCATGATCAAGTTGCTCATAATATGGCAGAAAAACGTAAATGTACGACACAACAACATCATCATTGAAATAAAATCATTCTCTTCATTTCATTACAATGGAATCTACCTGAGGTGGCTAAACTTCTCATGATAGAACCTCGCATTGCCGTCAGGATTAAGGACGCCATCGCCAAGCTACTCCAAGATTTACAATCTCCAGATGAATCTTGCCCAATATGATCAGCGACCACGCATGGTACTGTTACCAGAGTGAATGGGGCACCTTACGTTCACAAGACACTCAGCGAGTTGTAGTCTAATCCAGCCAGTTTACGATACTACGGTGCACCGTATTGACCGAGAGCGTATCGACCACATTAGCAAGCCGACAAAACACGATAGTACTGTACTGTACTATAGTGGAATTAATTACTTGTATCAAGTGAAGGAGTTTCGTAAGATCAGTGCAATTTCTACAGACATCTGCGATGGTTGGCATTGAACGAGATCCAGCTAAGGATGCTGAAAGACATGCCAGAACAATCGCCCATAGAGAAGCGATACTTCAAGGGCAAAAGGGCAAAACTATCGACGAAAATGCTCAAAATTCTGCACTAGTTAAAGAGGCTGAGGAACGAGCTGCCGCTTTTCAGGCATTAAAAGAAGCTAAAGAACAATCAGCTTTGGAGGCAGCGAAACAACCCAATACACAGCCTGATATCAATGCATTAATGATTGAGGAAACTCCTTTTCAAAAGTTGCTAAGAAAATTTAAAGAAAATCCTTTTGTACCACTAGGTTAATGCTCTCTTCATTTCTACAATAATAATACTGCATATTATTACCTTAATCAAGCGTACCGCCAAGTGTGCGGTAGCACGTATAAAATTAATTCAACAATTCCCAATGATTAGGCAATGATGAAGGATGAGTAGTAAAGATACTTGATCAAATCAATATTATTAATGCATGGATGGCACGCCAGTCGTTATTGATAGTGCGATAATAACTGTTTATCCTACTCACAGTTAGTAGCCGTGTCGACTAAAATGATAATTATAATTGTCATCATTTATATATGTTGCAGTACAGGTGCACAATCGACATATATAATTATAATCAAAGAAAGTTATGCTAGATAGAAGAGAACTTACAGTAAATTGGTGATGTTGGTAATACCGTAAAGCACTTTACCAAAAGATCAGATTTTACACTTCATTGCTGTACTATGCTACACGTACTATATCACGGTAGCTTTTCAAGCTAAATAGACGTAACTAAAAGATGCTTATTATTCTGGTAATGGACATTTTTAGGTATGTTAGCAACTACGGTCGCTTTAAGTTATGGTTTGGTCAACTTCCGAAGAGGGGATCAGAAAATGTCGCAAATGATGATGAGAGCTAGAGTTGGGGCCCAAGGCGCCACTATTTTAGCCGTAATCGGAGGACTTTTAGTCTCAGGTCAAAGAACTGTCTTTGGTAAAGAAAATTAGTGTTCCAACCAGTTGTTTTTCTCCCTATAACATAGGGTATTAGTTTAGAAAACAACTACAATTAGACTATAATTAATAAATGCCTACTAGGATAAACGAGTCTACACTCAGTAGCATAATTAATTCTGATGTTAATTTCTTGAATTTGCGTCAAAAAGATTTTTATTGCTCTAAGAAAAGACAGTGTGATCTGCGTGGACAACGTGTATGCAGTTGCCACATTGCTTGGACAATTATAATATAGGTATACACATTTTGGATGAATCTCCAATTAAACCAATAAGATAATATTCAATATCAATTGACGACATTTCCTATAAGAAATAAGCTTTATACAGTGAAATTTTTAGAATGCTATTGCAGCCTTATATTGAGCTGTTTTATAGATCACTGTTCGTTATCTCATGCAAACAATTTTAGTTCTAAAATTTTTGCAATGTTTGCTAAAATAGGCTTTACATTTAAGAATACGTGAAATTGATTCAACTATAGTAGTTTCATAGCTATAGATACAAATTCGAACATATAATTAATTTATTGTGTCGTTCAAGAAGAATCAAATTCGTATTATCCACTTTTTAATATTAATATGAGTAAAAATTACAATATAAAAATAAAAATACAGCTACTGCAATATCGTGCCTATTCATAAAGTTGATCTATAACCTATTATATATTTATTATTACCAATATAGTAAATTTACATGATTCACCAGGCAGGTGTTGATTATATCAGAGAAATCTTATAAAATCATTTGCAATCCAAGTGCTATACTATATGATAATCAATACAAAAGTGTGACTCTCAACGATACATAAAACGTATAAAATATCTGTAAAAACTGATCTATCTCTTAGGCATAAATATATGATATTTACCATGTCATAAGCCATTTATCAACCATGATACTGCATGAGATAAAGCTATACTGGCTTAATGATTTGCTAACAGATTATTAGTAAAACGAGTTTCGCTAATCACTACGTTGCCTATTCATTAATGGCATAAAATCATTGTGGCTTAATAGACAACCTTGAAGACTTTACAAGTTTTATAGCTAAAAGAATTGCCAATTAATTTGAGTAAAAGATTAGTTTAAAATTCCGCAGTGATTTACAATCTGTAGTTATAAGACAATCTAATTTTCTATCAGCAAACATTTTCTTTATTGTCAGCTTGAGCACCTTTCCTTCCGAATATACCTGTTTACAGTAAAGTCAGCTGTTATACATGAGGTATCTAAAAATATTGGACTTAGTATGCATTAAAATAAAGCCATCGCAGGAAATAACTTACGTTGCTTGAGCGAATGATTAAACTTCGAGGGGGGTTTATTGACTTTATTAAATGTAAATTATACAAGAATGAGATACTAGAAGCACTAAGAATAAAGAGTGCTACTTCTTTGAATAAAACAAGAATGGCTTAAAAACGATATTTACCTTTCAAATTTTTGTTCTCATTCGTCTTCTTATCTGCATTCAAATTTTCCTATTACAGAAATTAAAATAGAATGAGTTTTTAGGTCACAATCTGAAGTACGATTTTCAGTAATCTCAAATATTTTTGATATCTACTCATTTGCGATCATAATGACTAAAAACAACTTGATCAATTTACTAATTATGGCTTTGAAGTAATTGATCAATTTGAAAGAAAAGTTGAAACGATAAACTCTTTAGAGACACACAGTTATAATCCATCAATCGACAAATTTAAAACAAGCGCACATTATCTATTCGGATCGGTATATCGTACACTCTAATTAAAATGTTAATTCATACGTAACATTTCAATATAAGGATGCAATGGCGTAATTGTTGTATATATAGTTCGTAATAGATTAAATACGATATCTTAACCATAAAGGCATAAATAAAGGAAACACTATAAATGTACGTATATGATGATTGTATGGTAGTACTTGTAATACAGTAGGTGATAACATTGTAAAAGGCGGACTGATAAGTTACTAATTGTAGTGCGAAGTATAAACTGTAATCGTATCGAGGTGTAACCTCGTGTAGCTATAAATACCGATCAACTAATAATAGAATGCGGTTATCAATCTTACTCACGGAGTGAGCTTATTATTGAAGAACATAACAATAGTAATAGAATTATATTTGCAAATACATAACGAATATTTTAAAGTGTTCTGTACTTGCTCCTTATGATAGTTTATAGAAAAAAGAGTAAGAAATGTTAAAAGTAGGATAAACTTACTGAAGTAGTCACGAATACATGATCAATGAGGACATCAATTTCATTATTTAGGACTAATTTCTTTTCAGCTTCCTTACTTAGCAGCGTTTTATATAGTTCCGAATTTAAAAATCTTTGGTAACTATCAAATTTTAATAGATTGATGATCTAAAGCAAAAAATTTTGATAGCATATCCTTAATATTTCTTAATTTTCTCACTATACATAATCATACATGTATATATACTGGACATTACATAATGTAATTCAAGATGTTGATTCAAACCTGTCTTTGAGCCATATCAAACATAGTCACATTTGGCGATTTCAGATACTTTCTGATCGTCTTTAATACAATGTAATCGACATTGATAGGCATAGCTGCATCATCCGCCAAGTATGTACGATATATAGCAGATGAGAATTTCTTAATCTATACATGTTAAGTAATATCCAAAACGATCATAAGATAATAATATACCGACTTTTATGATAAAAAGAGAGCTAATAGAAATCGAAAGTCCTTGAAAATTAACCTCAGCGATTTCCGTTGTAGGGAGTTTCTTAAATTTCTGGCATGCGTGCAAAAACAAGATATTTTCTTCACTATGTTCTTTCATAAGATACTCCTACAGAGTCAATGAAATTAGTACCGGCAAGATTGTTGATAGCTAGATATGTTAAAGCATATAAAATGTATAAATTAAAACTTACGTAGAATATACGAATCCCGGCAGGATCCACCAGTAAGAGTTCAATCTTAGTTTTCCAAGTTGCAACGCGATCTTTACTTGGTGTTACATCAGGCTGCTGGTTTATCTTTTCGTCGGACATTGGATTAGAGACCTGTTCGGACTGATCGCTATTATGCATAATTTCACCTAATTTATAAGAGTAAATCAAATAAGACGTTTGCAATAGAATTGCACTAAGTGTTTTACTGTACAGAAATGAGCACGAAATATAATGTATGGAAATTTACTAACTTTTTTGCCTTGTTTTTAACCTTTTATTCTGATGATTATTTTCGCTGTCAGTGTAAGTAACGACATGACTACTGGATCTTTTCCCTCCAGTAACTTTATCGTTGCTATTTAATTGTTGTGGTATATCATCAATAGCAGTATCAGAACGAACAGTTCTGATTTTGATATATTTATTTTTCATTTCCGGTAAATCATTGTTATCAATCATAATTGGAGTTTTGCAATCACTGAGCTTATTATCAGCATACTGCATGTGTAAATTTGAAAGCTTTCTCAACAATGATTGAGGTAATGATGGTATTTCTACTTTTGATCGATGGATATGAAACTGCTGCGCTGCCTGGTCATAATTGCACTTAACACTGAGACACTTGTATAAATGTAATGAAAAGATTGATTTTGCGCCATCTTTCTTATCGCAAAAAACTAAGCCAAAGAAATGTTTGTCGTCCAAGCATGTTCCAGTAACAGCCAATTGATCAATATTATAACATTGATTAATTTCGCCACTGCTAGATTTGATACAAATTGAACTATTTCTAAATTGGAATAAGGTCAATAATAAACGATTTTCTTGATCTTGTTTTAATTCTTGCATACAATCACGAATTTCCGATAATGATTTAGAATAGAAATTTTCATCATGCGTGAATGCTCTACTGCCAACAAACTTAACAATGACAGCATCGAGCATATCACCCGTACTTGTATTTTCTAAATGCCCACTTAATGAAGAATGTATTTTACTTGCAGAATAAGTGATACTAAATCGATTAGTACCTCGATCTTGATCTGCATTCTTTTTCTTGTTCACAGTTAATGCTTTCATTGGAGGTGGTAGTGATGAGTCTGTATCACTGTCGCTGTATTCATTGTCTGACTCTTGAGAATTGATACGAGCTCTCATCTTTGCAAAGAGTGAATCTTTCTGTAATTCTGCAAGCAATGGGTTCGTACCATTCTTAATATTGGAATCACTTTTTGATTTGGAGTCTGATAAATTTTTTTTTGCAGCTAGAAATCTTTTATTTTTCTTGACGTCATGAACGATCGAGACTCTCCTAGGACTCCAAAATGTACCAGAGGGTAATAAATGAGGGTTCTTCTTTTTACATTCGACTAATAATTTTAGTGAATCATTTGGATTGGTAATTAATCGTATAATGCTGTCGTAATGTAGCTTGTCGACCTCGACATCGTTAATTTCGTACATAATATCTCCAACCTGTAGTGCAGCATAATCAGCAGCACTATCTTTAACAATTGCTTCAATTACGGCTGGTGCTTTACTGTTAATGCTAAATCCATAGCCAATATTTCCTCTTTTCAGGACAACGGTTCTAAGCATGATGAACAACTATTTATGTAGCAGTTTGCAAAGTACTGTGGTTTTAGGTTTTAAACATGTGACGTTTACTTCAGCACCTGGAAAAAAAGATGAATTTATTATTTTACTGTATTTAGTTTGTGTATTAATATGCCTATAATAATGAATAGATAGGTGTGCAGCGGTGAATAGCTTGAGGACACTAACTATGCAGTTTACTACTCATCGTGAGTACATTAAAGGTTCACATGATTTTAAAAAGGAAGAGACACGGTAAACAATTGCAATCGACTTTGTGAAATAGGAATCGATTAGTCCACTGTAGAGTACCTGAATTATGGCCAATCACTACCCGACTTTAGTACGAATACAGTATTTGCAAATGGCAACGGTTGTGTAAACTGTGTGCAAATTCGATAAATGCGTAATGTATACTATATCGATTAAGAATACTACATCCATATTGATAAAAAGATAGAAATGATCAAAAATCATACAGCTATTATCCAATTCGTATACTATTTCCTGATATCTGTCAACGATCGACCGTATTTGCATGCGGAACGTAGATCAGAGTAGAGTTGGAAAGGGATCCATTCCGGTTAAACCCCCAAAATTGGCAAACATTCAATATTACGTAAAACAGCCAATAAATGAAATGACACTCTAGCATCAACTAACGATCAATCTAAGCCTTACAATGAACACGATATTCACATCAACAACAGCATGCTATAACTATGGCAATAGAATTTACCTGCTATCAAGGGGAAGTAAGAGATCACTAATTGTATAATGATTGATAGAGTCGATTTGCGATGGAATGGAATTCTTGATCGCCAGCATCAACAATAATTCAATTTATATTTTGAAAACCGTTGCATCGATGATGACGTCACACTGTTCCAAGTCACGTGAATCGACGCTCGAATCTGCCGTGGATGGATGCACTCACTCATGACCATAGCATCAATATAAAAGTTGCCCGGGTGCAATCCCTAGGACCATATTGTGTACTGTATTTTTTTTGGCCTGGCACTGCAATAACAATGACCATCAGGCTTCATACAGTACGTACTGTACAGTGTACAGTACGTACTGTACAGTGTACAGTACGTACTGTACAGTGTACAGTACACGTCTACAGTCCGAATACTGTAGTCACGACCAGGTGACTGAGAATCGACTGTACAGTACAGTACTTTCTGGCTTTCTTATTACGGTGCTGTACTGTACTGTACAGTACTGTACAGTACACTGAGTACAGTACAGTATACTGTACCTCCGTAGATACTGTAGTCTGTGGTCCGTAACTTGATCCTGTAGTCAAGACCAGGTGACTGAGAATCGACCGTACACTGTACAGTACTTTCTGGCTTTCTAATTACGGTACTGTACAGTACCTCCGTAGACAGTCTGTGGTCCGTAACTTGATCCTGTAATCACGACCGTACAGTACAGTGTACTGTACAGTAAGCACGTACATGTACTGTACAGTACTGTGCCTCCGTAGACAGTCTGTGGTCCGTAACTTGATCATGTAGTCAAGACCACTCGGTGGTGAGGGTTAGCGGGAAAATCGACCATTAACGTGTACAAACACCGAGTGTAACTCGATCACTATACCATCACCTAGAGTAGGTCTTTCAAAAAGAGTGTCGGTTGCTACAGTACTGCGCAGTTGGCTTGTCAGTACATCTCCTACAAGTATGGCGGAAGAAGAGGCTACATTTCGTGTGCAAAAAAGGTTCAATGAATACGATGACGGCCAAGCGATTACCAAAAAGAATCGTTTAGAACAAGAGTATGGTAAGTCATTGAAGTACTTTGGATTTTAGAAGCAATTTTGTACAGATAGGAACGTTTTTTGACGTCTTCTTCAGCATTACTTTATATCCATCGACAAGAGTCGTCATCACAGTACAGTAGGACTGAAAATAGCACATGATCCTTGTGTCTATAGAGTTGGTCAGTAGATGACTGACACTCAGTACGGTACGTACACTGGAAAGAATGAGCTGCGTTGAAGTTCAATGTCGAAGTCGAGTCACCATGCTGTCAACACCACAATCATCAAAATGGCTCAGCCCTTGTACATATACCCTAGTAGGCCATAGACTAATGACTGCAAAGAGACCAAAGACACTTTGAGTAGTCTACAGGAAGGCTAGAAGAAGAATTTCTTCATCATGGAGGTCGGATTCTCCATGATTTTCATGACATGTCGTTGCAACTGGAGGACAGTTTGCTATGAAGATACTTGAAGCTGAAGTTGATTCAATCTTGTGTCTGCTACAGCTAGCAAATGCTACAAGTATTGTCGATCCTTCAAGCTGATAGACTCAACTTGATCTGTATCGATCGGTACCCATGATCGTTAGCCCAATACGCGCCATAGTGTAGGGATTGCCAATCTTAGGCTTGGAAATTGGAATGATAGGCAACGTTAAAAGTGAACATCGAACCATTTTATTTATTGCAATTTGTAGTGGCTGTCACCATTTTATACTCTAGTGGACAGAATGATAAAGTCTAATGAAGTGTGCTAAATACACCTGTACTATAATGCTAACCTCGATCCTAATGATTCTTCTATTCGTTCCATACTGTATAATTCAGATAGCGTATTAGTGATGATTGAAAAAAAATAATATTGGAGTTGCAACGTTACTTGGCATTTCTACCCCTTTCTAGGTTGACTGTGGAATGGCTATCGCCAATTTAGTATAGAAGGAAACTAAGCGTGATGTTCATGCATAATTTAGATAGCGTGCTAGTGATGATTGAAAAGTTAAATTCCAGTTCCAAGATACCCTGATATTGCTACTCTTTTGTATGTGGACTCTGTTATTTGCCAATTTGGTGTCGAATTAGGCTAAGCGTGATGCTAATACTTAGAGTACGCCACTACAGTACGTATTTCGCAATTTACAAGTTGTACCCTTAAATGCCAGGTGCCATACCTTTGCAAATCACTATGGTGAACTACCTAGATGGACGATATGTTAGACATAATAGTTACAGTGAGTAATTGACGCCAATCATGGACACAAGTATAGTAACTTACTGTTCATTCTCTTGTGATGGAGTAAACTGCAGTAAATTTGCCTTTGCTGTCTTTTAACTATAAGGGGCAATATGATCAACACCGTATTTGATACAATTGTAGCTTTTCACGGTTTAGCGAGATGAATTCTTGTGAATTTATTCATAGCAATCCATAAAATAGGGCAAGATACTGTGTATAGATAGATCAATCATAGATAAACGGAATACTATTGACATTATGAAAACACATTTACATATGAGTATATATAAATATAGCGGTGCATGCCATTTAATCAAGCGGTATTATCTTCTTTTATATCATGAACATATCCTGCCAACGTCGACATACTGAAATTATAAAAGACAATAGCAGCGGAGATAAAGTCGTGCTGAAATTACTGATCCCCAATTACGCTGCTGGCTCGATCATAGGAAAAGGTGGAGATGTTATTAATGACTTGCAAAACGATTCCAAAACTAGGATTCGTTTATCGCATAATAATGACACTTTTCCTGGCACCAAGGAACGTGTCATTGTTATAACTGGTAGTATTGCTGGCGTACGCCAAGTAAATCGATTCATTTTAGAGAAAGTCAGTGAAGAAGGTAAAGCTGATAAAGCAATTCAGTACGGTGTACTTGATAAGAATCGTAATAGGCAGTTAAAAATGATTGTACCCAACGCTGCTGCTGGTGTCATTATTGGCAAAGGTGGATCTAATATCAAAGAAATACAAGATAAAAGTGGCGCGCACGTCCAAGTATCCCAAAAAAAAGCACAATATGCCATTGATGAAAGGATTTTAACCGTCACTGGTGAATTTAATGAGAGATTAACTGCTTGGGAATTAATTATTTGGAAATGCCTAGAAGACATCAACAATTTGCCAAATACATCAGTATCGTATAGCCACGTAGAACCAGCGGGTACTCTTCCTGCCCTCCATAGTAACTACTATGGTGGTGGTAACGCAAATGATAGACCGATGGACTCGAGTGCAGCTAGCTATGACCCTTACACCAGTGAAAGATACTCGCCAACTCAAGTTACACAAGATGCGCAGGCTGATCGTCAATATGGAATGCAATCCTATCCTCCCACTGCTAGAAATAATCGACCTAGCAGTTACGGTGAAACGGTCATTAAAATTCCTGTTCCTGATAGTATCATTGGAGCGATATTGGGTAAAAGAGGCAAAGTTATCTCTGATATACAAAATATTAGCGGTGCACATATTCAAGTATCACAGCGAGGAGATTACATTCCAGGCACTAAAGATCGCGAAGTTACCGTTACGGGGACAAATGATGCAGCTCATTATGCAGATAAATTGATAAAAGGTTATCTCGATAAAGAATACAAAAAACAAGCTTCAAATTTTGTCTCTCCACAAAATTATTAGATTGAAATAATTGAAATTAGGCTGCAAACATTCTCGCTATACCAACTGTATGGAATTGGCAACCCATTGGTATGGTTATCAATTGTAATCATACCCATTGAATGAATTTATCTTTCATATCAAATCATACTATGGTCTTGGATTTAATTTGTACTTTTAAAAGGCAGTATCAATATTCTATCATTCTTCACTGCAGCAGTTAGAATTTACATCTATGTCATACAAGTATTTACTTAAAATTCAGTTTTAACCATCCGTTCTCGATTTAAATTGGAAAGATGCGATACAGTAATTGTTTAACGTTTAGAAATTATGTAAATTTTTACTGTTTCACCTACAGTCAATCGATTGCTTCCATTTAGGTAGTCATTACATTTAAAAGAACGTTTTTAATCATTGCCTTTAGATAGCACATTTACACTGTACTGTATATTGAAGGGAATTCAATCACTCAGTTTCTAAACTGTTTTCTACCCATTATCAATCACGTAATGCTGTTTCTAGTGCCACACAACTACTACATATTATTGCAGAAAAGAAGGATTGACATATTATTGTTATCATCTTTGTCGCTACCACATTTAAAATCAATGCTGTCAATTGTTAATTGTAGGATGAAAGCGTATTTCACACATTTTTTGTAAGATGAAATTTGTAGTTACGTTTATGTAAGCGATGTCAATTTCAGATGAAAAATTCTATGACATATATCATAATGATACATATTCATGCTCTAGAAAAAAGTCAGAGTCATAATCCCAACTGGAAAGACTCTGTTCGATAATACATTATCAGCGTGTCTACACGTGTATATTGTTTAATCATTTCAAGCCATTAACGTTTCGTGACGCTTTATTAAAAATATAACAGGAAAATAGTTTCTTGAGACAAAGTAGTTTTTGATTGATCTACCAATTAATTCAATACGATCGACGCCAAGCGCTTTTACGATCTTCTATTGTGTTGCTGCCATTTTGATACCATATTCACAGCCGATAGCACATCATTCTGTTGAGCACGTCCTTTTTTATACATTAAATCACGCGTACAGTCCATTAGTTGCTAGTTGGGTCAAGTCATCTTGAGCGTATTTGTTATGATTTTTTTATGCACGCTTTCGATATCTGATAACCTTATTTGCTAAGTGATGTACATCAATGTACGTAGTGAGAAAAGAAGCTCGCTTCCTATAGCGAGACTTACCACCTTCAATGATACCTTTCTACGGTACAGCGCAAGTGGAGTATATATGTAATCATAATAATAATTGTATATTCATCAAAAGCTACAGGTAAGCTAGTGTTCATCTATTTTGAATGCAAATGATGAAAAACGATATTATTAACAGTAAGAAATTAAGCCGCCATATTACTCAAATGATGTAATGGTATTGGTTGTAATTGTAATCGTCAGCATTTTATGGCTTAACGAATGATATAAAAGAAGGCTTTCAAATGTTAGTATGTTGTATAGTTGTGATTATAGCAGACTATGGACTACGTGTTACTCTATGACTTAACTCAGGAAGGTTAATAATTACCAGAAATAATATTAAAATGCTTATATTTAGTAATTATCGGGCTTCAGTTAATCCCCGGTGCTACACTGTGTACTGTATGCATCAATTTTGACTCCGTTAAAATTTGATTAAAAATTCAATTTTTATGTATATAAAAGTGATGTTGTTGTCTTTGGTCGGATATCTTATGATTGCCGACGGTACGTTACAATTTATCTTCTATTTACTCAACAGTAAAGTTAGCTTATTCATTAAATTAGATATACTCGTACCTAATATCAGCAGTCATTCCCAATTCAATCGAATCAGATTAGATAGGATCATTTCCTATTTTCTATTAGTAAAATAGTGGTGCGATGCATCGAGTCATGGACTACTAAATGTAATCCCAATGTTGTGTTATTTTTTGAGCAATGCATAATTTGATAACTATACATTCTACTGTACCGTACTCGAGATAATTGTTATGCGTTCTCATATAATTTCGATATCCATGTTTTGCCTTTCCAAAGGACAAGCCAGATAGAAAAAAAGGCTAGATTAGATAATCCTATTTTAGCCATCAGTGAGCTGATGGTAAATGCATGCAAAACTGGCTAAAATGGCGTCTTTATTAGAAGTTACCATGATTTTGATGCAAAAATGCGTTTGAAGATGAATTAAAAAAAAAATTGAGGTGTAATGTACTCTATTCTGCAGTCTGTCAAGATGAGTGCCGGCATTGGACTAAGCCTCATTTTGCATCGTTTACCGAGCTTTGAGGTAGAAGAAACAGGTTTTTCCTTCTTTTACCTCGATGTATTCTGCAGTCTGTCAAGGTGAGTGCCGGGCATTGGACTAGGCCTCATTTTGCATCGTTTACCGAGCTTTGAAGTAGAAGAAACAGGTTTTTCCTTCTTTTACTTCAATGCCTATGGTATAAAGTCAGTGAAGTCCCTAGTGCAATACAGTGCAGGAGAGTAAACTAATTGCAAAAAGTCAATCAACGTGATTTCTGATTCTCCAAGCAAAGTGAGCCTAAAGTACAGTATAGCTAAATGAGTTCTGCTGCAAGCTAACTACGTCCATCCAGTCATCCCTACCGTCTGTATCCGTTTTCTTAAAAGTGAGTACAGTATCCATGCTGCCACGACGTACTGTAAAGCCAGTCAATAAGTGAAAACGTACTGTAGAGTTCAGTACACTACTATACTGAACTCAGTGAACTGTTCCATGGGCTACTTGCTGTACACTATACTGTACTGCACTTTCAACTACAAAAATTTCACGAACGAATGACCAGAATACGGTACAGTACACGATGCAAAAGTCATTGTAAATAACTACTGTAGTACTGTACCGAATTGTACCGTGCCAGTGATCAGCTCCACTGTACAGTATATCCGCGTCCTTCAAGATGGCTTCCACACGGTTAACTGTCTTAACTCAATTCGTTAAAGGTCGCTATATTTGCCAACTTCAGCGCATAACACTTCGCTATTGTAATAAAGGAGGAAGTAGTCGAGGCTTAAGGTAATCCAAGCTTGTAGAATGATTTTGTATACAGAGTATGGCTTATTTTATTTGGCAAATCCACATGCAAAGCGAAATAGTGTCACCAGTATGGGTAAGCTGCAAGCTGGTCAAGAAGCCAGCATGGGCAGCAGTGATAGACAGCATGGATAAAATTACTTATTGCAGAGTGCTTGACCTCCTCTTATAATTCTTAGCCATTGACTACAATCATTCAAGATGTACAGTATCTTGATATAATCTAGATGAATCGAAATGAATGATTGTACGCTTGGTCCTGTACTTGGATGATTGGATAATAATTGAATTCAATTTATAAACTACTACAACTTCGTCAAAATAGCCACCACTCTGTACATTAGATTGACAACTTTTACAATCAATAATATTAAATTTGATATCGATATTCCATTGATCGAATGAATGTCAATCTATTTGCTATTTTAGAGAATATATCAACTCCAACGCGGTCGATTTCGCCCAAAAAAATCCACAAGTAGTTGTCTACGTTCGACCGAGACCTTATAGACATCCTTCAATCATTGCTGAATTTCGTAAGTGGTATCTTAATTGCACAACCATAAAATGACCAATAGTTATGCTATAATCACCAAGTTGGAAATGATAGATCAAGATAGAGTAGACTATTGTAGTAAAAATGTAGACTTTTACATTTAGATCCTGTATCTTTAGGTATAACATCCGTCATTGAGACATTTACGCGCATAATGCAAGTAGAGAGTATTCTATTGCTATTGTCTGCTGTAAAGCATATCGATTCAGTTTTTACTTGTAATAAAATAGAAATACGATATATCGGACTAAGACAGTAAGCTATTCGTAGTACTTCTTTTTTACTAATTACAATGTCAAGGTTGATGTCTTCTCTCGTTAATTATTTACAGTCAATGGTAAACATAAGGCCATTTCTGTTAAAAATTTATCACGCGCGGAAATAAACAATAAAGTTGAGCAACTGCGTAATTCGTCAGGAATAACCAGAAAGAAGATGAAAAGATGGTGGCATACTGATTCTCCATCTATTCAAGGAGTATGGACTCCTTTTGATAGTTTACCGTATAAAAATTATTAATAATGCTTTCACTGTGTATCTTGGTATGATCACCACCTATGCTTTCCTATGTTATTTTATACAAATTTAATGGACGCTTTCTTTATCATGACAGTGAAATACTATTCTACACTATTAAATATTTAATAGGTGGCATAATAAGCTATGCATGAGCTCACGAAATGCCAATGATTCTGTTTTCATGCCTATCCAATAATTATTCCGATAGACGTACCCTTTAAGACTAGCTCAAGTTCCCAATTCTATTCTAGATAAAAATGTATAAAGGAATGCAACTTTCGCTCATTTTAAAATACCAAAGAGGAATTCTTTATTTAGCAAAATAGATTGCATTTTATAAAATCTATAAGTTGAATGCTCAAGCCAAACGCGATACTATATGATAGTAAGTATTTTTACTAGCATAACAGACTGATTTAAAGTAACATCTACTGTATATGAACGGAATATCTTTAATTAACTTCTTCATGTAACACATCTGATTTCAGTGCTATAAAATACAGATGCAAAATCACAGAATGAAATACATTGTATACCTTAGAACATTGTATGTTGAGCTAATTGATAATGCAGAAATAAAACAATATTATAAATAATGCTTTAGAAGAATGTATGTGTTGCATCCTATATTAACATAACTGTGATCACGCGAATGTATATAATAAGCGTTGGAAGGTAAGCAAAATTACAAGCAATTCTATTTAGATTTAATGTTAGCAATAGAAGACCATTATGTTATTATCATCATATCATTACCATGGATGAATATTTTTAATTCATTAGTAAATAAATAAATAATTCAAAAAATCAATTTGACCTATCTATCACAAACAGTGATATTATAAAGTAGATAGCTATATATTACAAAATATACAAGCAGGAAAGCAACCACATTTTCTCTATGCTGCTGTCCTAGCTATAACATACTAACTGATACCATAAAAATCAATTATATATATATATATATATTTAACCTAGCCTTATACTAGATTACCACAGTCTACTTGAGATTGTTTCTCTTCATGCATAACATAAAATAAACTAAGCACGTTGAAATAATGCTTTTATGCAAATTGTAAATACCTCGATTTCGAAAGGTATTACTTGAAGAGGATATCTGTACTTATTCTTGATAAAACGTACGATAGTAGTGAAATAATAGAAACTACTATTCCTGACTATTCAATTGTAATTTTTCTATCGTCCCTTCTAATTCTTTAGTTCTCTTAGCTAAAATTCGAGCTGCAAGCTTTTGGTGTGCTAACGCCTCTTCTCTATCATTTAACTAAAAGTGTAATACAAATAAATGAATAATAAAAGACTTATCAAATGAAACTATCTAATGATATTTGCAAATAAGTACATAAGCATAATGTTACTTAAAGTTCTAATCTCAGCAAGAATATATTGTAACATTCTAATTTAGTAGTTAATGCATTTTATGTCCATCAAGTTAATTACCAATTCTCGTAGCTTGGCTATCTTTAGATTTGCTTCTTCCAAGTTATGCCTTTTATCCATATTTTTATTCGATTTATAATAGTTATCGTCAGTAGATCCACGTCTCTTTCCATCGTTTTTATTTTTTAACGATGATTTAACATTACTACTATTAAATGTAATATCTTTTCGCATCATTTCAATAGATAGCATCAAGGTTGTATTTTGATTAAGTTGTTCTTCAAAGGTTTTACGATAAGCATCAGCCGTTTGCATCAATTCACTATTTGATTTAGATATCTTTTTTATCTATGAATTATTAATATTAAGATAATTGAATAAATATTAGCCTCAAGTCTTATAAAAATATCGACAATAATAATCTTCTTGCCCTGATATAAAAGAAAGAATATAGAAGTGAGAACTTGTAGAATTATCCGCTTACTCTCTTTCTAAGATTAACGTTATCTCTCTTTGTAATAGCAGCAGCCTTGGCACAAATACAAGTTTCATTTTCACCTAAACAATGGCAGGCACCAAGTATAACAAGCTGATATCCAAAAGAAAAATATTAAAATATTTAATTTATAATTAGTGCTATGAAAATAACTGAAGTAATATATTATCAGTCTGGTATCACAAATGATATATCTTACCTCATCTGAAGTAGTATCTTTATTAAATTCTTCTGATAAATCTGTCTCTTCATCGCTAGCATTAACTTTATTTTGAATTTTAATACTGGAGGCAAGTAAATCTTTTTCTCTAGCTATTGCTAATATTACATGAATGATAAATTAAGTGTTACTTGCACTTTACGGACGTCATATTCACTAATTATATTTAAATTCTATTTTAATTACTATTAGTTATCATATAGTTAAAATACATAACAAAAACGATTTAAATTAGTCAGTACACTTGCGATCAAAACTATTAAATCTCAAGACAAAAATAATTAGTAAGATTACAGTACAGCATTGAATGTTCTCGAAGATATAGCAAAAACCAATGATTAAAATCAATCTTATGCAATTCCATAAACATTACCTAGTTTCTCAGCGTATAAACGTTTTAATTCTTGTGAGCGGGACTCCAATGTAGCTAAAAGAGCCTTGTTTTCTGTTGTTACTCTATAAATAATTGGGCGAAAACAACATTTACTATTTCTAAATTGTTATAATAGGTGGAAAAATAATTTGTAGTATGAAATAATATTACGATCGGAATTATTACGGCGATTCCTAACCAATTTTATTATATATTAATAGCAAAATCTTATATTCAATCTATGTACGCATATTATTGATTTATACGATAAATAAGTAGTAATGAAAGCAGTAAAAATTTTGCTATATACGCAATAGCGATTATAGTTTACCTATTGAATCTTTCTGACCAAACTGCTTCACTATTCATAATTTGCTTTTCTTTTAACTCCATCTCCCATTTAAGAGCTCCATTTTCCTATTAAAAATATTATTGTTTTCGTATAGTAATTGAATAAAAGAAAAGGTTTTATTGCTTAATGGATCAAGTAAGAGAAGTATGGTATAAATGAATGAAGCGTTAAAAATATGGTTATTCTATCGATTGCATTTGATGCTGACCTCCTTCAATTTTTTAATCATTTCTCTCTCTTGTGCAGTAATTTGCTGTTGTCTTGCTTCAGCAAGTACAGCCTTTAGCAGATTACAATAGTCAATTCTCATATAATTACTAGACAATGATATTGTACTGATTTCGATTTAGAATCGATTAGCTCTTAGTATTTCGTACGCGAAAACTGTGACAGGCTACATACATACTTGGCTATGAAGTATTTTAACAGCGCCATCTTTGCTAACAATTTGTTGTCTATAAGCTGCTAGTTCATTTTGAAGATGGTCTATTTGCTATAAGATGATACAAAATGAGAGATAATAGTGCAGGTTTACGATATGGAAAGAAGAAATGTAGAATAACACAATTTTACTTTTTCCTTGAAAACTTATGTAAAATTGGTCAACTAATACCGAGTAGCATTTCTTCAATCAAGCTATCTAATAGAATTTAATTGCTCATAGTATGTATTTGTTATCGATTTACTGCTACAAAATGATTCAACATACTTTATCAGCAGCTGATAACCTGGCTAACAGATCCTCAATTCTTTTCTTCTTGACACTTTTTGATAGCCTTGTACCTGTACCATAAATTAATAAATATTGATTGCGTCAAGAATAAAATGTTGTTTCTATCATTATCTACATTTGCAGTATATTTCCATTAAATGGTATACCGCTTCTCGAAGAGAGATAATTTAATCAAAATAAATCTTGCTAATAAAGAAGTCGATGTATACTATGTATTAATAAGTTACTGCAGTTTAATAGAAATCATAATGAACTTAATGTTGATAGTATAAATGATATCATTAATAAATTTTCAATTAATCTACGTCTAAGAAAACTAGAAACTATTGCATAATCTTTAACGTTTCTGATCCTAACCTATTTGTGATACAGTGGGCTAACATAGCAACTAGACTAGGATATTTAGTAAATAATCTTAATAAATTGTACAATATACGATTACATTTCATTCAATCGGAGGAAAAAAAGTGAATATAGAAACAAAGTTGACGGTAAGTACATCAATAAGATTGGATCTTTAATTAAGAGGTTAGATATAGCCTATTGATAGAGTCTACAAAATAAGTGATGATTTAATATTGTCGCTACGCACTGGAAAGTTCATTTACTTCTTTTTGTCACTGTATGCTGTGAAAATGATGAAGTTGATGATGAAATAATATTGCTGAGGTATGAGATGATTATTTTAATTCTTTACTTTATCTAATGAGAGAATCGATTTCATCAAAAGGATTGGTTACTAGGTGACAGGCAGTATTATCTTGACGTAGAAAAGGAACAGGAACTTGAAACTACATTTTCTTAATTAATATGCAGTGCTGGAACTATTTTATCCATTATATCGTTAATATGGTATCCTACATTACTGCTGCCATGAAGTAATCGTTGTATAATGTTATAACTAAACACTGTATTATCTATTACAATAATTAAATGGACACAATATATTGTCATGTCGAATCAAGGAGATTTTAAAACAAGTCTCGCGTTAGCTTTAGCTGCCTATCTCTATAAGTTATTGCATTCATTTTATTAGTCATTAGCTTAGGATTGAAACCGTTGTTGCATCTTAACTTGGTTACTATCAATGGCTAAAGACCTATTATTTTGATCAACGACTTACTTACTGTACTCCAAATGTTCTAACATACTATATCTTAAATTAATCATTAAGATGACCTGGTGATTGATGTAGAGATAAGTAATACAATTAAGAATAACTGTGGGAATTAAATTGGCCTTCTTGGTAGTATTATCCTAATAGTTAAAAATTAATTTTATTTACTCGTATACGAATGCTACCTTTACTTTTTAAATACTGTACCATTGTATAGCTGTCTTTTCCATATAATGTAGGAATAATACTTTATTAATTAATAAATGATCAATAATCGACGTGGACTATCTTAACTATTATCATCAAGTAGCCGTTATTATATTTACAGTATGTGGCATATCTACCGTACATACAAGTATTTTAATTAATAAATGAGGTCGCTAAGAGTATCGATTGTGTTAAAATGCAATATACTATATGTTGTATCCACGCACTCGTTTATCATGATGATAATTATAATTAATAATAACTTCATGTAAATTTACAAAGTATTAATGTTGACTGTATATCCTACATTCACCTATTTAACGGTGAAAGAAAATTTTGATGCATGATCGAATTACGTTTACTAACGATTAGAGTAATCGTATGTACATATTACACAATAGACAAACAAGAAAAGTTTGCTCTTGTTCTAATCTTTTATATCGTCAATCTATCGTATCCTACCATAGTGATAAAAAAATAGGTAGAAGAAATATCTAAATTACCATCTAGTCACTTAGCGTTTATTACTTTACAGTGATAATCAATATTGCCTACGCTAGTTACGCTGATTAAAAGTATATCGCGTAATGTTAAGCATGAAGAAGCGAAAGGAATAAACCATGTCATGTAGTGTATGATTGAAAGGATGAAAGAAAAATCAAATCTTATCACTAGTAATCCACAACACGATGATTACAAGATATCTGCTATTTGAGATGGAAATTAATGATGGTGTTAGCGATTACAATTTATAGAGTAGTGGAGAAGGTTACTGTTTATCAAAGCATTACTATAAGGTCGTTACTCTAATACTACTACAGAACTGGATAGATGAGTGCAAAAGAGCAACATTGAAAATCTAAGTACAAAGTGTCATTTCATGCGTGTCTATGAGGATTACACTTGTTATATAAGAAATGATATAAAAATTGAGCTCAGTAGGATTGTCCATGACAATATCATATAGTCTTATCAAAGTTGATATTACTGCAAAAATGATGGATTAATATCATCTATTAGTATAATTAGTAGTGTAATACTATTACGATCAGTTGTATAATAATACTATCATTGGTCTTTTATTAACACTAAGCCATCACTCGAACAATAATTCTATTGCGATGATCGATGCTATTCATTGCTATAACTTACCATCAAATGATAACAATTTACTTCGACTTAGAAGACGTCTCTTCTCCTTAATACGGCTATGATCAATGTCTAAATGGGTAATATTGAATCGTTTGGCAATGGATAACTTTTCAATTGGTTTATTTTGTGAGCAGTTTCGAAGATTGGTCGGTACGTCGACTTGATGATCAATTACGATGTAATCGTGCGTACCTGCAGCTTTCTCTTTATAATTGTCGTCATATGCGTAATGGCGATGATTTTGATTGTGTGGCGATACGATCATTTTGGATTGATCTTCATCTTGTAAATTGGTTGGCCATGGTATTTGATATGATATCATGGTAGGATCATCGGTTAACGTCTCATCTTGATCGAAATCGAAGAAAGTAAGGGGTAAAGCGCCAGGTTTTAAGCCCATACCTAAACCTAAATCGCCAGATGCTTCATCGTCATGGTCATCATCGAGGCCATATTCCGATATTAACGATGGCGTACTTGGAGCACTCATCGGTTAACAATTGGAATACTTTTGCGATTATCTGGCCGAACAGAAAGATGATTTTAACAGAATACACGATAGTAATATTCGACTCTTGAATATTTCATTGCAGCCACCATGCCATAAGGTTGAAGTACCACTGGCGTCCTCACAGCAACATATTCATTTGTCTACTATAAATAACATCTATAATAATTGATGAATCAATACAAAAAAATAAAAATAAAGAAAAAAATACAATTATAAGTAGATAACATACACGATCGACGATCATCTAATCTAATTGATTCAATCATCGTCAATTTTAATCATTAGCAAGGTAATAAATCAGTTATACGATTACATGGCAATGATAGGATCGGATTTTTAATTCAAAAGTGCAATATTACAAAAATCGGCCGGATTATAGTACAGTTAACTTATTGTTCATCGAGAATAATAATTACTGATAATGTGCCCGTTATATATGCGTATTACATGATCTGCCTGTTGTTGGTTTACTATACAAATTTATACAAGCAGAGTATTGTACATTAATTCCCCCCCCCCTAAATCAATCTGGGACATGTGGTTACCAAACATTGTGATAGAATATGGTCAATGATTGGGATTGTACGGACATTTTGTTCTTCTTGGCTAGAGTATGGCCTAGTGTTTTATGATGGTAGTTGGATTAACTCTTAGTGTTGCCGACTGTTGCAGTCGGGAGTGCACAAGAAGAAGTAATGGTAGTACAGTAGCAGTATAGATGATGATAGAGCAAGTAACGATCCTATGATGGTGGATCGTTTTTGTGATGAAGGATAATGAGGGAAATTTTAATGAATATTGATGTCATGTTAAACTTTTCGACTTTGTATTCTACATTATGGAAGTGTAACATTGGTCCACTCTGACTGATGACTTGCCCGTTATGTGCAAAATGCGAGTATAGTGGTGATTTCTTCTATCATCTACAGCTGTGTATGAACTAGCCAGCTGAATATCGATCGACTCTACAATAGTGTATTACTGCAAGTCTTTCCAAACTCTGTAGTACAGCAATTTGGATATAGCAACTACCAAATACCAATCAGAGACTTTAAGATTGTACTGTAAACTACTTCTTGCAACTGACGTTCGTTATTTGGCCAGCAAAAACGTTTTGCATTGCTACCCTTTGTAACCATTGGTGCGGCCATGTATTATTTCAACTAGGGAAATACCTTTTATCATACATGATAGAAGACAGTATAGCACCGTGTTGTAGTGTAATGTATTTTATTGATGAATACATTATTCTAATTATTCTTGATTCTTGATAGACTGTATTTATTGATTTACGAATGACTACTTTAATTTCCAATCATCACTCCCACCGATTGAATTGAGCTCCAACATTGCAGTACGCCATACGCCATACTGCATGATACACCAAGTGTGGCACATATCCAACGTTCCTCTATACTGTATACTGTCATTGATTGCATATGGTCGATCCTCAAGGTTGGACCATTTACATGGATCATAACCTAAATACTATGCAGTGCGTTGCAGCCTGGAAAAGAAACTTTCAAGCTGCATTTGGCACCATTTTCATGACATTTCCTCCATTGCCGACCCCAACATGAACTCGTCATTCCACTCCAACTCATATTAGGTATATGCACTTCTAGTCAAATCGACCAATTCATGGCCATCGATAGCGTACAAGAGTACAGTACGGTACCAGCAGCCAACTGACGGTTGACCGGGTGGGTGTCGCACCTCGCTTTTCCAGCAGATTGACGTGAGTACAAGTCAGCACACCGGCCTATTGTTTTCGTCCCCTTTGGGGTACCCCCGCGAATCTGTACCATACTGTACGTAGTTGAACCGACGTCCAGTACAGTGTACAAGACTTAGTACTGACGAGTGTGTACTGTACTGTACTGTACAGTACAATGTACAAGACTTACAGTAGTACTGTACTGACGAGTGTGCACTGTACTGTAACACTGTACCGTTCCGTATCGGTACTACCGGTACGGTACAAATAGAGCATACCACCATGTAACGGTACCGGTACGGGCAAAGTCGCTTCTTTGACGTAGCCTGGAGTGATCTCTTGCTTAACCGCTGAAGAAGGTTGTTTTGCCACCATTTCTTTATTCCTTGGTGTTTCTCATCTTCAACAGCTATTCTAGACTACTCACAACTGTACTGGCCGATCATTAAACGGTCTATGGATATTCTCATCCACTATTGGACTCATCATACCAAGAAATCGTCATCTACAGTGGCCTTTGAATAAAGTCCAGTCCATTCCATACCGGACGTCTATTGTTGCAAAAACTAATTTTGTATCCAATCCTCAACTATTCTTGTCCAAACAATCGATATTCTATCATGGCGGTCATGCCGATCCATTTACGCAGTGGTATGCTCTTATCCATCATGTTACTAAGCTTGCTACCTACTTTAACCAAGGTATGTTTCCTTCTAGACGTAGATTATTATTATCATCAACTAGCTAATCTCGATGACGAAACACAATGAATAGTCTTGTACAAGGATGTTATTGTTATTTCTAGAGCACTTGATAGGCTGATGACGTTTTGCAATCAACAGTACAGTATACTGTACATAGACTATAGGATACTCTTCACTTCTATAAATACACTCGTCATGGAGAAGAAATAGGAAATGTTTTTTTACTTTCTAGCCAACATCAATGTGCAATACACTCGTTGCTCGTAGTCTCTGAAAAGGAGACATACTGTAGCAACTGGGATTAGCGCTAAGGAAATGAGATGTGGTTGATTCTATTCACACGTTAATTCGTCTATTGTTGTTTTTAATTTCCATCTGCCTTTCAGTAAGGCTACACAGTAGATATTATTTTAGACTTGTAAAGACCCTGTTGAAAAAATTTCCCATGTAATATTGCTTTCAATGCTTTGATAGACTACACATTTGGGGGGGGGGAGGCGCTGTCCTTACTGTACTTTCGCCTAGTAATCTTCCATCGCGGTCCATTTTACCATCGATACCAACAATGCAACATAGATCATCATCGCGTTAATCAGTCAATAAATATTATTATCTACAGAATCGACAATTGTCTTATTTTTGCAGTACACTATTTAGACATCACATTGATTTTACTGTACGTGATCTAGTATTACTTTATATACGTGTAGGTGCCGAGATGAGATATTTATTATTTTTTTTATTTTTCTGGACCGTTCCCATGGCACAGGCGAGCGAATTTTATGTTTGTTTACATTATTTGCATACTGTATTACACTAGCGGACAGTCCTCATTGAGATGTGGTACTCGTATCCTGCACATTAGAATGCGTTGAGCGCTTGAAACAGTCAATAATACTGCCTACTAATTCATGAAAGCTCTTACTGTATGCACACTACATTATCCAACTGTACTGTAGATGCTACAGACTGGAAAAAGACACTCCGAGTGCCTTGCCACTGGACGTCGTAAAAGTCAGTAGGAAAGTGGACAAGCTTTTAATCGATACTGTACACAATATAGTTGTGGATAGCATGGAGAGCGCGCAGTATGCAGCTCCAAAATGGAGGAAAAAATTGCAACCTGTATCTACACAATTCGCTAGTGCTAAAACTTGCTTGAAATTTCTTTCTGATCAATCCCAACTTCAATCGCAATCTATCAAAGCTTCTTGATGACTCATAGAGTCATCAAGAAATTTTATCCAGTACCTCAAAAGTATACAACTCCATATGCTCGCTCTTTCGTCAATTAAAAAGATAAATAGTATGGAATTGATTAATAATAATTATTGATGAATTATAATACAGTACAGCGACAGTAACTACAATCTTAATTCTACATGTAGAAAGTATACAAGTAGATGAAAGATGTAGTAGAAAAGAAGTATTATGGCATAGATAATACGCGTATACTATGCTCTATTGATACTATAGGTACAATTTGATTAGACTGTATACAATTCGATTTTTTGAACGGTGCAATTTCTTATTTCTCTATTAAATTAAAATGAGAATGATTTGAATAAATACGGTCTACAAAAGAGATTATAAAATAGATTTTAATTTCAAGTATGATCCTATTGACCAGCTACAAACGATATCATTATATTCATTCTATCTTTTTCTTCACTTTATTTTATAATAGGCTCATTTACGTTGCGTTGGATGTATGTCAAGTAAGTTGCAATTTAATTCATCTATACGAGTATACTATACAAGGTCATCCGTATAGGAAAATGCATAAAAACGACAAGTTATTTGAATAATAATTGATTTGGATATTTCTTAGAATGTTGCTGTAATGGTAAATGCTGTCGCTGTCGTCACCTTATTTACGAAATGTGGTGTAAGTTTCTATTCATTGAACAATCATTGAGTATGATATTCCTTTTAATCCTTAGCTAATAATAAGAAGAATAGATTTGCTAACTTATAGGTAATAACACACGGGGTGATGATGAACGATTACTTTATTATAACAAAAGAAACGGCTAAAGTTTATCCACTAGTAATCATAATATATAGATTACTTACTCGGTAGATATTACAGTAATCCTTTTTCATTACCAATAGCAAACACCAACTACAAAGGAATTATTGTAAAGGCACAAATCATATGCTACCACAGACAGCTTTTAATTTTTTCCATAACGGATTAATTAATTTTATCTTATCATTTTATTAGTATCAATTGATGTTAGAATAACAGTTCTTTTTAATTCTGACGGAACAATACTTCTGTAATATTAGCAACAATGTAATATTGACTTTGAATATGATTGATGACAGGGTTTTGGCTATTATGGTGCTTAGTAGTCTTATTAAGTTGTTGCTGTGCTTACATCAAACGACGTCATAGACGCTTTGCAAACCAAAATAATCGACTTCGAACAATCACTACTACCGGCGGTAACCTTGCCCAAACAAGAATCGGCAATGGTACCCAAAATTCAACAGTGACAGTATCTTTAGAGAAATTACCCTCTTATAATGACGCCATCAAATCGTCAAACCGAGATTTACCTGAGCCACCGCCACCTGCTTATGTTGATATGCCTAATCTGACCCATGATAACTTTAATCAATCTGGACTAGAGCATTTTACGGAAATCCCGCTACGCGTAAGCACCAATCAAGACAATGATACTGGAAACAGCAAAAGAGATAACTTAGATTCTGAAACCTTAACAATATCTTCTATTCAGCCATCATCGTCGAAAGGGAGTGATGCTGCTTAGTCCTATAATCTGTAATATAAGAAAGTATAAATAATTATAGTTGGCTATTTCATATAGTAAGCTATCTTGAAAAATTATGATATATTAAAACAATAACTAGCATTAAGAATTTCAACCAGCTTTCAATATGTCTCTAGTACTATTCCGCACCCTATTTATCAACTAAGGTAAAATTCATTTTTGCCTGTATATTAACAAATTTTAATGTAGAGGTTAGCTCAGTAATTCTATTGACTAACTGACAATAGCTAAAATTACTTTTTTCAATTCGCTGTTGTCAATTTAGCGACATAATTATTCATCAACCTCTAGCATTAGCAAACAATGTATAATACCCTAATTACGACTATAACCTTAGAATAAGATCATAAAAGAACGTAGACGTATATTATAAAAGTAAATAATCCAATATGGGTAAGCACTATTTAATCATTTTTTTGGCTAAAGCAAGTGGAAATTTCAAATATACATATTTTTTGGCAATTTTGATAACGATGGTAATGAGTCAATCCTGTTGAAGTATTATTAGCTGTAATTGAGGAAACTCAGAACATCGATGATTTTTGTATTGGCTGGTATACTTGCAAAGCATACACAAATAACTTCTATGACTTAACTTGCAAATTTTTCAACATGATAGAAAGGCTGTATTCCTACCCTTTATAGGAAATAAATAAATTAAAGCACTGTATCTGAAGTGATATCATTTAACTCTGAAATAGCCAGACTAAATATCCTCAACTATCGGGCAACATCCTGGTATTTGCTAATAAAAGATATTACAATAGTTACTAGAATGTATCGTTTATGCGGACATCTCAATTTGTTGCTGAATTGAAGGTTTTCTAGCCATTAAAACAAAACAACAAATACAAGATCTTATTAGAGCTCTACTCATCGTTGCTTACTTAATAGCTACTCATGCAGAAAGTTTTAAACTTATGACTACAGTAACTATATTTGAATAAAACTCTCTTGTTGTACGCGTACCATACTTTAGTGTAATACCCTAAATACGTACATACTGCAGTTTGTAATCCTAATTTGATATATGGAAAAGTGTTCTTCTACAGTATTTTTCTTATCATATAATTATCGATCAAAACAGTTGTCTGTACAACCAATAACGTCAGAGTAAAACTTTTAATTCATAACCTTAGTAAAGTAAAAGGCAGAAATAGCTTAGTTTAAAACTATATCGAAACCATCTTAAACCATGATTTTTTCATGCAATGTTACTCTGCTCTCTCATTCACATCAAAAACACTCCTAAATATTACTTATATGTAAATATATTTATATACGAAAACAATACCAATTTATTCATATCCACTATTCTTTGTAGTGCCATTGTAATTGGTAATAATGAAACGATCTACAATTTATAAAACAGCATTACAGTATATTTGAGTCAGAATATTATTGCATTATTAAAGGCAAAAAAACTACCGTAGCAGTATTTACATATTGCTAATTCGTTTCGACTACAAAATAAATTGCATTACGTACAATGAGGGTAATCAAAACTATATTAGTAATGCAGTTAAGATAACAAAAGATTCAATAACGGTCTGATATTTATACCTGCAATATGGTTATTTCAAATAACAATAAGAAGTTCATTCCATCGATAAATGTATTCATACTATTGTACAGTAATTCGATAAATAACGGTATACGGAATATAGTGATAATAATAATATTACAGTATTACAAATCGATCTACAGCATAAGTACGTCGCATCAAATCAATGATAACAGCCTGCTATACATCCAAAATAAAACAGCCGAAGATTTAAAAGCACACAGAAATGCTATTCCCAACTAACAGAAAATATAAAATAATGTAGCAAACTATTCTTAGTGCAATCGTTACTCTATTCTATCGTCGATTGAAATACACGAAATACAAGAGTATGATTTTATCAATCATAACTTTTTAATGTACTGACTAGCCTGTACCTCTTCTCTAAAATTGCTTTAAAAGGTACCTTAGCAACGTGATTCTGCGATCTTTGCTTATCTCATATTGATATACTATATGTACTATATGGACTGGTAGATACGAACTTATTCTTCTTACTTCAAATCGAAACTAACTCACATGCAAAATAATAAAGATATAATTCTTATAAAAGATACGAGCATTATTTACATAATATATCATGCTGTAGTAGTAGAAAATGCTTTCCTTTTTCTACCCAAGATATATCTTTTGTTAGCTGATAATAACTGCTGTTGTTCCGGGCTACACACAATAAGTGCACTACCAAAAGCTAAGGCCGATTGCCCATAACCAGGCATGTTTCCTTGTTCTCCCGGTAAGCGCATCAATACGGACATGATACCAGCTTCGCCGTTATTTACGGGTTGTAATGCAACCTGACTTGGACTTTGCTATTATTGGTAGAATAAATCAACAACACCGCATTAGCTAAACACTCTAGCCATCAAATATCGTCACTTATTGACCAAATTTGCAAGACGATAGGAGAACATAGTACAGTAATGTGATAGTACTACTACCCATTTCGTTAACTTCTATTACCCAGATATCAATAAAATATCGGTAAAGACGAGCATTTTAAATTTAAAGTCATATTAATGTTTACCTTTTTAATAGAGCTGTTATCATTATCGTAACGTTCAATAATGAAAGAAATGGATGAAAATGGCCGGTTAGCCATTTGTTTTAATTCTACCATACGTTCCTGTAGTAGTTGTCAAATCAACAAGCATCATTTTAGTAAATGAAAAATGTAATGTAATACCAACAGTTAAAATAACCCTTAATGACGTACCTGTCTCCTACGATAACGATCAAGGCGTTGCTTTATCTTCCACAAAATGAACGCGAACAACAATAACGAGAAGAAGCATCTATAGCAGTTAAAATATTTAACCATGTTAGTTTCACATTTCGAGGAAAACAGGCCTAATAAAAACACGCCACAATCTCCATAACTATATCTCAATATTACTATTGTACGTACACAAAAAATGTAAGAAAAAATTGCAATAACTCGATGAATGCTATCACATGAACCGCGGATATCTGATATATAAAATAAAGAGAAAAGCTAATTAGCGTAAGTCAGTAGTAAACACATCATTTTTACCGCCCCGTAATATATGAGAAAAGCTCACATATATAATTTCTACCGTAAATTGATAGCACGATGTTAAAATATAAATTTTGATACTTGCCACAATCAACACTTTAGAAGAAAAATTTCCAATATCCACAAACAATGACTTTAGCTCGTTAGTTCCTCCAACTTTGAAAGTATCGATAGCAAACGTTGTTTCTAGCCTTCTTTTATACATTTTTTCTGAATGTAAAATTTTCATCTCTTGTGTGTAATCTACAAGCAATTTTACACATAACCAAAAAATCATTAAAATCAACCGCACAATCTCTCATATATATAGAAAGTAGTATGGTATTTTAGGTAAAACTTACTCCAAGCAACACTAATAACTATTGTCGGAACAAGACGATATTCTTCAACTTCCACAGTTAACTTGACATTGCGATCCGGCTATCATCATAAAAGCATGACGTCATAGTAAGCAATATGATTATAATAACTAGAAAGTCAAACTCTAATAAGATTGCATAGCTACTTTCACCAAGTTAATCAATCACCAATTACCTTTGTCGGAGTGACAGTAAAGTGAAAATTCGTTATTCGTTGATTCTGTATCGAGACATTTACTTTGCTATCTATAGCGACTCTCACTATAATTTATCGTATAATATATCAAGATTACAGCAGCACATCATACATGTATTTATGAATAAGTTTATATTTCAATTTACTTACAATAACAATATCCGCCATTCGCTGCTGACCCGGTATATTTACTAGTATCGCATCTATAAACAAATCCATTTTCAAAATTACTACTACGTAGTAAGAAACCCGCGTACGATTTATGTAAGACATATGAAATATTTCCATAAACATTGAAAGAAAAAATTATGCGAATGGCTATTTAATGCCAAGCAATCAATAGCCTCATTACCGTTCACAATATGAGCCTTTGTTCCCTTCCATTGTACAATAATTTTCGCATATACCGGTCGAGGTATCACAAAGCCAAGAATGTCCATTACAGTTACAGGCTACACAATTATAATTATAAAAATAAAGTAAGGCTAACTAAAAATCGGGATGCGTCCTTGACTGTATCAATATCTTGTGCAATATATACCTGAACATGTCCCGCCATTGACTGGACGACCATAAAATCCCCACAAACAATATTCACAATTCTTACCTATTTCCATAAAGATGTTAAGACCGCAGTTTAGAAACATAAGATTATGGGCAAGCAATCAACATGTTTGATAGCTCAACTTGCTTAAAAATAGCAAATCTTACCACGTGTATTATCGCGACAAGGTCTACAGACACTACCATTTATACAAGTACTGTGTCCATTGCATTGGCATGCTAAACATATTAAATCAGGTTTAGATATTTATAGTTTGATGCTAGTATTCTATAAGATTGGTTTGTAAAGATAGCGACATAATAGCTACCAAAGAAATGTAGTCGTAACTATTAAAATCAACTATACATACCAGGACAGCTTGCAAACAACCATTTGCGCGCATCACATGCTGAATAATCGACGGTAGCATTTCTGCTGTAGACGTATCCATTATAAGAACGAATTGGACCCTCATATCTGCCGCTAATACATTTTCCAACACCAGTTATGTTGGATTCACACCAACCACATCCTGGCACAGCTTGGCAGGCATCACAAGCAGTAAAAGATTCACATTGGGTTTCTAGTAATTGTGATAGCCATAAACATGAAACAAAAATGTTGAGTTTAAACTTAAGGAATACTGTTCCTAATGATCAGATACAATTAAATAATACAAAAGTACTCAGGTATGCAAGTTTTACCTTTGCAGGTACCACTAGTCCAAGCTAAACATTGACCAAATGAAAACAACGCCGGGTAAATAGCAGATGATACACATCGATTTTCGGATTTACACCACATACAGTATGGCGTACGCACACATGAATTACAACTTGACTTGTAGGCGCATGTAGCTGGACAGTCTTGAGTTACAACATCTACAATTAAAAAGTTTACAATATAGCATTTCACCATTATCATATAACAATGGATATCCCTATTAGATTTTGTTATAAACAGGCAGCAACTAAGAGGTTAGTAGACTACCATCAGACTTCTTCTTGGATTCGTGCACACAAAGGTACGCATTAGTTCCCGAGATAGAACGCCTAACCCAAGAACACTCTCGCCTTTTGCATTCATGGCAGCTACCAGCAAGTTCGCAGGAATAAACTTCACGCTTGTAGTACGAGTCAGTGCAATTATTATCCTGCTGTAAAGAGATTCAAATATGAAGTAATACTTCATAACGGAGTTTTATTAATCCAAAGATTTGATCAACGTACCATTCCACAAATAGTCTTCACAGTAGGTTCATTACATTGACTTTTATCACAGTAGGTACAGATAGGATTGTAAGCATCGCATGCCGTACAAGAATCAGCTAACTGACAAGGCAAGTTCACTAAATCGTCAAGGATAAATAACAGTAACTATTAGTTTGATCAAATCATTAAATAAGTACAAGCCATGTACTGACACTCATAGCGCACGGACTTATATAGTTAGATCGAATACGAAAATATGGTCAGTAAACAAAAAAAATTGGATCGTTGCATTCGTACCCCCGCAAGAACTGTCACGTATACTGATGTTTGAGACATTTGCTGACATACACAGCTGTTTCCTGTCTGACCAAAAGCACTTTTCATCGCTAACGCAAGTTAATTCATCTAACCATAAATCGCAGTAATCTGAGCCAAATAAAATACATTCAAAATAATTTAGAAAAGCGATAAATACTGAAATCAATTTTTACAAGTATGACCATATTTTTAAATAGCTATACCTATTATTCAATATTAAACGTTATAAATGTTGTCCAACAATGATCTTAAAATTGAACTTACATGGAGAATAAATTATAATATCATCATAAACTTTGCCACTGAATCCACCAAAAATGATCATAGAACTGCGATCAATAAATTAATTTCAAAGGTTATCTCCAACATAATTGTACCAATAATTAACTGAAAATTTTGAATAGTAACATTATAGAAAGGTCTGGCAATATAATGCATGAAAATTAGTCATATTAACAGTGTACTATACTTGTTATAGGTAACCGACGAATGACCATATCTGGGAGAATCATAAGGAATAGTATCCGAAATGAGCTTTTTCCAAGTATAACATCCTTAAAGGAAAGGTTTGCTTTCATTATGGTCCAGTAAAGCTATCGATACTACACGATAAAATTTTTTACGCCATCGTAACGTGGCAACCTACTATTGATTGATAGTACTTACTGGTGTTGTAGACCATTAATTCGGCACTATAACATTTGGCCGTTCCTGCAGTTTGCACGGTGTCATTATGAGGATTTCCACCCCAAACATACATGTTACCGTTTATAAATGTAGATGAGTGAAGAAAACGTGGCAAACCGCTACCTTTTAAAGTAATCCTGGAAGTATAAAATACCCAATTAGATCATTTTCAAGGAAAGTAATAACTAGCATTAATTGCTTAGACCAACCAATAATGATTGCTAGGATCAAAGGCATATAATGAATCGGTTAATCTTCCAGACTCGGCGCTCAAGCTTCGATCTAAATAGCCTCCATGTACATAAATCTTTTGAGTGACACTATCATAGACACTAGTATGACCGTACAATCCGCGAACCGCAGATCCATATGTGGTAATACAATTCCACTCACGAGATTCTAGAAACGTAGAAATTAAATAGTAAGCAAATATTGATAGATTTTATAGGTATTGTCAAATAAAATATATATATATATAGATTTCGAGCATAAAGTACCAATATTGAATTGCTGAACAAGATTTGTGATTTGATAATCTGGTGAATACCCAAAGAACGTATACATTACGTCATCAACGATTACTGATGAATGGCCAATCATACTAGAGGGAGAGCAGGAGTTTGTTTTTAAATTTTGGATAAGAGACCATATATTTGAAGTAATGTTGTATATCCATAATTCATTAAAGATCTTTCCATCATATTGTCCGCCATATATAAAAATTGCGTCCTGTAAGTAAAATATTTTTAGTCAATAATAAGACTTTCAAGGATAGTTCTATAGCTGAAAATATATTCTGTAAAATCATGTTAATAATTAAGATAATTGTAATTAAGAATAACCTTGTAAGCTACTGAAGAATGTCCGTAACGTCTTGAAGGCATCGCATAAGAACTATTTGGACTAACTGCGCTCCAAATACTATCCTTGAGGTCAAATCTATCCAAAAGGAAATTATTATAAGTTTGAGAATTAATAGGAAGCAACTACCAGACAGGGATGAAAAGTTTAATTGACCCAGAATTTTTACGTAGCAATTTCGTAATTAGACTAAACGTACTTAATAAAATCATTTAGCAATGTCTGCTTCAACGCATAACCGCCAAAAACCCACATATAACCATCGTTAACAACCGCCGTATGAGACACTCTGCCCTCGTTAGTTTCTGATAGAAGAAAGGAGAAATTATTTTAGCTCCAATATTAAGTTATGCGATATAAGCTTACTCTACAACTAATAACTGCTTTTTCATCACAAACTGAGCCGTATCACCCAACAAAAATTGAACTTGTTAGACAGTCAAATCTAAGCTAATATTTGATAATACTATCGAAGAAATAGAATACCTTTCATGCCGGTTATTAGCGCTTTCCAGTAGCCATCACTACTGTTTGCAGCAACCAAAGAAACTAATTCGACTGTATACAATTAGCAATATAATTAAAAGGTCGATATTTGTACATACTTCATTCGTAATTTTATAAAAGATAGATATAATATTGAGTTAATCGAACCTAGTTTGTAACATTGACAAAAGAAACCACGACTACTGCGATCGATTACAAGGGAGCAGCCATCTGAACAAACATGACTGCTACAATCACTTCCTGTCCAACCAGTATCACACAAACAATTTACATTATCGATGCATACTCCATTGCCTGAACATCCATGAATACAAGTCACCATACTACAGATATAATAAGAATTGAAATTGGTGATCAGTCAAAAAAAGTATAATGTTTAGCTAAGCATGGATATTAATTAAAATCAGCTACAATTAAGACGTTTACATCAAGAATGAAAATAAGACGTAAAACTTGACACGATACCTGTAAGAAATGTTAAACCCTTTAGTTACATAAGCTTGATCACTATAAAAGTATAGAAATGCAGCTCCAGAATTGGTGACAACAGTTGGTACCGAAGATTGTATTCCATTAGTAATAGTTTGAGGTGAAATGATACCACTACGAATGCAAATAAAATTATCAAATTAGTTTAGAATTTCTTTAACTGAAATAATCTATCGATTAGTTAAACTACAAATATCTAACCAACTAAGTTATACGGTCTTTTAAATTACAAAAGAAGTATAGAACATTTTTTATACATAAAAATCCTCCGTATCAAATTTCTATTTCAATACCTAAAACTAGCAACTAGAGGAGCGAACGAATCACGGCCATCGAAAACATATAAATGGTCCCAGGAACATTCTGTGGCAAATTCTGTTAATTCTATCCTTATTGTTGTGTTAGTCCTATATAGTAAAGAAGGTACGAGATATACCATAAGCCTATATCAACTATGATCGTAACAGTAAAGGAATAGAATAGCGATAACGAGTAACATTTCTGCTATAGCAAAGTGTGACGCTAAATAAATTCATGAAAAGTGGTTTATTTATATGGCTGGTAAATAGGTTTATTCAATTACTCAATGTAGCTACCAGTACTATATTATAATAAAACAAGAAGATAAATGATATATAAGAAGAAATTGGCATCAATGCGTATTATTTCAATCGTTTCTATTTTGAGACTATCGAACGGTATCATCGTAATTAGATAAGTTCGTAGATAGGATAGATCTCGTTCAACTAAGCAAAGCGGGTGGTAAAACTGTGTTGAATATCTGGAAATAATTTTACTGAATTAGTAATGACAGAATCTACAGCTGTTATCGTTATATCGCTAAATTGAAAGTTGTAAACTATAGTGATGGGAATACACTGTTTCTGACTACATTGTTACAGTATACAATAAAACGTTCAATATTCCTGCATTGGTAAATGAATTACTTATGCCTTTTCTTTAATAATGTACTTGAAGAACATTATAAATTTAATTACAACATTGCAAAATTTTCTAGCTAAACAACTCCTATCTAAAACTGATTAGTGTGAGCAAAACTAATGTTTTATATTGTATATCGTTTATATGTGACACTGTCCCTATTACTACCCATAGAAACGAAGTACGAAATTAATTTAATGTCATTTTTTCTTCACAAAAATTAGTTGTATTAATAAGCAAATAAATAAATTATTTATCCGACACTCGATTAACTGTATAGATTGCAAGACATTAGCGTCTTTATCTAGATTTTACGTATGCGATTAATTATTCTATGCCTATATTTATAGTATCTAAAGGGTAATTAAATTGTTTACGCTTTTAATTTACACTTTATTAAGTGATAGATAGTGGCATAAAATATTAGTTAACCAAAATCAGGTAACGTAGCATAATGGAAACATCAGAATTTGATATCAAGATCAATTAACATTTAAAGGCGTTGACAAAACACCATGATAAACTCTTCTACTTGTACGTAACTAGAAATAGCAGAATATTGGCGGTAATCAATATACCCAGAATAAAATAACGCTAGTAAAGTAAAATTCGTTATCCAGCACTTTGTGTAAAACTGTTTTTACGATATTCTTATAGAAAAACACCTACTTCAATTATGCTTCAATGTAGCTAGCTATCACTTTGGGCTTACAGTCAAATGACATAGCGTCAGCCTGATAGCTATTTATTATGGTACAGATACACGTCTAGAATATGATGCAGTTAGCAAATAGATCAACTTACGTTCCACTTTCAATTAACCAAGAGCAATTCACGTTAGTTTGGTAATGATGAGGAGATTCGACAATACGACCCTTTGGTTCTGTCAAACTGCAAGCAAATATGATAAATAAATCAATTATATAGGGTAACTTATTTCTATTCAAAATCATAGCACGGTAAAATAGATTTTAGTTACAATGAACTTTAAATTAATAGATGGAAGGAAATATTGTTGAGTTCTGACAGATGCTGGCATATATTATTGTAAAACGTTAATCAACAGTTTCCGAAGCATCATTCAGGAGTAGTATTAAACTGGAAAGAGCAAGTTATTTTTCAACCTATTGTACTATGTTGTATGTTAATCCCAACGTCGTGTTGCGGGAAATTCTTCAAAAAAAATAGATTTTATATGGTAGAAAAGGATATTTAACATTTGATATGTGGTAGATTTTTCTTCCTTGTTTCTACCATAGGGGTATTAGTACGGCTTTGATATAAACGTTGTGCATATCGTCCAACACCCAAATAACAATTACTATAATTCAAATTTACTTTCTGACATGACGTTCAATCATGTTTGTTACTATTTTCTAAACCATGCCTAGCACGATCGGTTATTCATACGGTACTATTTCGTCTATAGATCACAGATTAATAATAGAGTATTTTTCTGCTACCCTTTCACGATATGATCTATTAATTTTACGTTTTTACCGCTGAAAACTACCGTCTATCTAGAATAGAGATACTGTCTACACGCACAACTTACGAAATAGACTAGTGCAAGCACGATCTTTGCTGATGATCATCTCGTGGTCGTTGTTTCTCAATACTGTATGTTTGAACTTATATTGTTATTAATCAAGTCCTTTATTACGCCATCATGAAGGGTCAAAAGTAAAGGTGATTCATCATTTGTGACAATATTTCAAGAAATCGGTGTTGGAGGTAGGTATCCTCAGCGCTCGACTGGAAGTCGAGCAAGATGGTTAACTTTATCTGCATGGTATAATTGGAGGCGGAAAATATGATCCTATTGTTGCAGTTTAGTGTATAACTTTACAGCATACATCTAGTATCGTTCATCTATCTTGTGCGCATTTACCACGTACAAATTATGAATCAATTGTACTATCAGCATAACGTTGTTGGAGCAAAATGAATCATCTGTCTATTATTGACGGTTACTGCTGTATCTTGTGTTGTATTTCTCACTAATAACATGCTATCTAGAAGTATGTTATGGAAGAAGAGATACACTACATACTGCTATACAGTAAGTGCTTGCAATCAATTGATTTATTAGCGATGCAAATCGTACCGTACGTTACAATCTAGTGAAATCATGGAGGTAAAATCAAGGTTTCCTTTTTATTTTGCTCGGTCATGACCGTGTATTCTCAGCATAACATTGGCAACCGTCCTCGTTAGCAATCAGTAACTGTGTGACTCTTGCAATTCCATCCAATACTATAGCCCGAGAATACATCTAGTATGACTCTTCTATCTTGTATGCATCCACCACGTACAAATTATGAATCCATTGTAGCCTAAGCATAACGTTGTTGGAGCAAAATGAACCATCTGCCCATTTATCGACAGTTATTACTGCATCTTGTGTTCTTATTACTCACTAATAACATGCTATCTAGAAGCATGTTATGGAAGAAGAGATGAACTACATACCACTATACAGTAAGTGCTTGCAATCAATTGATTGATTAGCGATGGAAATCGTACCGTATGTTCTAATCTAGTGAAATCATGGAGGTAAAATCAAGGTTTCCTTTTTATTTTACTCCGTCATGACCGTGCATTCTCAGCGTAACATTGGCAACCGTCCTCGTTTGCAGTCAGTCACTGTCTGACCCTTGCAGTTGCAGTCAATACTATAGTCGGATACGTCCAATATGGGCAGTAACCTTGACTTGTAGCTCAACGATACTACGGGTCAATCAAGTCATATGGGGTTGCTAGTGGTTTGCTATAGTAATCCTTTATGTCTAGCTCTATTTTGGGTACTTTACCTCTCGAGTCGACCCAGGAGAACGACGATAGCCGTGTAAAGGACGGATGGTATGACGGATGTTCCTTTCATCATAGCTTTATACCACTGGTATACGGTATCAAAATAGACTACGTAATAATACAATTTGCATGATATTGGGAATGGACAATCCATTCCACTTGCGGATTCAGTATGGCCCATTTCCTTGTGGCATTTTGTATCAAAGAAAAATCACTTTTGCTCCATTCATTATTGGATTGATCAGGTTGTCTATAATTTTTACTAAGAAAGATGATATAGGGTACCATGATAAAGCTCTGACTGTAGCATTGGATGACTTTACAGTCAGTACAAGTAGAATAGTGTAGTATGCATTTTCTACACCGGTAACGTTGAATCCAATCTTATTATGGAAAGAGCAACATTGATATAGTAATGATAATTCCTTTTTTTATAAAAAGGCTGTGACTAGACTTACCATACGATTACAAGTCACTTGCAAATAGAAATCATAGAAGCATGCGATGATAAAGACTAAAGTAAGTAAGACAATTTATATCAAGTGCGATTGGCATCTTTAGGTCGAAAGGCTAATGAGTTCAAGTTAATCGAAATAGAATGCGTATATGCGAACTTGGATTGGTGTTGTCAAGGCGTATAGAAAAGAATCCTCTCTACAGCATGATCGCCGTGATCAATAGAATGATTGCAAAATCGTCCCAGGCTCTTTCTTTAACTTTTTTACAGAAATTATTTTCAATACAAGTCCAATTTGATGATGAAGCCAAAGGCACTCTATTACGTTGATATTGTCTATTCTATAGTATACGAGTCTACACGTAAGTCAAGGGCAATGCAGCGGTCAAATCTAGTTGACATTACGTAGTGTTGTATCATCCTGTAGGCAGTCTTGTCTTGATTGGACACACTGACTCTCCTGGGCTGTACATCAAAATAATTCCCCATTGATAACAAGGGATAGTCGATCGTCCATCGGTACTCACTTCAATGTTGTAATAAGAAAAGATTGATGACTACAAATAGCTATTTTACTCCTATGTAAGTTGTACTACTTGATATCGTTTGGAAGAGAGTGAACCCTTGATCCTAGTTTGTACGGTAATCCCCTACTTGATCGTCAATAAAATTATGCAAATGAGGCATAATACCATCGATATTGCGTCTAACATCGATGCTTGGTCAACTATAAAAACATAACAAGATTGGTCTATCATAGCGATATACTTACATTCTTCGACTATAACATTCAGTACAAGTAGGGCCAGTAAAACCTTTATAACATTGGCACTCGCTACCATTGCATTCTCCATTCTTGCATCGTTGGGGTAAGCATGAAGAATTTCCATACGCCAAGAAAATCAAAATAAACAGTATAGTCACAAGATTGATAAAGTATCTCATGGCATCGAGTTACGATAGAGGATAATTACGATAGTTGATACGCTTTCATGAATGTCAATATCGACAGTTTGACTACAACCACTCTTGCTTTCCTCCAAAAAAAAAATGGTGTTATTGACTAGAAAAGTTAACGTTGCGTTTCCAAAGTGAAATGGGAGGATCGCTACTCTCTACCTACAGTACGAGTACAGTATGGTACCAACTGCAGGACGGTACTGTACTGTACAGTACAGTACAGTACCGTAGTGGTTTTTCTTTCCCGATACTGCACAGTGTACAGTACAATTCAGTACGAGGCATTACACTCTACTCCATCCTCATATACGGATGGGCGGACAATTGGATGCACACACAATCGAGGAGTGCACTCAGTGGACCGAGGTGAACACCGGTGTAGCGAGCGATTGAGGTGCTATTTTCATTGAATCGATTCAATACAGTGCGCACTGCTGCTATACGGTACAGAGTAGTGCGGTAGTTGTTTTCTTTCCATGGCCATGGAGGCTAGTATACAGAGGTATGGAATACTAGACGCTAGAGCAGAATTTTGCATCTTCCTTCCCTATCATTGAATTACGCTCTTGTCCAGAGTGTATTTTGATTGTTTGATTTACTGAGCGCAATCACTATGGCATGAAACGATGTACGGTACCGTATAGCGTGGTAGTTCACCGTAGTTGTTTTCTTTCCATACGGGGTAGTATACAGAAGTATGGACAATTGGACGCTAGAGCAGAGCAGTATACAGAAGTATGGACTAGTGGACGCTAGAGCAGAATTTTGCATCTTCCTTCCCTATCATTAAATTACGCTCTTATTCCTAGTGTATTTCGATTGATTGATTTACTGAGTGCAATCACTATGGCATGAAATGATGTATGGTACCGTATAGTGTGATATGGACAATTGGACACCAAAGCAGGGCAGTATACAGAAGTATGGACAATTGGATGCTAGAGCAGGGCAGTATACAGAAGTGTGGATAACTGGACGCTTGCATTTTCCTTCCATATCATGGATGCTCTTGTCCTTAGTGTATTTTGATGGATTGATTTACTGAAGGCAATCACTATGGCGTCGAGCGATGCACAGTACAGTGCAGACGTCGTTTTCATTCCAGAACCCCTATTGGAATATCCATTTTTTTACTTCTGGGTTAAGTTCCTCTAGACATATCGATCGACTGGGCTAACTGTATAAGACAGTTTGTGGTGATTTTTCTCTCATAACTCTTGTAGTAGATCCCTCGCTCGTTTTACCTTGTGTACTATATAGACCGGTATTACAACGTGACTTGTAAAATGGTTGGAGCGACTGGTTGTTTTGGAAACTTGAAAGAAAATACAATTTTTCTATACTGCCATTAAAAGTAATCAAAATATCAAGAGCCAATTGCTCAAGGTTATACTAATCTATCTGCATGGAATTGCAGCTAAATTAAAAGTCCATTTCTTCACAATTGAAAGATATAATTGAAGGCAACACTACAGCTCAACATCTTTCAACCATTTTACAAGGCTCGTCACGCCCCTGTAATAGTGGTCTATACTTTTGCTTTTGACCATTTCTCTGACTTGAGAGAGAGAGTTCTTTCTCTTTCTCTCACAAGCCCCTAATATTACGGTACTCATTAGCTTGACTAGTGAGTAGACTGCCCCATGATATAGTATCCATTTCCAAGTTAAGTTCTTGTAGATATGACACAGTGGCAATGTTCTTCTTCTCTGATCGCTAGATAGAACACTCGGTTGCGTTCATGGCCAGTCAAAATGGATTCTATCAATCGCGCGGGATTGATTACGGTAGAGAGATTTCTTTCTTTCTCTCTCTCTCACAAGCCCCTAATATTGCAGTACTGTACATGAGTTTGATGTTCTTTAATTAAACATTGGCTTCACTATTGAATAGAATGCCCCATGATACAGTATCCATTTCTAAGTCAAGTTCTTATAGATATGACACAGTGGCAATGTTCTTTTTCTCTGATCGATCGATAGATAGAGACGAGTAAGTGGAAACACTCGATTGGGTTCATGGCCAGTCAAAATCGATTCTATCAATCGAGCGGGATAGATTGCGATAGTATGGCGGACAGTACTGTACAGAGACTACAACAGCTCAGGGCAGTAAACTGGACGAGTACACGTACTTCAGTCAATAAACACCATATTAGCATGGGACTTGACCGCTGTCCACGATGCGACAATCTCGCAATGGCTGGACAGGAACTGTCCTATTTTCCTCAGCCTCTTTCATGAAGATAGAAAAACAACAACAAGTAAATAAATACATTGCACAATAGAGAGTAGAAACCCTTAATTTCTATCCAGCAAGTCGAAGAGACCGAGTTGTACTAGACGTGCGTGATCGTCTGGACTCTGGACTCGCATTCTATCCGACAACAACGATAACGGCTATTGATCTACCTTAAAAGAAACGACGGAACAAGATTGACTAGTGAATGACGATGAGTTGATTGAATAAAATACAACAGGAATGAATTAAGCCATAGACCACTGACTAATGTACGGGATATGAATATGCTGTAGCTTTATCTTGGAGTTGTTGTTCTATCCTTCAGAATTGAGATTGATTGTGAAAATAGAATAGATCGGAAGGGATACAGTAAAGTACATACCGTGTATAGAAATCGAAAACAGAAAGTATATAGTACGCAAAAGTATTGACAAGCGAGTTTTCCACGAGTAGATTGTAATAAAATGACCACATTAACAGTAAGTTATAGTGTAGTTGCTTTTATTACTTCTCGATCTTTACTTGTAAGGTCTATCCTATCGGAACAACGAACACAGTACGATTGATCTATTCGTGATCTATATTCCGAATTTCCGATACCATTTATCACTTACTGTAGTCTAAGAAATGACATATATGCAAATAATATCAATGCACCGAATGCCAAATTAAGGACCTTGGGTGATACAGCCTATGATGCTTCGTACGACATAGATATCGTCAATTTCTCAAGTTAACTCACATCCAATTCAAGGGTTGAAATGATATGAATGGAATATACGAGTACATTTCCATATTCTCCAATGCAGCGCCAATGGAATGATATACGCATACAAAGTTTGATTTCCACAACAAAGGTAGACGATTAATCTCGACAAGATTAGTCAATCAATCCATCTACCCCTCTCCATTACCATTTTCCTATGGTTACGCTCACACAGGCTATTTTATTTAAATGCCAATCCAATGGTGTACTATACGAGTAGCTTTAATTGGCATAAAATAGACGATGATATCATTCCATCTACCCCAATTGATCGATAATTTCCTATTTATGATGATATCCACTATTTTATTCAAGAATCGAATGATGTCACAAAATATTGTATAGGCGTATACACAAGTAACACAACCTCTTGAGAAGTAATCTACAGTATATTCTATTCTTGTTTAGATTCAAGATCTTTTATTAAAGGATATCTCATATTGAAAAAAGAATTGAGCTCCGGTGTCTGATAGGAATTTCCCGAATTTAAAGGGTATAAAATAATTTTAAATGTACCTACTGATATCTCAACATAATCTTATCTTTCAAATAGAACACACAAATATTGTATAGATGTATACATAAACTCTCGAGACGCAATTAGAATAAGTTTATAAGGACTTCTTTCCGAAAATTTATTTATTTCCGCTATGTGGCTCTTCGCACAGATCATCTATTCGCATGAATTTTAAATATCCTTATAAGACAGAGTTTGTATAGGCTTACTCTCCTAAATTTATTTATTTTTGTTATAAAGTACTTCTATCAGGTCATCTTGTTTGTTCAATTTTAAATATTTTTATAGCAAAACCCGGAACTGAGTTTATGAGGACTTATTCACGAAATTTACTAATTTTGCCCTCAGATTATCTATTTGCATGAATTTAGAATATCCTTTAAAGAAAGAGTTTTGTATAGACTTGTCCCCCTAAATTTATTCATTTTTATTATCGATTTCTTCCATCAGATCACGTATTCGTATGATTTTTAAATATTTTTATAATAAAAATGAGCTCATAAGGACTCATTCAGGTATACTAGTTTATTTCCGCGATAAGATTCTTCCCCAGACCATTTATTCGTATGAATTTTTGAATATCCTTTTAAGAAAAAGTTTGTATAGGCCTATTCTCCTAAAATTATTTATTTCCCTATAGAGTTCTTCCCATTAGATCATATAGTTGCATGAATTTTGAATATTTCTATTATAAGGATGAGTTTATAAGAACTTATTCACGCAAACTTACTTATGTTTATTATTAATTTCTCCTTTCAAATTATATTGTTATCTATTACATAAATTTTGAACATTTTTTAATAAGAAAGAGTTTGTATGGCATTATTACCATAAATAATTTATGTACACTTTAAAGTTCTTCGATCATTTATTCAAATAAATTTTGAATATCCTTCTAATGAGAGAAAGTTTGCATAAATTTATTCTTGAAAATTTTATCTGCTCTAGAGTTCTTCTATCATCTATTCGCATAAATTTTAAACATCCATGCGGCAAGAAAGACTTATTTCGTTACCGTTACAGTGTTCTCCATCATTTATGCGCATAAATTTTGTAATCCTTTTGCGCGTAATGAGAAAAAGTTTGTATAAATTTATCCTCATAATATTTCAGATTTTCGTCATTTAATTCGGACATATCTTAACATTCTCGTAGTGAAGTAGGCTTTCTACAAATCTGTTCCTGTAGATTTACCCCTGTTATGGAAATCTTGCATTTGTTGGTACGCTTTTAAATATCCTTATTACTTATAGGAAGGAAAACTTAAGGTAAAATAATTGATTCCCATCAAATTATCCCTATTATAGAGTTTTCTCATCTATTCGAAAGGATTTCGAATATCCTTATAATAAGAGGCTGTTTACGTAAATTTCTTTATATTAAATTATCCCCCTTTATTTCCTCGTCATGAGTTATTTGAAATACGAGTTTTCAATTTTAAAATTAATTATATTTGTTAGAAACCTTTACCAATGCAATATTAAATTTCTATTCAATCGATTCTACCTTATCATTTAATCAATCTTTCATTACTTACTCATTCATTAATTAAATTCTTTGCTTGGATGTCAAGTAAAAAATTCCAAATCTCATACTGAATATGCCGTTTTGCATACTTGCACTAAATTAGAACTAATTAAATATTAAAGTCTTGATTAATAATACATGCTAATGCGAAAAGGTTTATTCATTTCCGATTTCAACAAATACTCGTACATAATGGAATGAGTATTCTAATTGATATAGTAAGCAAAGTCATCATGTTTTCGTCTAATTCAATATATTTCAAGATGAATAAAAATTATATGACTATATCATTTTGTATCGCTAATTATTCACCGGTCATATTTTATTCATTTGCAATTACGTATTGATACTCTAATGTTTTAAATAAAATTCTATCGGTATTATTGTAGAAATTCAATTTATAGATGAGAGAGTTCAATGCAAATGACAAGCACCATTAAATTTTAAGCTAATTAAGTACGATTTGAGTAAAGGGACCTTATTTCATCAGCGTTTATATAGTGTACCATAGCTATTAAATGTACTTCAAGAGGATATTTGACATAATATAAAATCTAACTACAGTTCGATAAGGGTTGAAATTTCAACCTCTATTAAAGATGAACATAAATTTAACTATAACTCGATATAGTCATAAATTTCAGTTTCTATTAAAAACTGAGGGCTTACACGTTCTTGGTATAATAAAATTTAGCAGTAACTAAGTATACTCATAGACTACTATTAAAATCTATCAAGCAATACTTGGAATGAAGGATAGAATTTCAATTACAATCAGATATATCATTTCATAATTTATTGTGGATTCGGCTTGTATATATATATATAGAATATATCTCAACCACTATAAGAGACCTATTAGAAGAACATTTAGTGCAATAATAATTTAATTAAAACCAGATACATATACATACAAATTTAACCACTATTAAAACTCTATCGAAAGAGTACTCTATGTATTATGTAAAATTAGGTGGGACTATTCCAAATATTTACTACTACTACAATAGTTCAATCAAGAGAATACATGACATCGTAGAATTTTCTTACACCTTGTACACGAAATACGGCATAGATACTTCAACAATTATTAAATATTTGTTCGGGGAATACTTGATATTATAGATATACGTTATAAATCAATTTGAAGCATTGCTAATGGTCTGTTAAAAGAATATTTGTATGATGTAAATTTAATAAAAATTGTATATGATTCCAATCTTTAAAGATTCATTAATAGAAAATAATGGCTACAATATTGATTCAATTACGCATATATAGTTATGTAAGCTTCTACAACGATTAAACATCTATCTGGGAGAGTAATTGTCATACTTAAAAGTGGACTACATTTCAACACATCTATAAAATCCAATTTTCACTAACGAACTTGAGAATCCATTTGTGTAGACCAAGAATTATCAAATATTGGGCATAACAGTGCTCTTTTTATATTTCACTAATCTTCTCTTCGGCTAGAATATGGCACTTTATTCATAGCAGTTGATGATCGAATAGTCTCCGCTTAGTCTCAAGCTATGGATTATGCTTTGACTGTAGATCTAGTTAAGTGGCCATAGGTACCTCCAATTTTATACCGATTTTCTTTTACAATAGAAATAGATAACATTAACTCTTCTCCGATTGCTTATTAAGCCGTATTCTAATTAAAGTATAATTATAATGACATGCTTTGATAAAGTATTACGATTGCAGAATATAAAAACTTGCTTTGCTTCTTAAAGGAGAATCATATGGGTGCCTATTCACTCTGATACCGATAGTTTAATATTGTATGAATAATTTAAAGCTGTCTTAGTGATTAATTATATCCAAAACTAAATGGCACCCTTTCGAAGAAGTAGCGATTGAAAACATTTATCGTGAAATATCAACTCATCACTACATTACTGGATCATATAATGTTGATTTAATGATCAATAAATCGAAAATGTCATCTATACGAAGTTTGCACAGGCCTTGATAATCATGGTACAACATGAATCACTTACTAGGAATATGTCCAGTATAGTTTGGCATCATTCCAGCGTCAGAATAAATACCATTTGCGTCTTTTGATGTAGTCGAAAATGGTCTACATAGGAGATTAGATTGTTATCAAATTTAGAGAAAGTAGATTCCATTCATTATTTAAAATAAATAATTTAAGAGCGGTTAGTGATAACATTTATAATGTTAAATCATGGTTCTAACGATTGTCTAAAGATTATAGAGCTATAAATCAATAACCTAGCTGGCACTTGATTCACAGATTCTGATGGTATTGGAGGGAAGTAATGAGGATGTTCGAATACAGTTTTCGTCATATCAGTATATCTTAAACCTAGCCCCCCATCAGTTTTTTTTGGAATGTGGCCTGAGTATCCAGGTATTGGTGGAGGCATGGACTCTCTTCGACCACCTTATAATCATATACATCATAACTTCTCCGTCACATTGCTTAGTAATTTTAAATTTTGGCTACAGGTAAGGACTAACTAAATCTTCTTTCTTATTCTACATACGTAATTTAAACTAACTATTAAGTTAAAAATTTCGTAGAAGGGCTTGATATAAATAAAATACCTAAAAATCCATGATTTCGATTCTTGACTAAGTTATCTAGTGCCATTTGGGCGCTGTTAAAACTAGAATTCGATTGTTGATGAAATTTTGAAGACATATCTGTCATTTGTTTTAAATTGGAATAAATTTCTCGGTTTTCCTCCTTTCTTATGATATGATCTCGAATTGAGCTTTCTGCAGTATCTTTATAACGTGCTCCGAAATGATATTTAATACCGGGGACGTAACCTAATTAGAATAAGACCATAGACTATCTAATTTTCTCTTGAAAGCAAATTTACCTTTAAACCATATCTACTATCAGACATGACAGAATCAAGGCATAATATCCATAACATTCTACTACATCTATTAGCACTTCAGTAAGACTTAAATAAAGCAATTATCAGTCTACAATCATAAAAATTTATAATAGCAGCCTGTAGTAGATAGTAGATGTATCAAAATAATTGTAATATTACTATACTGATTTTAGTACGTCGTAGCACTTACCTGTATAGCCCGGCACCATTTCCTGGGCTAATTTTATGTCATCTCCACCTCTTGGGATAGATAGTTTCCGGTTCATATCGATTTTAGGTAGCTTTAACTGATTTGATGCCTGGGAACTCGGCTTTTGTTCCTATTTCGAAATATCAACTCTATAACTTATGAAATCGATAATTACATTTCTATATACTTTCTACCCATTTGCTAAAGAAGTTAAACACATTTATCGACATGATAGAGCTGTAAATAGGAGATTATAGAATTAATTCTATGCATGGCAGCTTATTCTTTGTTTTCAACGCTACGTCAATAGGAATGATTGAAAGCCTTTCTATTTCAGATATATTTTGTTATAAACCATGAAGACAACGATTTTTGTTTGGATAAATTAAGAGACTTAAAAAAATAAAACTTGAATAGAACTTAATCAATCTATCTAATATGTAGCTCTGAGACTATAAAATTAAGCAGCCAAACATCCTGAAGTACACCAGCTAAATGCTTATTTTATTGATAATTATTATACTACAACGTTATTAGTAAATCTTGGAAAAGCTATCCATTTCATTCCTATTAAGTTTCGTCATGTTATTACTTATATTTTCTCTATACCACCAACTTAATTTACTAGCTTACTAAATACAGATGATGAGTCAACTTCCCATAGGTTTCACCGCAATGAAATTTAATGTTTGGGCGATAGCCACGATATCTGTTTAGGAGAAATCATCCATGATCAAATTTGAAGCTTATAGTTAAGATTGGAAACGAGTTACTGTAATCAATATAACTAGAAAAACAGAATATTACTAATCATGGCATGTTGCATGCAGGATGCAAGATGGCATAAAATATTGTAGGAACGATGTTATATCTAACTGATTTAGTTAAAACTCCAATAAACATATCTATGCCAATAATATTACTACTTTATTTTAGTACTATTACCCAGGTATTTGAGCGCCAACAAGTGGTTTTCCAATATGTTGCTGAACCATTTTGATTAATGTACGCAAAGATCTTGAAAATAAACACAATAATAAATCTAGATAGCAAAACTATTAATCAAATATGACCTAAAATGTTATAAAATCATTAATGTTTCCACTCGCAGATTTAGAATCCGAGTCTATTGATATTATAGATTGTTTGCAACATCTACGGCGTCGTTGTTGACTGACAATGGTCGCTAAGGAATTGCTCATAATATGTACAACTGCTTTAATTAAATAATTATGTATTTATTCATTAATAATCATAGATAATTAATTGTTTTTGTGAATGTTGATAAATAGACAAGCAATCATAATTGCAATTTGACTATTTAGTCAATAGACAATATCAAATTATGGCTTAAAGCATTATTCCCCATACTTTTTAATTGTTCTTATGTTAATAGCTAGAGCATTCAGCATAATTTAGTACTACCTAAAAGCAAACTATGTACTGAACTTTCGACAGGTATACTAGAAACTAATAGGGTAATTATCCATGTTAACTGGAGAAGCTATGAAGATCACTGCTTGTGCGTGATTTTACTATGATCTCAGTAATCGAATTCTTTCGCGTTCTCTCAAATATATTATGTAGCCTTGAAAGCCTGAAATTACAGCTAGTACCACATAGTTGTTCAAGTACCGTATTTATCATGGCGAGAACTTGATGGAAAACTTTGGAATAGCTATCAATATTAATTCGCAATTTTGGCACAAAGGGTTTGAGGGTGTTTGCATGACACTTATCTGCTTACGTTATTATGCTTCAGTTTCTACCCAACCACTGTAACTAATTTATGCCATAAATTTCATATCATAGAGTAACAACTTGACTGATAAAACATCACTTTGTTGTATTTATAGAAAATTAACTCAATTCAATGATGTCTGATCTGCTAAAATAACCATTATAATAGTATTATTACACTATGTTCAATGAACTAATGAAAAACAGTTAATAATAGCCTCCTTTATTATCGAATAGAACCACAAGATTGAAATGTTATTTTGATTTATACAAGTGCTCGCTTGATTGACAAGTCACCTACAACATTTTGTCTCCTTTGCCGTAGATACCCTCAGGATTCTATACTTTATCATAGTTATATGAAACTATTTATCAAATATTCGTTAGGCTATTAGCACATAAAATTACGTAAAATAGTTCATATTATTTATTTTATAGCGGCTACAGGTAAATGATATTTTCTTATGAAGTTGCCTAATTCGAATTGCTTGTACACAGTATTTTCGTTGATGATTGCAAGATAAGATTACCACTAGAAATTAGCGATATAGTTATTTCCTTTTCTTATAGGCTTTCATCTCTGCTTGCTGATTTGAGAGTAGATGTTCAATTTCCTTCACTTTACGCTTTCTCTCGGTATCTCTGTGTTTAGAGGCATCAATTTGGAATCACAAGGGTCAGACAACCAATATCTCAATATATAATTTAGTAATTCATATACAAATCAACGACAGTTACAAATTTACTGTACCTCATTCGCCGATCTTCGCGCTGTTTCATAGCCACATAACGACTGTCTCTTCTTAGTTCTCGTGTAAGTCTCTACAGTCCGTGAAAGTAACAGACGTCAAATATTATAATTATTAGATGATTTTCATATCTACAGATTCTCCGATCAAATTATGCATATATTTGAAAATCTTGGATAAAACCTTTTGATCTCGCTTATTTTGGCGTCTGTCTTTCATTTTTTCTAAGTGTTTCTTGTTTCCGTAGCTTCGCTCAGAATTTGTTTGCGTACTATTACAAAACATAAATACCCAAGAAGAAATGCAATTAAACAACAGTTAAATCTTAAACCTTTAGGAATACAGTTTAAGTGAGCAATATGACACTCTGCTTCTTACCGATCTTCAAACCTTGGTTCGAGTAGTTTTAGCGGCTGAGGTTTACGCTTTTGTAATATAAGATAATTTCTTGGTTCTGATATACTGCTACTAATTTTCATTTGTATCGATTCATAATTAGCCTACAATCATGCAATAACACAACGACAATGTGAAAACATTACGTTTCCGCGTGGCGTTTTGTATCAATTCTACAATATACAAGTACGTCTATGGTAGCTACTATCCATAAATTGATTATAAAATATCTAAGGGTATATTAGCTGCAGGCGTCGCATTGAATCGGAAAAAATCTTTTATTTATAAATCTACTTGTAATCTTGTATCATTTAACCTATAAATCAACCTTACGAGAATCATAAAAATGGAAGCTAAAAATGTACTTTTAATACCTTAATTTCTGCTGGATAACCTTCAATATCGATGCTACGTCAAAATACACATTAATATAGTCAACAAATGAATCTTCGTTGACGTTCACTGCTATTTAATATACATATGAAAGTATATTTACCAATTCAGAATTTCAGAAGTACGATGATAAATTTCCGGAAATGCCACCGCATTAGCATATAGTTTCGCGAATTGATCGAGCAAATCAATGGCTAAAGCCAATAGAGACAGCCTATAGTGTAGTACATTTTGAGGTCATTGTTAAAAGTTAATTTGCAGTTAGAGACCACAGTAGATTGTAAGCTAAAATAGGCGTGCATTAACCTTAATGTATCCATGGATATATCTGAAAAAGTCGTTGAATTCAACCAATGCAATTGTATAGGCTGGATCTTAGCACTAAATGAATTAAAAGTGAGTTCATAAAACATTAATGCCTCATTTAGTATTACAGAAGATCTTACAAACTGAGCCATAGATCACAGATGTTCGATTTACGTGCCATATAAATATAATAATAACATGTACTGTAGCTAAGTGATTTTATTACCTTTCCAAATTTTCGATATGAAGTAGATTTTCATATTTTCGATCTAGAATTATTTAAAAATATAAAATTTCAGATATGTTTATGACACGATATCATAACAAATTTAACAAATCTTGGCTAGAGATCGCTTAGATCCACAAACATTAAGTCAATTGTATCGACATTATTTGAATTAGTGAAACTAGCAAAAGCAAAATCAAGGTTGCAACGGCAGAGTGAAAGAGCAACGCAGTTTATAATGCAGCAAATTACCTTTGAATGTTGAGAAAGCAGAGATAATATCCGTCAAAAATATTACAACTTCGGGTACGAATCGTTTGGATTTAGAAACGTACTGTAAAGTAGTAAGTAATTATTAAATCAGTAATAAACGGACTGTTGGTAATTTTCACTAGCTTTCAGCATACATAAGGCAAAAATACCAATTCGTACAGAACTTACGTCTAGTATGTTGTTACAAATGAATAGTCCTTTCGTTATATCTGTAAGACTTTCTACATTGGACTAATAGTGAGAGGATATAAAGTGAAAAAACAATGATAATGTGAAGTACAAACGAGTTATCTAGTAATTTCTTTCGTACCTCAATTAAAAGTTTCCCCATATAAAGCATGGTTGGTGTCGAAATGCAGTGATGATAGTCGGTAGTGGGAAAAATAATTGCCATGACTCGGAAAAAAATTAGCTGATGAATTCCTGGAAATGCAGCTTTACCTAAAACGGAGAAAAATACTTGTTATTGTAAACTAGAATTACTTAAATTAGAGTAAATCTTTGAAAACAGATCATAAAGCGTGAATCACCTTTTTTTTTAGTTTCGTTGACGTACTTATTTAAAAATAGCAAGCAACAATTTGCTGTATACTGTGGAGATACTTGAGCTAAACTAAAAATATGCCTGCAACAAAATGATATACCAAATTGTCACTATCAAGTAAATACAGCTGTTGATAAAGCATTGATCGGATCTTGGCTTACTTAATTAGTCCGTCTAGTACATTTGAATTTAACATTTGTTCGGTGAATTCTTGAGTTATGTTCTCTAAATGATGTAGTAAACAATCTAAGAGGACCTGCAATGGCACATGCAAACTTTTAGAATTCAACGTGCTAATTTAGTAAGTAGAGCAGTTACGACATATCAAAGCAGTATAATAGCCAGATCCGATGACAATTATACGAGCATGTTGATCGCATATTGCAGTATATCTGCAGAAATAAAACTGATATTGTCCAAATCGTTTGCTTTTTGTAGATTTGATAGCACAAATTAATCTATCAAATGACATGATCTGATATTGAAAGGTTGAAAGGCAAAAATTGTGTATCTATTTATATTACCTCCAATTTACCCCTGTTTTTACTATCTAATGAGATGTGATAATGGGTTCGAAGTCTGTCAATAATGGTAAGCTGATCTTGTAAGGATCTATGAATCAGAAACGAGATCTTAGAAATTTCAATGAAAAAAGTATATTAATAAAATTATTTCATGATAACCAATTAGACAAACCTTTTTGTGACTAAAGATTTAAATTCGTTGTACGATGCTGGTGCTATTACCATCAATGTAAAGATATTATGTAAGCAAACATTATACCTTTCTCAAATTCGGTAGGCAATATAAATAACGTATAAATGAAAACATACCTTTGAATTGATATGGTAACTCTTCTGCAGCAGCTTTCATTTCAAGGCTAACTGTATTCTAAGTGTTGATTTAATTTATATAATACTCCATCAAATTAAGCAGCCGATGGAGTAATACTCCATTAAACAACCTTTAACTATCAGGAAATCTATAAAGTGCATATACTACATACTTTTTCTTCTTGTTTATTCATTTCCTCTGCAGAATCTTCATTTTCAGATTCTTGTGGACTATTTACATCCTCGTCAGAATTTAAATCCTCTAGACTGTCACTATCTTCCTCTGAAATTTCTTCTTCTTCCTCTAAATCTTCTTCTTCTTCCTCTGAACCTTCTTCTTCCGCGGATTCTGCTTCATCGCTGTTTTGATCATTGTCGTCGTCTGATACGTCTTCCTGATCACTTAATTCGTTATCATCAACTGTTGTCGCTTTCGATCGAGGCAGTAATTCCTCTTCGGTGTATCCTAATCAATGATATTGTCGTTGATGATATCAATTCTACCAAATATGTCGACAATTACAAGGTAGATTTACCTTCTGGGATGACCGCTTTACCATCCATGTAACGTAATGCAATTCGTTTATCTCGTATTTCTTCAATACTACATTAAGTTTAATAATTAAAGTGACAATTTATTTTCTGACATGAGTTTATTAAATATTAATTCCTATATACTGGTAATTTTTAAAGTATTTGAGTGTATTTTTAAAAAAAAGTATTAAAACTACTTTGTTTCCATCGCATCAGCAGATAAATGTTTGGGCCGTTTTTCAGAAGTATCGGGTAAGCCCTTCATTCGTCTCAGTCTATCTGCCTGTAACAAACAGTACGAAATTCAGTATAGAATATAACATTGATATAGTAGTTAACTGAAAGATATCAATGCTATCTATTTTCCAAAATTCGGTACGGTAATGCGTTCGAAGAGAAAGTAGGCTTTTTCCTAATTACCTCTAATTGCTCCAATTTTTCTTTTTCTTCCTTGATTAATTCCTCTTCAGATTTTAATCTACTTGTAGCCTAATTATACAGTATAATAGTTGATTGGGACGATCTTTTAAAATATTGAAGAGCATAAAGCATAAACTATTGAGAACGGCGGAATAAGAATGTATATGCCGTGGATTAGCATGTAATACCCCTTAAAGAAATTTTTGGTTAGTTTATTAGTTATTTAGTAATTAAATTTTTAGTCCAATAAGTACTTAATAGTTATATTTACATTCTAAATATAGGGGTATAAAAATTTTAAATTAAACATATACCTAACAAATGGCTTTATAAAATAATTTTAAGAGAATGGCAGCTCAGTGCAATAAATATATTCATAGATATATTACCTTTGCTTTTAAATCGAAAGCGAGCTCCCTGACCGATTTATCATAGGAATCCACCTTATTTTCTTGACGGGTAGTATTTGCGGCGTTAATGGACTGAATAAAAAAAAGAAATGAACAAGAAAATAAAATATTAATGAATAAACTTCTCAGGATTAATCACATTAATCTTATGTATTTCTTACCGATTGAATTAATACAGGCATCATTTCTTTCCATTCCTCATCAATATTAAGCATCATATTTTCAGTTCTCTCCTTCTCACGTTTTCTTTCGTACTATACAGTAAATAATGACGTTTAGAAGTTTGGTTGTAACCGATGAATACTATTGACTGTGAGGTTATATAAATTTGATGTATGATCATTACTTTTCTCTGTTTTGATTTAGCAATAATTTCATCCATAATTTCTTTCTTCGATTTTGGCTAACATTAAAATAACTTTTAATACAAATAAAGAACAGACTCTAACATGCTTAAATGTTAGGGTAGACGAAGCTATTATGAAGAATAAAATTAACTCATTCTTTCAGATAGTGAACGTTTCAAATAATTTTACTTGATTAGTGCTTTCACTTTGGCTTTCCGATTTTTTCTTTAGGAATCCGCCAAAATATAAATCGCTATCATCTTGAGCTAAATAATTTAAAAAGGGTATCAAATCTAGTAATCATTTCATCTACATTATTGACTATTGATTATGCTACTTGAGATTTACGATTTGCAATTAGATGATTTACAGTATTAAATTATTCATGCTATCATAAGGCTAATACCATTATCGTTGTCTTCGTCTGAGCTAAATTTTTCATCTTCTTGAAAGTTTTCAACTTCAGCTAATGACTGTCCAAGATGAGTTAATTGATAATCTTCTAATTGGTAAGCTTCTGCTTTCTCATGATGTTTCTAATAAGATGATCAAACATATTTAATCAATTATGTTCATCCTGTATAATCAGAATGATTATTTTATTATTCTACCGCAGGTAAAATACTTATAATCTAATCGAATAGATACTATGATTTATTATGGTATTTATTGTTGATTTACCTTTTTCTCTACAGCAAATCTTTGTATCATTTTATCTTCAGCTGATAATGATTGATCGTATTCACCCAGTCTATGATCGACAATTTTATTACGCTATTGAAAAGAATGAATTATGGTTAATTTATGTTTGGCTCATGATAGATCAACAATATATTGAACCTATAGGATAATAATCGATTATGATAATGTAAAACTGTTCATACTATAGCGATAGACACTTGCTTTATATGATTACTCTACCTTGGTACATCATCCATTTTACAGTTATCAGTATTAACTAATGATATTGTACTGTTACTACTTTGTCTCTATATTCGCTATTACGATCTCGTACTGTACGTTAGGATATAGTTTTGATGTTATTGATACTTTTATTTTCAATCTATTCCTATCAATTGGGCTTACCTTGGTTCGTTGTTCAATCATAGTATTGAGTCTGTCTTTACGCTAGATTGAATCAGTAAAATGATCCATATTAAAATAGGATGTTTATAAATAATCATCCAATCATCTAGACTGTGTCTTTGTAGTGTACTCGCACAGCCATCATTCAATCATGTTAATGGTTGCATCGATAGCCATACTATAGAATATGATCGAGGTATAAGACTAAATCTTCCTATGGTTAAATTATGCTGAAGGATGGCAACTTAGACGTGGAATTTCGTGATTGTTATAGCTCATAATCCAATTTAAATCCTACATTAGGTAATTGTATAGCTCCTACATGAGATGATCATAGAGTACGTGGACAATATCACGTAAACGACTTGGTAATATGGTCCCCAGTGGTTTTATCCATTGGTACGTCAGCATAGAACATATGAAATAACCTCTTAGCAACTTTAATTGGTTAGTAGTAAGATAATGCGTAATATATATAAATATCATCGTAGTACTAGTTGATTATTTGTAAAATGATGACAACTGGTAGCTAACGAATAGTAACAATGAGATCAATCTCCATTTTGAAGGATAGTCTAACGTACGACCTAAATGGCATGATAGTTGATGGTAGAATGGATTGAATATCTTCATATCGTTTGTTGTACTACTTCGAATGATCATCAGTTTTACAGTAGTTACAGTAAAGAATAATGTTACATAGCTGTATCTATAGCTACAAGGTAAAAGAGTTGATGGTAGATGATGAGATTAAAGAGCCCCACGTTAGGTGATCGCCTTACTTCTACGCCCACAGAATTGTAAAGCGTGTGGATAATGTCGCCTATACACCTGCGGAGTTTCGTAATATTATCCAGATTGTTGCATCTATTGGCAGAGTAGAAGGTAGAATATGGCAGATAGCCGTTGCACCTTTGAAATTATCGGATACTCGAGTAATGTATCAATCTATTTCTATCACAACATGCGGTTATACAACCCTTCGTAATATCACAACGGTAAGGACAACAGGTAGTCCAATGGTGAGAGCTACCTTCATTTCAATGACGGCATTCATCGGTAAACAACATGATTAGTGATACTAGAGCAATTTACATGGATCAACTGCCTTCCTATTCTATCCTCTCCAATGGTTGTAAGTTACAGAATAAACGATGACATTAAACTCGATTAAGACCGAAGCATAATAACAAGAATCTTACAAGACAATCGATTGCCTATATACGACAATGTTAGGCAGAAGAATTGTATACGTACCTTTAAAGCCAGTTTGGAGTTAGTATAACCAGCAAATCGGCCATTTTTAGTCTTAGTACCAAGGATATGACGTTTATTTTTAGTTTTTTTAACCTCGAAAGGACGATCGATGGGACAATCCTTTAATTGGCGTGAAAATCGCTTTCTATCGGCAGTCTTTTTCTTCATGTTTGCTTTAATGCTTGTGTTACCTGAGTCTTGCTTGCAATGGAGATCCACCTACAAGGTTGCTACATGCACTGAATTAGATGGTATTAAAGCCTAGATAGTATTGAATAAGTCCTTCGAGTGCTCTCTTAACGAGTAGAATTGAAGAATCCAAGCTGCAGCTCTGCAAGAAGGGAAGAAGGAGATGGAGAAGATCGTAGCCTAAGCAACATGCTACTTACCAGCGTCATTGGCAATAGCCAATTCAACTCCTATAGTAATAGCTGTATTAAATGGTAGTGTTAGGAACTATGATCATGCTTGCCAGGCTATTATTGCTGTAATCCGATCCAATGACTAGCAACAGCTAATATGAAAGGACTAACGTTATGACATGTTTCAGACATTATACTCTGATTGTGTCAAATGATACCAGGTGAATTTTGCAAAGTATTCTCGGCTACTATATTGTACTAGGGATTACTCAAATATAATTTTCCACCGTCTACTTCTCTCTTATTCTATAATCCCCGGAGATTATAGTAAGAGAGAGAGAGGGAAAGTAGACGGTGGAAGAGGGTAATATTTTGACTTCAGTAGTTCATGACTATACCATCCACTAGCTCATATTCAAGCTTGCAGTATCAAGATTTTGATAAATTATATTGGAATATGGCTCAAGTTGAGAATTTTGACCTGGCAACACTAAATTAATTTCTTAAACGATTAGTTAAGTAGTAAAATCTGCACAAGCTCTATCCAATAGAAATTAATCAATATTTAGCATTCTTCGACCTCTCTAATATCAGATTATCTTTAATTAGTATTGCAACTAAATGGTATGCAAAGCAGTCAGAAATGGTACACGATACACTGTGATCCTATCTGCATAGGAAGCACTATATTTGCGATAGTTATGAGGGATTCGTGCAACTTTTACATTTACTGATTCAGAGCATCTATAATATTACGACTTAGCCAGTTACCTTCTCTCTAGAAAGTCAAAATGTATTTTAGTTAGTGTTTTGTGTTATGATCTGTTCCCTCATATTTAAAATAGCAACTTTGAATGAAGTTATTAGGTCAATTTTAAATTTGCACCTCCTTGGCAATAATGAACTCTGTTTCGCAGCTCGCACTTGCTACGGGACTGCTCTTCATACGAATTTACGAGTAGGTATACCTGATATAGTCGTGGTATACAAAGATAGCAATAAAGTAGGAGGGGGTACATTGTAATGAATTCAATTAATGTTAAGATGTGTTGTTTCAATTAGATAGAAAGAGGTGAACAGATCTGATGCTGCGTCGTATTGTGGATATGATAGCGAACTTTGCCTTTTACCTAACGACTAATTTTCATTTCTTCCCACAAAGCATTTTATGTACACATACCAATCAATTATTTTATTTACAGTTAACAAAATACTTTAAATTATCTAATACGTATATAAAAAATAGAATTATTATGATGTATTAATTTAAATAATCATCGAGGAAATCCGCTGGATTTCCTCTACCATTTGCTGCACTCTGTAAAATAGCCAATTCTTGCAATTTTTTACATTGCTTTAAACGTGCTTTACTTTTATCGGCAGCTTGATATAAAAATTCCGATTCACCGTAATTGATTCGATGATTAAAATTGGTGAAATAGGGGATAGGTAAACCTTCTATGCTATCATCAATTTCTAATTTATAATATTGACCTACGAGTAAAAATGATATGTATTGAGTCAACTTCTAAAATGTTATCCTTACGAACATATGAGTATATCATTAAGGGATAAAATTAAATTAATTTGAAGTCTACCGTTGCAAATAGTGTATGTTAATTGATACACATACATAGAAAGATAATATACGTACATCAATCATAAGTAAGCAAGTCAATAAGGTAATAGGTTAATATATACTACAAAGAATGATGCGGTTAAACTCATTTACCATATTGTTGACCATTTACGGTAAAAAATCCGAATAAATCGGGTAGGCATAATCCACAACCAATGATAAGTTGTTTCTAATTAAGAAAATAGTCAATTACTTAGTTTATAGTCAATAACAGCCATTAAGGTAACAGTGAATCAGTAAACTGGCAATTCATAATATTTTCTAAATGTTTCCACTGCATAATTAGCATACTTCTGTGATATCAAATTCCTCGCCATCTGGCATGGTTAGCTTCCGATCAGATGATAATTTACAATAAAACTAAATATATGAGAAAGAAAGAATTAATTTGGTATTAATCAATAGCGGCTAATCAAGTAAATTATGATGAACGATAAACAATTATACACCTTATTGATATTATTTGTCCACCAAAAGCCGTACTTTTCAACGTCGATCGATATACTTTGAAGGCTAACTTCATAGTAAATCATAAAATCGGGAACATAAATTGTACGTCCCTCTAGGGCATTAAAGGAATCGGAATTGGATATTGAAATCTTTTTTTTTCTTTTCGATGACTTTTTGTTAAATGATGGTGTCGAGCCAATAGCTACATATTGACTTGGCATTTTGTATCTATTTGTAATTATCCAAAATTTAAATAACCAAAGGTTTAATTATTTATAAATAAATGTCGTTATAGCATCGATTCTATCCCTTGACTGGCGCAGTATATGTTACTCCTATACTAGGGACTACCAATGAGAAAGAGAGGACGGGAAGCCATTTTCAGTACAAAATAATATGGAGGCTGATCATTTTCCGGTCATCCTACTGTACGGTATCAATGAAACCGTATACCATACTGCACAAAACCAACTTAGCAGCATGTTTGCAGCTAGTTTGGATACGAATAGTAGACAGTATAGTGTACCGCTGCAGATATACGATACAGTTGAAATGATTAGTACAATAATTAATCACCCTCCACATTATAAGTATAGTGAACGACCGTTTCCTGTCCCTCGCTTTCTCTTTAGTAGTCCCTACCTATACTATAGTCGAGTAGGGATAGTTATGACTGAATGGACTACATTTGATAAAGAAGCACGTATAACGAGTAGTGGTTTATAGCTAACAACACATGATTGAGGCATCGCTTTAATTAAATAATTTATCTCAGATCTTAGCTAAAGTGTTAACATGGATTAAATTATAAATACGTTTAGTGATAGTTATATCAATATACTTTTCATTAAGTACATTAATCATGCAGTACTTTAGATTTACCTAAAGGGATGCATTTCATTTCCAGTAAAATTAAATATGCACTGTTGTTCTGTTGATAATGATGCGCCAGGATACCAATTATGACTCAGATCAATATCTAATTTAAGGATATACAATCGGGCAATTGAAACTGACCATGCTTTTTAATTATCCTTGAAAAAGATTTTTAAAATCTGCTCTGTACGCTCTGAACTGGTTATATAATAGTTCATATAAAATTCTATGGTAACAGTTCCATTAGCTAATAATCTTACTAGAAAAAGCAATCCCTAAATTATTTCCATTGTGCCAGTAGGATATATCACCAGAACTGTGGTAAAGTATACAATAATTTACGTTAGTGGAAGGAAATCGTTGAAGAATTAGTTTAATGATTTGGGCATAACTAACCTGCTAAGTAAGCAGCTAATGATATCACCTTCTTTCCATTCACGTCCATATCGCATATGGTCCTAAAGTAATTATTTACAGGCTTTACTAAATCTTATAACTGGATCAATAATGGCTTAACGCATAGTTAACTAACTTACTTGAAGAGGTACATTTTTCATATTATGCCATTTCTTGCATCGACTGCCGTCAAAAGCATATGAATACTCGTCGTCACCAACACCATACCCTAGTAGCGGAAACAAAATAATTATTTTGAAACGGCAATGTAAATGAAATACGAGTTGATTTTAGGTAAGCGCTTTAGTACTGGATTCAAATATTTAATTTGTACCTTTCTCTGGCAACATACAGCATTCCTTTCTTGCCCAGCCAATTTGAATTATTCCGGGTGTTTTGAGAATTACCTATGCGAAAAATATCATGTGAGTCAAATACTTCAGTGATAAATAATTATCTGAATTGTCATGAACAGTGAAATAAAATATAATATACCTAGTCCGCTATTTTAAGTTAGTCGATTATAGCGACATTACGATAAATATTTGAACTCGTAATTCAAAGTTATTCAACTATATCAGAAGATTAATGATAATTGTAATTGACGTTACAAACTATACTTTTCTGTTAGTACCTCGTAATACCATCCATCTGGAATTTGCTTGGAATGATCATATATTCCTTTACAAACATAAACATCTGCAAGTACGCTTTCAAATGTCCAACTTTCATTGCATGCCTATAGTTGAACACGGTCAGTATACCATTCAATATCATGATTATTTGGGCGTACGTGTATATTGGATGCAGTATAAGATCATAAATATACGAATCGTAATTTAATACAATTAGCATAAAAGTACATTATTTGGCAAGAAAAAAATATACTGACCTCCAAATGATCAGGACTAATGATTAATGATGGTGTCCTACTCGATGCAGATAGGGCTGGATAATTACAGAGTCTAACACGTTTTCCTTGATCATTAAGGTATTGCAAAAAAATAAAATCCATACTTAATTCAATTTTATACTGCAGTATATGATTGATCATCATTAGGCACTTTGCTTATACCTTTTGAGGTGGATTCAATCACCATGTTGGATATAGTGTATTCAACGTAAAGCTAGCAAATCAGAATGATAACCATCTGCGTTATTACCAAGCTAGTGATATGGTGAATAATTTATTTTCATCTAGTAATGTTGAGATATTATCTAATTATATGATCTTAAACATTAAAGGTGTCATACTCCGACTGATTCCTTGATGGAGTCATGGCAACTCAGTATAGCGGTCCACAAGGAGTACAATATTCCAGCAGCTTGGTAATTTTTATAAAGCTCTGGAAATGATTTACAAAGTAATATTATATAAACAAATTCATATTTTAGTATTGTAGTGAGTGACTATGAAAGTAGTTTTTATTATTTGACTGGTAAAATTAAAACTATAATTCAAATCAGTAGGGCAAGAATAGTTTAAAATTGAAAAGTGTAATCACTAAAATATATGCTACAGTAATGCGACAGTAAGAAAAGAGTTTGTGTTTTAATAATATTTCGAAATTTCTACGTTGATGTGATTAGGTAAAACATGATCACACTTACCTGGCAATGGATATGCAATTAAACGGGCAAAGCAGTAAGTGGTAAGATTTGTGAGAGTAGCATAAGTGTCCTCTATTACAGTGATATTTGAAGATTTATATGTTAGCCCTTGGGAAGTGGTATAAATGCCTGAGCCTTGTAGCATTAGCTCTAATTACCGTAGGATAGATACTCTCCCACTCGAGGCGTTGGTGGGTTATCAACATTCGATTGAGCAATGTATGCGTCCAAAGAATTCGATATTTGGCTAGCTATAATTTATAACAGCATACAACAGATTAAAAGATAGTTATCAGATTCAACAGTAATTAGCCTATAGCGGGATAAATTTGATATTACTTCATACTTTATACTACCTAAAAGTTTTATGGCTTTATTGACAACCAATCAATTACTATCAGTCACTACAGATTGTTACCTTGAAGGCTAAAACTGTTATTGAAGGAAGTATCCAAATCAGATGATGTGCTACAAAATCGTTTAAGCGGTGAAGCCAGTTGCAACGTAGCTTTCGATTTACGAGGCGATCCACGAGTAGGTTTGCTGTTACTTAAGATGTCCTCTGCTTGCGAAAAAAATGCTACGCGACTAGTAGAGGAATCATTACCCCAATAATTGTCATCCCCTAGCAAAACATGTAAGAATTTAAGATGTTTATTCATAATAATATAATCTAATCCTGCTACTGAAAAAAGTTGTCGGCAAAAAATTTATCTATAATATCTTACATTTACCTTTATCTAGTTGTTTATCAAGTAATTGAATGCGATGTTTATTAATTCGAAGAATTAAAGAGGCCAACGCATCAACTATTCCACAATAACACATTTGATGACAACATTCATCTAGATATGTAGCATATATGAATAAATTGTTAGTTGCATTAATATAGTGATAGAAATCACTGGTTTTACGGTCTTACTATGTGCTGAAAGTGTCGCTAAAATCTTAATAGCACCGTCACAATGATAAATGACCATTGGGTACAAATGTAACGATTCCGCTTGAATATGACAGAAGTGCCTGATTGGTAGTAAATGCAAAAATTAACGTCAAACCAATAAAATCAAAAGATGAAAATTTGATTGAAATGCATGGACAAAAAATTAACCCAAGAATTCCTGAGTGACTATAAACTGTTAATTAAGTTTACTTCCATTTTAACAAAATTTGTGGTGATCGAAATGACTAGAGTAATTATAAATATATTCCAAGTCATAAATTGCTCCACGCACTACACTATTGGTTAAAACAAACACAAACCAGATTAATTCTGAAAGATAATCCAAGAATCCGTCATAGAGTATCATAAGCTGCCGATTATCTTTTTGTCGTGCTAGAATATGTAGCAATTCTAATTCCTTGTGTTAAGAGAAATTTGTCGATATTATGATACATTAGTAATGTTTGCTAACATTTTCATGTGGTAGATATTCATACAGCAAACATATTTTAAAATATTTGTAATTGATCAGATCAATAGAGTATAGGTAAACACATTAACTATTCGCATAAACCATCAAAAATATGTATTTGGCAAATATGTGAGATTATATTACTATTCTAGCGAACATGCTTGAAGAGTCCGAAATTAATGCCATGGCAGTAAAGCGCGTATTATAACATAATTTAGTGGCATAAAAATAATCCATACTTACAGTTACTTTGCTGACTGAATCTCTAGCAGGGTGACATAGTAGCAAACTAATAAGGGGTGTTAAAATTTCCCGTTGGATAATACGATTAACAAGGAGGCCTAAAAATAACTTGAAATGGTTACTTGAGCAGTAATATGCAATAAAAAAGCAATTATACAGCAAACATAATGTACCAATGCTAAAAGATACGTCGAGATCAACTTGTAATTGATCAGACTCTTGAGAAGCAAACTCATAACCTTCACAAGTTTCTTTGGCTCCAACATAAGCTACCATACTATCGTGATTGGACAGACTCCCTTGTAATAATCCCAATTTCGATAACGATGACCAACATTTTGCTGTAGTTAAAGGAAATAGGCGAACGTAACATAACTTGCATCAAATGCAGTAAATAAGCTTAACTCTAGACATAGTGTCATATAATTCTGCCACTTAAATGTGATACACTAAAGACTACACAATAATTGCAAACTAGAGATGAATGTAAAAGACAATACACTATACTATACCAGTAATGTCGTTGACGCTTACGCCTCTAGCGCATAAAACAACTATAGAATCATGATCAATTGCATCTACATATTCTTTGATTTCTTGCGATAATTTTAGGAGGCTAGGTTCAAAAGTATGTCTGGAGATTACCGACATCATGAATGGATCCAATTCTATAAAGTGAAACTAACAATGATAGTGGCATATATTTACTGGCAGAAAAATACGAAAAGTGAGGATGGAAGTCGCATAAAATGATATCTCAAAAGTATCTAAGTAGTTTTTACCCCATCCTCTCGTATATGATAGTCTGCCTGGCCTATTCTAATATAAGCCATTTCCTGTCTAGCGCTGACATGAATGGTTATCTGAATATCTAAAAATTAGGCCGCTATGAAGACATATACCAAATTGAATGATAACCATTAAAATTAATATGTAACAATTTTTTACCTAGCAACGATAGCATGACCAACGTTTTAGCAGCTAAAGAAGACGTTTGAGATTGTTCAGAATCTGATAGAGCCAGATTGACGAGACATTTTACGCCACCTTCTTTGACAATACCTAACCTACATTGATCTAATCATAAGTAAATAAACAATCAATTCGTTCCTTCTAGTGCAATTATTAGCGCTATGCAAATCTTAAATCCTATCACAATAAGGTAAAATATTTACTACTACAGGATTCCAGCATTTAACTACTGCGAAAGGTACAATACAACACTAAAACTAACTGTAATGTCTCGTTCAGCGTATACATATTTATTATGATTCGATCACGTAATCTATAATTGATGCTAGTAAATACTACTATTAGATTTCTATCTATATCGACGTAATATTTCCGCATTGCGTGTGACACAAGTATAACTCATATTAATTGCAAATTTAGACTATAAAATAAAATTTTTAGAGTATCTAAATATAGTTCTATTAGTAACAAAATGAATTTTAGTTGAGCGCACCATTCGACATGGATAAATTTAACAACATAGTGACAGCCCAGAGTCGAACACCGGAATCAGAATTATTCAATAAACGCAGAATTGGAACTATACCATTTTCTTTAAGTATTTTTGTATGAAAATTTTCTATAAATGATGTGAAATTAACGTAACATTTCAGTGTATTTATATTACAGTTGAAATACGAATAAAAATCAAGGATAGCCGCACCACAAGAACAGAAAAATCCGAGCGTCTCAGCAATTAAATGAATAATTGTTCTATCTTCGCGATTCATTAATGATTCCGTAAAACAGGTAATAAAGCCATCCATTGCATTTAAAATATAAGCCGATACTTCCTTACCTATCATTTAAAATTAGAAGTACAAGTTATATCCTATATTCTTGCTACATACTAATAATATAATAGTTAAAAAATCGGATAATTTATCTACAAACCAATCATAGCAAGATCATGGACAAGAGCCAGCGTCCAGTGCGCAACTTCATAGTCACTAGAGGCCAAGCATATTGGTAGTCTGTTTAGGAAGCCTTTACATTCCAAAATCTTCTTATAAAATTGATCTAGAAAGTTGCATTAATTATGATGGTAGTATAATCAGTTGGTAATAGTTACTAATTAGCCATAATATTAGATAGTACAACAATAAGTTGGCTACGAGTAGGCCATCATCCGATAAAGTAAATATGAGTTGTCCTGGTATATATCATAATAACACATGGGCTACAGTAGGATCTTAGGGAATGCTTTTGACCTTGACACTCATTTTAATGAAATTCTAGGCTTTCATTTCACAGCAATATTACGGTATTCTTAGATTAAGAATTTACAATAGTATTTAAGCATAGTTAATGGCAACTTAAAGCGATAAATATGTTGTTTTAAGAAGGTTAACGAACTAATAGTAGAGATAGCAAAGTTGACCGCATAATCAGCAGAATATCATACAGATGTAACAAAACAATTTCACATAATAGAAAACTTGTCCGAATAACATCATACGTAAAATTTTAAAGTTGATTAGCTATGAGATTAAAATAAGCATAAATCAGCATAAAAGAAGTGTACGATGTAATTTATAACATACCGTCCTTCATAACCAAGAAACTGCAAATTTTTAAAATGATTTTTTGAATACCAGAATCACTTTTTGACAATGCGTGACGACAAGATTTCATTAGCGTAGGAATACAAGAAATTTCCTTTCTATAAATATCTAAACAGCAAGTCGATAATTAATCGCTTACTAAGTGATGGTATTAAAAGTAAAAGTACAGTGTAACATACAAACCATTGCAAACAAATTCATGAATTAACGTGGCAGCCCAGTAGCGAGCTTCCTCATCATCTATAATTAAACAAGCATGTGAAGTCATCTGTTAAAACATTGTCAGTACGCACTACATTTAAGTATTGTTTGTCAAAGCGTATTACATCAAAATGCTTAATTATACTGAAATAAACTTACCTGCAGTAAAATACATAATAGCCGTATAGTAGACTTTGTGCTGGCCAATTTCCGTTAATGCTGATATGTTATCTGCATAGTCACAATATAATATTGAATATAGGCGAATATTATACATTTGATTCAAGTTTGGAATTTTGTACATCACATATCTGATTATTTTCTCTAACATGCAAAGATAATAGCATGATTGCGCAGTGCTATTACATATAAATGAATTACCTTTACTTTTCACATGAGAAAGTAGAGCCAACATATGTAAACATATTTTGACAGTTACCGGCCTTTCCTGTAGATTAATATTAGTATATGGAGATAAAGTTAATGTTGATATTAGAAATTGATATAATTGATGACATAAGTAAAAATATTTGCATGTTATAACGATAAACTTACCCGATTATTCATAATTACTTTACTTATAACAGAGATAGCGCCTAAGCCCACTGAGTCAAGCTTGACAACTTCTGCTACAATAATACAAATGTGTGTGTATATACATTAGTGAAATAAGTTTCTGCGTGAAGTACTAACACAATTAGAATACTTTATTTTAAAGTGTCCGTGTAATATAAGTTAATTACCTAATGTACGTAAGTGAATAGAAGATTTAAAATGCTATTATAAAGAATACATTAAAAAGGTTTAGATTATAACCGTACTGACCATTTTCAGTAATGGATAATTGATGTAACACGAAAAGAGATAATCGCCCAACTTCTTTTGTACACGGAGACGATATCAAAGCCAGTAGTGTACAAATAATATCCCTTTTGCATGAAAAAGCATTAGTAAATATATATGGTTAATATACATCATATTTCTATAATTTGTGAGCGTGTAAAACAGTATTAGGAAAGGATTAATATGCAGTCGTTCAAGGCACTATGATAGATAAATGTTAAAGTTGTTTGACATAGAAGATTATAGCATACCTATTAATGGAAAATTTATTACATTCTAAAAGAAAATAAGAGAGGAGAATAAAAATTAGGCGAGGGTGTATAGATATTGTACTTGTTGAAAACAGTGCGAGATTGATGAAATTAGATTAGTGTAGTTGAGGATATCATCGACATATGCTATTGCAGCTATTAAAATACTGTACTGTACGATGAACTATGTAACATTATTCAATTGAACTTTTGCTTTAGTAAATAAACATTTATTCAAGCGTTTGGTCAAAATTAAAACTTTGATTGTACATTCTTGATATAAACGATTACTGTAAAAAAAGATAAAGTTACTTCATTAATCGTGCATGGCACTCTATTCAGCATCGAGTTTAGACATACCGGGATCACAAATTAACTCTACCAAAGTGGAACATAGTATTTTTAGAATCCTCTCTTTTTGAATAATTAATTCTACGTCATCGTTTCTAACTTGGTATCCTTGCCATTTCATTAAACAACAGCAAATTGCTTGTAAACCATTGAGATCATACAAATATTTTTTATGAACCGCTAAATAAAAAGTGTAAAAAGAGGTTAAGAGAGAAGCACATCATCACGTGAATTATAGCCATGTAACTATTAACTATCATGATCATTTTTAATATTCGTATATACTGTAGTGAATGATAGGATAAGAATGGCGAAAATGAAACGACTCGTATTTGAGCGAATTGTAGTGTATCTTGCTTTAAAAAACATCACAACTATCGTTGGTATACGTTTCTTGGGTTAGGTGATGTGTTGTTAGTAACGATTACAGTTTATAGTGTAAAAAAATCATACAAGATATTCAAGTTATACAACATTTCGTAGTTTGATAGTAAATTTACCAGATTTGCTAATCAAATTTAAGGCCATAACCGCATGTAGAGCTTCTTTGATATCGTCACACGAAGTTTGATCGATAAAATACGATAGATATTGTCGTTGACTAGCAATGTCAATAACAACACTTTGTACACTATAATTGAGAAAGAGGTGAAGCATACGCATCATTAATCTGGCTATTGCACTATGGCTTTCATTTTGTTTTCAAGTCTAGCCTTAGGAACATACAATTGAATCAATAAAAATGATAATTTACTTATTACTACTATTTATTTTGCCTAAGGCAGTTGATAACAGAACTGGATTATTTCAAAGTTTAAGTCTGAATGATTTATTTAGTAGATGTCATCTTCTAAATCACTGGTCTTCTATTCTATTATTTATTAATGCATGGTACGGTAGGGGCATATGAACTATGGTTAAAGTATTTTTTTTGCAGATTATTCAATTTCTGTTTAGAGTTGTATGCATTCATTTTTAAACTATTCTTACTAGGAAATGCAATTAGCGTCTATTAACTCCCTTTCTTTACGCTGAGAAATTCTATTTTTAGACAACTCGTTGTAACAGCTCAAACATTTGATAATTGACCTGCTATTAAAATTGAACACTACAGCTTTTCGAATACAAGTTGTGAAATTCTTTCTTACTACTCAAGGGGAATGATGCATTTTTGGACGGTGATAACCTATCGGCTAAAATAACTTTGATGTGAACATGTTGCATATTGCAAATGCGTGATTTTGTAGATAGTACGTAATGCGTATGTAGATCAGCTTTCAATAAACTAATATCTATTTTTAAATATTACGCAGAATTTGAAACAAGATCAGATTGTGAGCGCAATTGTACTGGTAATTGAAATAATTCTTCTTTATACAATAGCTAGCTATTCATGGTTTTTAGTGCATGAATATTATCAATATATTTTGGAGTAATTTTGGCGAGACTACATTGGAATAGATAGAGTATATAAAATGTAGGAAAAGTTGATTTATTTTTATTTCAGAATAGATACGTTTAATTACCTCCGCCTTAGAAGATAATTATTTGATCCAAGGAGTACTTGCAAATCCTGTAGATTGATAGCTGCAATATGAAAATAGGTAGTTGTTATCATTATGATATTGTGTAAGGAAGCTTAAAATGATCATGACCAAGGTATAGAAATGTCAAGTGAACTCGTTTAGATTGCTACAAGAGTTGACATGTGGGAAAATTGGATCCACCGAATGATGTATCCTACCCATGAATTTAAATATACATTTTCATCATGGGGTTGCTATGGTTTAGTCAGTTATTCGTCAAACAAATCGCTTTCATTTTATTCTAATCTGCTACTCCTTTTAGTCATTAAGTTGGTGATGATACAATCATGATGTATGTGCCTCTCATTTAGTATTTACAACAGAATATCCATATACTGGATTATCGATACCGTGTACTGCTTTGACATGGCTTATTCGTCCCTGAGCTGGTAATATTGTTGTGGTGATATTAACCTACATTATCCATTATACGCGTATGCTACTATTTTATAGTACAGTACAGTAAAATAGCGATGTACCGTAGGTCAACTAATCTTGGTTTGCAATTGATAATGACGTCTTGTATCGATATGCATGAACTGAAGTTCATGTAGAAATATCCATTAGCAATATTCTGCTTATGAATATATATATATATATATATAGCAAGGTAAGGGTTTTTTAGGAGGGCTGTACTCGTGCTGAGAAACGAATGCAGTACATTGTATCTTCTGATATTGTTCCTACACCGGTTGAAATGTAGTATTTACGATGACTAAAAAAAGGGAGTACAGTGTTGATTCTGTCTATGAATCCTATACAATGATGTAGGCGAGAGTATTGCTACATTTATGAATTATAATTGGAGGTAAGCTTGACTCGTACGTTGCTTGAGTATGGTGGTTGTTTTCAGCACAAGTATTGAGGTCCTGTAGCTGATTGGTAGTAATAGGCAAAAACTGCACTCAAAGTACGGCTAATAACGCCTTTGTAGGTCTGTCATTGGCTCCAATTCTAACTAGATGGATATCTAGATACGATGGATGTTGAGGATAAGCTTAAGGATAACCATATCAGTAAGTAAATTTAGCCTAGCATAAAACTGTCAACCAGTCCAATACGATTGATTGCACTATGCTCAAGTACCTTCAAGTTGGCTGGCGCGGCGCTCTTCCACAGTTCTACTTCTATTTCTCCATGCCTCTACTATCTTGATCAACGTGACACCACTTACAATGATGGTTAGGCTACCGATGAGCCATCCGTGATGCTTTTTCAAGATCAATTCCATAGCTAATGGAAGGGATTTTGGTGAATTTCACTGAAGAATATTTGCAAAGGCTAAGTTGACGATCTCTTTTGCCACTGTCAATCTCTTCTGCGTTGTTATGACTGTAGTTTAGCTGGTGAATGACCATTTGCCAATAATAATATATTATTCTATACGATGGCTGTTGGCCTACAGTATACTTTGTATATAATGCGGTCTATATATAAGTTATAATGTGTGCAACCATTGCTATTTCGAGCTATTCCTTGTTAGTCCTTGTCGCAAAATCAATCCATAGTCAAGGAGACGGAGGCAATATTAGACTAGGTCCAAGTCGTCAAAGCGCGATGTACTTGTAGTGCCGTAGTCCGTATCAGTTCTGTCCTTTTGCTTGCTTGATTTGTACCGTATCTGTACTACTGTACTGAACAGTAGAGTAGGCTGTAGTCATGATGATACAAGCCATACTGTACATTATTATGTATGGACAGAGCGAGAATTCAGTAGCAGTTGGATAGCAACACTCAGTGTACTGCTGTGTCTGTAGTCCTCGACTGATACAGAAGCTGAGCGCATTTCTAGTCTACTCGGAGCTGTCCGAACTGCAACATGTCTGCTTGCAGAGGAAGATTGATTGTACAATCTAGTATAGCAGCACAGCTTCAATCACCTCGATCCCTTTACCGAAGTATACTTTCTACAATGTTGATTCTAAAAGCATGCAAGATTCAGTATACTGTAGTTCCAATCTTGTTCTTTGAATCTGCCTTCCATCTCGATGACTACCGTAATGAATGGATATGTTACCCTTCGATCATGCAGTCCAATTGGCTGTCATCATACTGAGTCATGTGTTTACCATGGTCGAGAATCGTCGGCCATGGTAGTCTATCCTCATGTGTTCCTATCGTGGATTTTTAGAGGAAATTGTTGAAAGTTCTTGGGATAGTCTTGCCGCTGTCGCCATCATCCCCGAGTTGCAGTAGAGTCGAATGAAAGAGAGAGCTTGCACTCGCTTTAGCTTCAACTGCACGACGAGTCACCACTGCTGTGGTCACCTTACTGTCGGATGAAGCTCATAGTAGCTACGTTCTATTTCGAGGACTACGGTAATGAATGGATATGTTACCCCTCGATCATGCAGTCCAATTGGCTGTCATCATACTGAGTCATGTGTTTACCATGGTCGAGAATCGTCGGCCATGGTAGTCTATCCTCATGTGTTCCTATCGTGGATTTTTAGAGGAAATTGTTGAAAGTTCTTGGGATAGTCTTGCCGCTGTCGCCATCATCCCCGAGTTGCAGTAGAGTCGAATGAAAGAGAGAGCTTGCACTTGCTTTAGCTTCAACTGCACGACGAGTCACCACTGCTGTGGTCACCTTACTGTCGGATGAAGCTGATAGTACTGTAGCTACGTTCTATTTCGAGGACTACGGTAATGAATGGATATGTTACTCTTCGATCATGCAGTCCAATTGGCTGTCATCATACTGAGTCATGTGTTTACCATGGTCGAGAATCGTCGGCCATGGTAGTCTATCCTCATGTGCTCATATCATGGAGTTGTAGAGGAAATTGTTGAAAGTTCTTTGGATAGTCTTGCCGCTGTCGCCATCATTCCCGAGTTGCAGTAGAGTCGAATGAAAGAGAGAGCTTGCACTCGCTTTAGCTTCAACTGCACGACGAGTCACCACTGCTGTGGTCACCATACTGTCGGATGAAGCTCATAGTAGCTACGTTCTATTTCAAGGACTAACGTAATGAATGGATATGTTACTCTTAGATCATGCAGTCCAATCGGCTGTCATCATACTGAGTCATGTGTTTACCATGGTTGAGAATCGTCGACCATGGTAAACTATCCTCATCTGATTATATCGTGGACTTTTAGAGGAAATTGTTGAAAGTTCTTGGGATAGTCTTGCCACTGTCGCCATCCTCCCCGAGTTGCAATAGAGTCGACTGCAAGAGTGAGCTTGCACTCGCTTTAGCTTCAACTGCACGACGAGTCACATCGTCGACGTCACCACTACTGTGGTAACCTAACTGTCGGATGAAGCTCATAGTAGCTACGTTGTATCTCGAGGACTACCGTAATGAATGGATAGGTGTACCCTTCGATCATGCAGTCCAATCGGCTGTCATCGTACTGAGTCATGTGTTTACCATGGTCGAGAATCGTCGACCATGGTAGTTTATCCTCATCTGATTATATCGTGGACTTTTAGAGGAAATTGTTGAAAGTCCTTGGGATAGTCTTGCCGCTGTCGCCATCATCCCCGAGTTGCAGTAGAGTCGACTGCAAGAGTGAGCTTGCACGACGAGTGACATCGTCAACGTCAGCGCTACTGTGGTGACCTTACTGTCGGATGAAGCTCATAGTAGCTACGTTGTATCTCGAGGACTACCGTAATGAATGGATAGGTTACCCTTCGATCATTGCAGTCCAATCAGCTGTCATCATACTGCGTCATGTGTTTACCATGGTCGAGAATCGTCGACCATCGCAGTCTATCCACATGTGCTTATATCGTGGACTTGTAGGGAAATTGTCACAAGTCCTTGGGATAGTCTTGCCGCTCGCTCGCCATCATGCCCGAGTTGCAGTCGAGTCGAATGAAAGAAAGAGCTTGCACTCGCTTTAGCTTCAACTACACGACGAGTCACCTCGTTGACGTCACCACTGCTGTGCTAACCCTATTACTGTCTGATGAAGCTAATCGTGCACAGGCATTAGACTGACCCTTGGTGAAACGGTTGTAGTCACTATTGCACCCATGTCATCACCCTTGGTGTCAACTGTGTCGTGCGAGCGTGTGACGACTGTCAGAGTGTACAGTGTACAGTACAGCAGACCCTACGGTCTGTAGTACAGTAGGTTGTAGTCCAGTAAAAATGGTCCAAGGCAGTGTTTTGCCACCAGTTAATTTACTGTCTGATGAAGGTCGTAGGCAAGAGCAATTAGACTGCGATGCTTGCCGCTGTGATAATCCTACCGTAGTTTGCCATTCTACTCAGTGGTATGACATAGTGGAACACCGTGGACAATATCTGACGTTGATTTCTACCTAGGCATGACCAACTTTGAAGTCAAAAAGGCAAAACGAATTGGCTGGCTGATCGACTTTGGACGAGTCTTGTAGAGTTGAGATTATCGTTAGTGAGGAAGTTTACAGCGCAGGATTGTAGCATCCCATCTTAGTGGAGAATGCTTTAGCTGTAGTAAAATTGTAAAATTGATTTTCAACTGGGCGCCGATTATATAGTCAATCACTTGCAAGTCAACTTGATCTTCTTCTTCTCCATTTTAGCTTGACATTGATATAGTCAATCACTTGCAAGTCAACTTGATCTTCTTCTTCTCCATTTTAACTTGACATCGAGCAGCCAGTAAGCGACTACAAGCAATCCATCGCTGGATCGTATGCTGAATACAGTGGATAGTAATGATAGTGTAGTCCGTCAAGGTAGATCGACATCCTTGTCGATGGTGTAGCCCTTTCAATCTTCCTTGATACTATCAATGATGTATTAACAGCGTTGGACTTTGTTTTTAGCTTGCTACTGCATTCATTAACTCAACACTTTTACACAGCACAACAAGGATCCTTAACTCAACTGCATCATTACCAAGTCATCCACTGACAGGCTGTGGATAGTCTACCACGATCAATAGCCATATCTTTTTCAATTCATTCTACTCCTGCAAATTAGACAGATTAACAGACCATTTATTCGTCCTTTCTTTGCTGGTGATTCTTTACTATATAGAATACATGTCGCACCGAGATCGCCACGAAGGTAAGACTATTCTCTATCATCTTCACATCAATCAATGATTCTTCTTCTACTGCCTGCCTTGAAAAGACGACTTTCATACCCTATACGTACTTTCTTAAAAATCATTCTACTATATCCATCCAGGCATGAACGTAGCCAGCAACAAGCCAATCGCTTTGCTGTTGTTGCTGTCTTCAGCCTATTTTGACAACATCCAGTCCAATGCATTTGCTTCTATCGACACGATACCATCATGCCCATTGAATGACCTTTTTTGCATCGATCATTGCTATAATAGCTTGTGTACTGAGTACCAGTCTTGTTGACCTCTTGAATAGTCATGTAGATCAATTCCATGTTCATTGAACTGTTGAATCATTCTCATAGTGATACGCAATCTACTGTACCCTCTTAAATAGTCATGTACATCAACTTGAGGCAACGATGATCCATTCCATGTTCATTGGACTGTTGAATCATTCTCATAGTGATACGGCATGACAACATCGCTTTCAATCTACTGTACCCTCTTAAATAGTCATGTTCATCAACTTGAGGCAACGATGATCCATTCCATGTTCATTGGACTGTTGAATCATTCTCATAGTGATACGGCATGACAACATCGCTTTCAATCTACTGTACCCTCTTAAATAGTCATGTACATCAACTTGAGGCAACGATGATCCATTCCATGTTCATTGGATTGTTGAATCATTCTCATAGTGATACGGCATGACAACATCGCTTTCAATCTACTGTACCCTCTTCATCTTGTCCAAACGACAATACTGCCTGGAAAAATAATTTACCCCTATCCAACGATACTCTACTCCACATCCTATGTAATCGTGCCAATACATACAAACAACGATAGCGATCATACATGATCCTAACAGCATATTATTTTGTGCCTTGAATGTTATTGGTCTTGCATGATGATTATTTTGTGCATTGGTTTTAATCCACTTCAAAGACAATCCAATGCCTGGCATGACATCAACAAGCGATGGATATTTATTGCAACCTCATGCAATAAATATTGCCTTACTATACAGTACATGTTGAATGGACTACGACTATAGACTATATACAGTAGGAGAGTTATCCATCATGATCGAATAGAATATTCATATCGTAAAGTACAATTAGCAATCAATTAGTCACAAGCAACATGGATATCCCCAAATAACCAGGGAAAACCTCGCTACCATTTGATCAATTGCGGACAGCCATTCTACGCCAATAACACACGCTACACCAGGCCGACGGCAGTGATGTACTGCACAATACACGACCAAGCGGACGATCATACTCGACCAAACGTTACCAGAAATAACACACTCTACACTAGGCAGTCACAACTTGACTGCGGAACACCTAGAATAGAAAATAGCGATGCTTCTAAGCATGGCTTCCTTCGTTGATGACTTTCTTAAAATATCAAAGTTTGGGATTTTAAACAGTCTTCTTACAGTCTCCCTTGTCATGGATACAACACTTTTTAGACTAGCAAGACAAACATTTTGAATAGACCTTGTTACAGTTCTACCCAAAGGATCCAAAACTACAGACATACAGCAATCCAAGTAGTGCAGACATTCTATAATAATATGATGAAACTGATGACAGAATATTAAATTTGTACAGTATACTGTACCCTACGGATAAAAAATTTTCCGCCTATATTACCACGGATAATTGTCAATATCTAAAATGATGTATAAGTGATAGAGGTAATGTAGCCATTCTTATGATAGATTGATTCATTTTGTGTAGACGTTACTTCTAAATCTACTACATGTCTTTGCTGTCAACAATTTACTATCATTGAGTGTCAAAAAATCATCCTAGCTTCAATGGTGGAGCTTACACTTTGACTACTGTCATAATTGCTTGATGAATAAGTAGTCATCATTGAATTCCAGTTATCCTTTTGACTAATTTTAGCCGATCCAAAACAGCGTATAATTTATTTACAACCTATCCGTAAAATTGCTCATACGGCTATCTTTCTTTATCATGTCCAACAAATCATCCTAGTTTCAATAGTGGAGCTTATACTTTTACTACTGCCAGACTTGCTTTATTAACAAGTCACCATTGAATTCCAGTTATCCGTCTGACTAATTTTATCCCATTCAAAACAGCGTAGCATTATTAATTTACAACCTATCAGTAAAATTGCTCATTTAGCTACCTTTCTTGATCATGTCTATACCATGGTGAAAGGGGTCATCACTCTCGTTATTGATAATAATCATATTCATCCCTTTTTATCTCTCTATTTCATATGTCCATAAAAATATTGTCTTTTTTAATTCAAATTGGCAGGTATAAGTTGTGATTCCTGTGGGAAGAGCAATTTTCGAGGCAGACGCTACAAATGCCTTCTGTGTTATGATTATGATTTATGCTCAGCTTGCTATAACTTTGGTGCTGTATCGGGTCGTCATACTACTGATCATGCAATGCAGTGTTTAATCACTAGAGCTGACTATGGTAAGTTGAAAGTTGCGTAATTAATTAGTAAACAGTTAATATTAAATGTACTGCATTAGTGACATGGCTATTACTAATAGAAAAACAGCGTTGTCGATATCTTATTGCCAAGTACACACTATTACCAGGAAGCTGGTAAAACGTTACATAAAATGAAGGCGATGACAAAATATTTGCTTAGCTTAGTAATTTAGCCATATATAGATGTTCTCTCTTATTCATTGGTAATAACATTGTAGAACTTGTACTGTCATCTATACAGAATAGTTGACACAGTACGAGAATAATCTTGGTAGTTTGTATACATCTATAACTTTTGTAAAATTTTCAATTTCTTACAGATACTTATTTTGGTGGTGAAGCCATTCCAGTCGATATGCCCCAATCGTATACATGCCCTCTGTGCAATAGCTGTGGCTTTACTCAAGCCCTATTAGAAGAACATGTAACTTCAGAACATGCTGGTTGTGGAAGTGGAGAAGTAGTAAGTTCAAAATGTATCGTAACAAAGTTCATTGACAGTATTTCTAAAATTAAATAATAGAAATTAATTCCATTCTACTGTATAATCAATGTAGCTTCTACTGATTGAACATTTACTACTCATTGTGTTTTAATGCCAATGCTTGAAAATATACTACGTAGATATGTCCAATATGCGCGTCAACGCCATCAACTGATGCTGAAATAATAAGTGAAGACTTAGCTACACACTTGATACAACATTCACGGACATCTCGCTCCGACTTAATATCCACATCATTATTGATTACATAGTTTCTTCTAAACTGCAGTAATATACTTTTTGCAGCGATACCATTCTCAATTTTACCATAGATCAATTATACCTGATTGGCAAAATAGTCATCTATGATAATTAATTATAGTTTTTACGTTAATGCTACATTGTGATGAATTACTATGTTTAAAATTGATTACTTCATATATTTTCCATAACCGATCGTACGATGATTCTACTAGTTCACGCCATATGAGACGGATTTTCAACTGCAACCGCATTCCGGCAAGTGTTCGTAGTCGTCGAATGAACATGCAAAGCAACAGCAATTCTTCTCAGATGCGTGATAACCTCGCTACTAACTTGCGTGATAGTAATATAGATCCTATCGCCGAATTACTATCGCAGCTATCTGGGTCTCGTACAAGATCTCAACAACAATCTGTTATTAGTGCTCCATCACACTTACAACAACTACATTTACAAATGCAAATGCAAGGTCAGCAACAATCAAGACAAAATTCATCAGAATGGACTTACAAGAAATCTTCTAGTACTGCATCCGCGACAACTACTTCCGCATCATCTAGTAATACGATAACAGTAACTCATCAAGTATCCAATTCTACAAACACTACAAATCACGAGTCTACTACATTATTGGCAGAGTAAGTGAACCTCATGCTATTGATCTATAATGGATTGACTAACTATTTGATGTAATATACTGTACAGTAGTTTTGTTATCGCTTGTAGTTAATTTCTGAAATAAGATATCCTAGCAGCTGCCTCTAACTTTTATTATTTACTATCTTAAAATACGCGTATACTAGCTTGACGGCACGATACGAGTATAGCTGTTATTCATTAGTAGTTCTCTAATATTTTAATTACTTACAGACGTACAACGGATAGCAAATTAACCGATGAAGAACAACATTCAATAGAACGTGAACGAGCAAATCGAGGATTATTCGTTCAACAATTATTCTTGTCATCACTAACAGAAAAATTTAATGATGAAGAACTACAATTATTATATCATAGAGACAGCGATGATTTCAATAAGCCTAGTTAATGTTAAAGAAATTTAACATACTTAGAATTAACTGAAAGAATTGAATAAAAAGTTTTAGTTGGATTTTCTTATTGCCGTTATAGATTCGCTATTTGTACGTATTTGCAATTTCTGATACTTCCATTGAAATATTTTATTCAATATTGTTAATGTATTTCAACAGTACAATCGAACACTTTGGGCGCTAACTGACCAAATTTAACTATGTAAACGAAAAATCAAAAATTCAATTTTTTTATTCCATAATACGTTTGTCCTTGTCTTTCCATTATGTTGTTATATCTATCGAGTATCATCCAAGAAATGGATTTGACTGTTTAGGTGCATTAGATATGATAGTAAAAGCTGTTAATACTAGTATAATACATTACTTTTGGCATCAAATTTACTACTAATAGTATCGGTGTTAATCCCAACAATGAATCTTTATACAGTTTAATAATTGTTATTGTTATGAAAGTGTTAATGTTGGAACATTATTTTTTGTTATTCCACCAGTTAGTATACATAAATAATTTGAATTTTAACTTTAGTACTACAATATAGACTATTGCATAATGTGATATTATATAAATTATTTATCATGTTGAAGAAGAATGTACAGTTGTCTTTTCATTCCTACGCTGACTTCAGTACTTACCGTATTTATATTATAAGCCATATGTATATTGGTAATGAGCGAAATCAAGTATACGTACGCGTATAATAAAAATCCCACAGTATTGGTATAAGTTTCAGGATTTAGCGAGCAGTATTCACGCATAAAAGAGGATCGCATCAAGTTTATGTAATAACTTACTCTTGTGCACATGTCGTACAGCCGTAGTCGTTAAGATTCTGTAAAATTTGTTATGTATGAACACTGTATTAATATGGGATAAATTGTTCGTTCGCATGGCGGAAGACATTATAGACTTACTATGCCACTGATTGAACATCACTATCACTATTTTTACAGTTGGTATAATAATAGTGTTCTTTAATTGTATGTGTTGTAAAATTTTCATGGTTAACAGTACTTATCTTCATTCATAATATCACTACAATAACATAATCGTTATATTCTAACGACGGATCATAATTTAACAATCAATCATTAAAAACGAGTTTGTAAATTGTTTGATATTCCAGGTATTTTGCTTCTAATGCAACAGGTATGCTCCAACAGATAACAATCTTACGAGTTCATCTGGTGTAGAAGTGCTACCACTACACCATTTAAAATCAGCACTGCAAAATGTTTGTTAATAGGAATACTTCCTTATCGATCCTATGATACATTAATTACTTGAACACGATTACTTATTCGTACATTCAAGTCAGTATTGGAAAATAGTAAAAATACGCTAACCAAATATTATATCATAATCATTATAAATACATATTTCATGAGTTTCATTGTCGTAAAAGATAAAGTCAACTACCATATGCATATGTATATGTATATGCATACATAAAAATATAGCTTATAGTTACATACATGTATACAACAGATAAAGTAGCTAAAAGGCTCACATATATTTTAGCAATATATCACCCAAGAAACTTTTCAATCAATTATCAAGAGTCGAGCAAAGCGCACTTCCATATAGCTGATTGGATATCAAACAGAACGTGTATGTATATTGCTTCATTGCAAGATTTGATATTTTCACCATTAAAGCCTTTCACTCTCCAAAGTTTGTATACAACCTTCTACGTTTTGATGATTCTCCACTCCAAGTTTTAGATTTACGCATAAAATGTTTCAATTCTTCTGCATAATTCTTATCGCACATCTTGACATGGTTTTGTGGTTCGCATAATTCCTACAGTACACATATTATCTGCATGTAAGCAAACTTCACTATATCATTATCCTATAAACTGTGGAATCGCAACAGAAAATTTATCTCCATAAAAGTAATACAGACTTTAAATTCTTCAAAAAAAGCCGTATAGCCACCACATAGTAGGTATAATTCAGGATAATACAGGCTAGGGTAAGAATCTGCGTGAATATTACGATCTCTCTTCCTGAGGTAGTGACATCTAAATACAATAATATTAACAATTATAGCACACAATTATAATAATTGTTTAATCCCATAATACTAGACTTACAAATGTGGACCACGCTTAGATGAAAATTCGCAATGAAATATAACCGCAACCTTTTTATTATGATATGTGTCTGTCTTACTTAAGAATCTAGTTTCGATTCCATCGGAAGTATGAATATTGATCGCACCCTATAACGAAACAAGAACGAAGCTAATTTAGATTCAAAATGTCATTAAACTGTATCGCTATAACATGACCGCTTAATTACTGTAGTTTCAAAAAATGAAAAACTGTAAACGAATATACACACTGTTAATTACAACCTCAGAACATATATATGCATCGTCTAGATTTTAGTCTAACCTTAATATGACCACCTTTATATTCATATGGGTATCGACAATCAACTATTATAAATTCATCGAGATCAGTGCGGTAACCTCCTCGAATCAATTCCGCCAACTACAGACAAAAATTTTTATCAGCACTATAGGTAACTTCACCTAATATAAATTTCTTCGAAATTTATTGAAACTACCATCGAATTTACAATATATCAAAATATCCATTCTTAAGTGGCAGTACATACCGTAGCTGGGCTAATGTTACGTAGATCACACTTCGGTCCCATACATTTTGGTAATGCATAACGCTAAAATTAGGACATAAATTCAAAATTTATATTTACTCTAATTGACGTAAGTACTTTATTCAATGAATATTGCACATACTCTGCTTCCGTCAGCAACAAGATTAGAATCTAAAATAGAAAAGCGCGATAAATTTAAAACATCAATACAACACCAATAAATACCGTAGGTGATATTTTTCCCAAATTACCATAATCAATTACAGGCGGTTCAGCAAAAGTATGGCAGCTAATAGAGCGTGGTATCAAACGAGATGTCGTTTTCTGCAAAGCATGAACGTAAATATATAAATTAATTGAACTGCTCAATTTATGATCTGTAAGAATATTACGGTCACATTCCGAAGCTTACTTTGCACGGAGACATTACTTGGCTCCTGTACAGAAAGTACAAGTGATGAATGGTTAATGACATTCACTGAAAATGTGACTCAGTTACAGCAGTTGTGATTAAAAAGTATGATAAAAAAAGGTTAAAACGGAAAATATTGCACTTACTTGCTTCTTTTGATTGCGACAGGGCTAGAACCTCGAGGTGGCTCTGATCTCTAAATTTATACCATTGGACGCAAGTGCAACGTATTAAATACAATATAGTAGTTAAAATCCCTAAGAATAGCTTGTACATAAACTAACCTTTGTTCTTTCAAAATTGTCTATTACGGGTTTGATACCATTCCATGATGCTGATAAAGCCTTGGAGTCATATTTCTCTTTCATCTTCTATAGAATTGATATCAAAAATTTAATCGAATTTGCCATAAAAGTGGACCAACGCAATCGTAAGTGCGATGATACAGATAGAATACTTACTTGCATTTCTTTAGAAAAAGTACCGGGCTCAGCTTCACTTGAGTGTGATAAAATTATTTGTTTAATCATCAAATCTTCCATCTTAGACGAGCTCTATGTTTAAAATGGTTTACATCAAATCAGTCACATCGGTAGCTAAAATGACTATTACCTAATCACACTTAGTGACTTACACGTTCATTTATGACACTACCATTGTCAGGAAGGTGTTGCTATTAGAAGAATGTGGATAAGTCAGACACTTCTATTCTATAAAAATGGGTGTCATTTTACTATAGTCGATGTCACTTACTGGTTCAAATTCATCAAAAAATGCGTCATCATCATCTTCTTCTGCATTAGTTTGCTCTGTTCCATGCCAAATTTTCATTATATCTTTATTACAGATATCACTAGAGGAAGATTCACGAGTCGATGGGTGTCGGTTATTACTCTATCAAGTGTAAAAAAGGCAGGTATTAGAAATACTGTCAACAAATAATACAGACTTATTTGTAATATCGTTAAAATGAGACGCGAATCTATCTAATTGCGTTGCTTATATGATAACATACCAACGTTGGGGGCGCGGATTTCTGTCTACATATACCAGATTGAATGGCTGCATTTTCTTTATTAGATTTTCTCCTAGGTGGCCATGGTTTCGGAAATTGTACTTTATCACTTTGCTTGTTATCATATGAATTGTTTTCAAATATAACGGAGTCGGTTAATTTCTAACCAATTAAGAATCGGAACATTAGCTCGAACTAATTAACTAACTTATTTTCGTCTCGATTTCAAAAATATCTTTGGTACATGAACATATTAAGAGGAGCGAATAGTGACATATGACTCAAACGCACAATTTTCGATACTACAGTACTATAGAAGAAACACACATAGGTCACCTACCGGAGGTCCATTAGCATCGTTGGGACATGCACTTTTCCTATTTCAAGACGAAAATAAAAATAAATTTACAACCATAGGAAAGTTTTCCCAGTTTTATTCCTAACGTTTAACTAATGACAATAATTGACATTAATATCATAAGATTTATAGTGCCAAGGCAGTGATCTAGCAGATAATATCTGACTTGATATTCATGTACAGTGTACATACAGTCCACTATTATAAACTATTCAGTAGAATTAATATGCATTACGTCGTTGTCGGTAAGGAGAATTAGATTACATATATTTATATTACTAAACAGTAGGTCTTCATAATGTCAAGAACTGATGAAATTGAAAATGTTGAATGGTAGGCAAATTCCGAGCTCATTATCTGGCAGACGATAGTTCAACAGCCATCTAGGCTAATGTTAATATTTTAGCTCATGACGCAGTATACTGTATGATGAATATAGTAAAAGTATTACTATACTGATAGGTAGCATCCTAGTCCAATTTTGGGGGAAAACGCAAGCTGTGGCTCAGTAGTAATAACCTACTATTCACTAGAAAGATTCCAGATAACTGCGAATTATTACCGGTACAGTAAGTATCTTTACAGTACTGTCTACCGAATTGAAGTAGTTAGTATATACTCGTATTTACACATAATCTATACTCTCTACGTAGGGATGTATGTCCAGCAGTATACGCGTATGTGGTATACTTTATGATCACAGAAGGAGAGAACATCGTTTATTACATTAAAAGAAATTAGTCGTTACGGATCTTTTAGTAATACATTGCTCTAGCATTTTAGCATAACTGACCAATTTATTTTACAAGTAGTTGATGAGATATAAATACCTGGAATTAATAGCAATTAGCTCGTCGTCAGTCAAGGCAATGGGGTTATTGGTAATGTTCTCCCTAAAAAGATTCAAGACCATTATATTCTTGCTCTATCTGTACTACATATTGAACTAGCTACGGCTTCATTTGGTCACAGTAATTTGCTATTATTTCGTGCTCTAGATGTTATACATGATCAAATTTCACTGAAGACAGTAATTATAGTAACATTTCTGCAACTCCGGTATATTTAAAGGTAGCCATAATATAAATTGATGCAATGACGTAAAAGCTGTACCGATCCTACTCTGCACTTTGACTATTGATAACTATCTGTCATACGCTACATAGCGCATAAACAAATATATTGCAAACTCCTGTATATCTAAACAATGCATAGAAAAAGTATCTCTCTAAAATTGGGAGTGAGCGAGCAGTTAAAATTAGCAATGTGTAATTCTATTGTTTGTACCTGGGCTACAGTCTATCATTTTTAGAAATAAAGACCTCATAGCTTACTATAATGCAAAATTGCTATGTATAACATCGATGTATCACATTCTATATGCTGCAGTACAAAGTATTGTACTTGACAATGGACCTTCATCAGATTACGATTAATATAGTCTGATACGTATGCCAGTTTAGGTTGATCCGTTATCAGTGAAATCGCCCATATGCGATTCTTATGCGATATTTAAAGAAGCATTAATAATTACAGTACGTTGTACTGAATATAGATTGTCAATTATGTCAGCTAAAATATTATATTTCTTTGGGTATTTGCATTATTATACTTTAATTTTGAACACAATCAAGAAATGGTAGTTAAATATTTCCGTTATCTTACTTATTGAATTCGAACGTTTTGGACGCATCCGGTAGTTGTCCCGGAGTGGTATCGGAGAATCCTGATAAATAATTAGTGATAACATGCCATTAGGAAATATTCATAGGAAATGGTTCTCTTTACCCTCAAAAGAATATTTTACAATTGCCTACGAAGGTACTTACCATCGTCGACATAGCTGTCATTTCCAACCGCACTGGACAGGGACAAGCGCCGCTTAGGTGTTAAGGAATGACTGTATAATGTATAGTACAAATTAAATTTACAAACAGAACAGAATAAAGGTGTTGTTATTAAAGATATATTAAATCTCATTAAGCAGCTACATATTGTACTAAAATATTTCAGTTACTGTACTGAAAGTAGCCTATGTGTGCATACGATACATAACCATCAGGTATTGCCCTAGTATACAAACTTTCACATAACGTGAATAAAATAGTCTCTAACGTGTTCACATTGATACAGTATGTCACGTACGTACAGCATATAGAACAAGTATAAGTGAATTAGCAAAAACCTACTAAATACAGTAATAATGACACCTATACATACAGCGACGCCATAAGATACGGTTTCTAAATATAGGGATTTAACATGTTGCATACATTGCTCGATATGATACAATGCTAACGGCGCTACAAAAATTTGGATGGTAAGGCATATTCTATTCCAATACAACTACATCTTTTCAAACTTCAGGTCTAACTAGATTAAAGATCGACGCTACCAGTATCAAATGTATCTACGGCATTGTAAAGCACGTATCTAATATGAAAAAAATACCCCTTTACGAATTTGGCCTGCTTTTAAACCTTGGTCAATGATGCAGTGTACACGATAGCAGAGTATGCATACTGAAATATTAACTCATGTTCGTAAAACAGTATTAAACTGCTCTTCACATACACGTAATGTATAGTTCGAAATTTGCAACTTTTTAAACGTTCAAAAGCCCTAATACCCAGTAGTACACTATAACTTTCAATTATTGAGCTTAACAATTTGATATGTCCTTCAAGACAGTATAATAAATATAGTATATTGTACGTATGCGGATCCATTTATGCTTGTATAAACTTTACTGCAAATTAAAATCACTCGTTTGCGTATGGGCACTTCATTACTAGACACTATACAGTACTAAGTACGAGCATGTTCCGGAAGGAGGGGCACGGTACTGTACACTGTACACTGTACAGACACCATATGACAGTATAATTATAATATTAATTAATTCATTAATTCATTATTATAATTCTTCGTAACGAAGGTAAACAGCTTTTGAGAATCGCGCAAACGCTTGAAAACAGCGCCTTCAGTACTGTGTTTTATTTTTCAAAGCAACGCGGTGAAATCACTGCAACAGGCTACTGTAGAGTATAGTATGAGATTTGATATAGGAAAAAACTTGATATTTCCACAGACTATGTATAATGTAATCATTATGTCAGTCTATTGTCAGTAAGACACACACGTCTTTATGTACATAAACAGCACAGTAACTATTCATTCTTGGCACTGCATGTATCTTGTATCTTGACATTGTTGTTATACAGTTAGTGTAGTGTATTGTATGGCTGGTCTTACCGGTCGAAGACGTCGACTGTATACAAGTGTCATGATGTTATAGGCAAAACTAAATTCATGAAATAGATTAACATACAAGATACTAACCATCCTGCATATTAATGAAATGATTATTTTTTTGTCAGCCGTACTTTATCTATCCACGCAGCACAGTAAACAACATGGGTAGATAGATACTTACGATATTAATATTACCCTACCATTTCAACAACAAAGATACTATACGGTATTGGAACACATACCTTCTACAGCTAACTTCAAGATCGTGTGCCAGTGCCGTAACAGGAGATACTACTCTTGCACCAGGGGAAATGTACGATAGGCCTAGAGTCGGCGAAGGAAGATCGGTTATCGATAATTCTGATGGCCACTCGTCGTCCATGCTGAATCTATGGTTAGAATAGTGATAGTATCAGTACCGCATGTTTACCAATTTCTACCTACTGTACAGTCTATTAGACATTTCTCTATGCTAGCTTTTGAGATAACCATTGATCAATCATTTGAAAATTCATAAATGATAACGATTGCTATACTGTAGCAGTTACAGTACTGTATTCTCCAGTTACCGAAGATAAAATTTCATTTAAAAAATTGGCAACTATATTCATGTATCAATCAATCAACAGCTTCAATTTTTCCAAAGGGCATACAGTCATCCTTTACTGAGTAACAGTGTGAGCTTCCATGAATACATCAATTCCATCTGTCTACTTTATATACTATACTGTAGTAAGCAGCAAAACGTGTTGCACTAAATTGATTTATGATACCAAATTTCATTCGAAATTCATTTTTTGATGGTTGTACTGGCCAAATATTGTAAACTACTATACGAACTTCTATGCGATATGACGGTGTATTCAAATAAAATTTTAGGTCAAGATAAGCACATGTATGAAGATTTAACGAAGTTACAATCTTCAGTTACGAGGAGGGATGAATGCTAATGTACCATCGTGCAAGACGAAAAAGTGCCATTAATTAAAAAAAAAATGAAGTCGACCATCTAGAAATATTTCGAGCATGAAATTTACCTTTACCTGTTATTGAATTTGTAAGCCTCAGGAAAAGCGAAGAAAGGATAAAATTTGTTAATTCTGCCAGTGTCAAGAAATCGGTTATATAGTCATTAGTACAAGGATAGCATTAAACGTGAACAAAGTATGTGCATTGAAATGTATGGATATTGCTGCGTTAGTAGTACAGTACATTACATGCAGTACCACAATACAGTACAGTATTGTAAAGTATCCAGTTTATAACAGATACACCATTGTGACAGCATTGGATACTCGCTGCTAGTGATATTAAGCAGTTTTACCGGTTCGTGTACTGACCTGAATTTTGTGCAACGAAGGTTAATGATTTTCTGATTTTATTCTTGTTTCCACGGCAATGCAGTAAGAAGGTAGTAATGCCGAAATCTTGTAACGTTGTTGTAGAATAGTATGCAATTTTACTTCGATCTCCCTTAGGCTAATTATTTAAAATCACAAAAACTAGAGCATTGAACTCAACTGCTCCAATCTTTCCTTTACAAGATGCACTGACAGAGTGGCGCTGACATCCGAATGAATGCACACTTGGCCTGGACTACCGACTGTGACAACTGGTACTGTACACTCTAGATGAAAAATTGGGACGTTATTAGTTAAGCAGTGAAAATCGGAAATGTTATATTACACTAACAATTCATTAACCTACTGTACACTGTACACTGTACAGTACATACAGACAGTACTGTATAGTACTGTACAGTGTACTGTACAGTGAAAGTACAGTATGTTACGCAATTATAATACTGTACAATGTGATGTCAGTATCAAAACTGTACAGTACAGTAATTGTAAGAAATAACAAGGGGGTGCAGTAGCCCGCGGTCGCGGGTTAATTTCAAAGTAGCCAATACAATGCAATGAAGAAATGCGAGGATGCGTACTGCGATGATGCCCCATCCGCTGCCCGCGAATGTACAGTACAATACATTGTAAAATTTGTAGTACAGTACTGTACAGTACAGTACAGTACAGTACAGTACACAACGTCGCCTTTGTTGAACTGTAACATACTGTACTGTACTGTACAGTATAGTACTCTATACAATACGATACTGCAGGAGTACAGTACTGTAATGTTTGCGTCACAACAAAATAGGCGAATTAGCTTCGAAGATTTCAAAAAATGAAAATATAAAAGACGTCATGCATACCATTACGTCTCACTACAGTACTGTACAGTACAGTACAATACAGGGCTATTCAATTCAGCGTACCAGTACCGTACAGTATAGTACTGTACTGTACGTACGCGTTACGTGCTTGTTTGCTATGTTTTGTAGCAAAACAAGTTACTGTACTGTACTGTACTTACGGTGCAGTGCGTGTACTGTATACTGTACAGTGTACAGTACATTACGTATACCGTACAGTACTGTATATTACCACCCATAAATATGCATCATTATTATATACTGTATTTATTATTTAAGTAAGAAGGAAAGCATTTAATAAGCAATGCACAAGTACTAGTACGAGAACCTGGGGTTGTTAAAGTGTGTATGCTACTATGCAACATCATTTTACAATTAATTAATTAATAGTAATAATAATAATAATTACTGTATAATCGGACAACTTGAATGAAAGTGAGAGCGAACGCTTAGTGATGAAGTTTATACCAGATATAACAAATCCGCGTTGGTACTTATACTTTTTCTTGTCTAGTGAGCTGGATAAAATAAATAAAAATTATTTTACACGTATCTAGGTAATACTACTTTTTCGGTCTGCATAGTCTGTCTGACTGTTAGCACACCACTAGATACACCTACTAACTGATCATAATAATTATAAGTAAACTTACCAATTCAATTGAATTGATTAATTTTAGTAATATGCACGTCCTACTACAGTTGTAAACAGTATGGGCGATACTTCTTGCAATCGGATTATGCATGTACGCGTACTCATATACTGCAATACGATCTAATTCCATGTTAACCATTTGTACCTTTATTTTAATCGATTGTGACCATATTAATTTTTAAAAGGGTGAAAATTTGAAATGCAATTTTAAAATAGCTAATACCGTAGGTAAAAGATAGCACAGTCAACATTTATACAAATGTAAGTGAACCTTAAGATCTCCATCAGATTAATTATAGTAGTGAGTATGCTGTACAGTAAATATGCTTTCTGTGCGATATTTGTGAAATTTTTTAGTGAAGAAGTGATATAATTATCATCTCTGATAAGAGTGCACGATTTCAAAAAGTTTCATTCATTACAATTATACATAACACGAAGAAATAGATGATCTTGAAAAGTAATATTATCTAAATTGCCATTGGTTATGGTATCCTTAACTGATATTAAAGATAGGTCCTAACAAATTACTAACTGTAAGGAAATTTAATTTCACTTTAATAATACAATCCTAGTGTCTATGTGATTATGATACATACTGCGATATTACAGTTCAGTGTAGACGTATTTCATATATTTATATAACTTTACAGTATCACATATATATTGTACGTATATATTTTTATATATCATATCTATAAATTATTATGACCTATATAATTTAATGGCAAAGCTTCAAAAGTAAACATTATAAAATAATTACATTACGGCTTTTGAATACAATTTGTAGCATGGTATATTCGTACGTATACATCTATGTATATATATGTAGAATATACTAGTACTGTATGTACCACAGAGATAAACGCCGTAAATTAAATCTGTACAGAAGTACTGCAGGGAATATTATATCGATATAGTAATGACTCTTGATAAAGACATGAGAATCATTTCTTAATAGCATCTCCACGGCATATCGGACACGTCCTATTCGTCTACAAACATTAAAGTCATCCTTATATAGCAACTATTTAATTTAAACAATCATTTTAACTATAATGATGTAGATTTACAGTTCTACATACCTTCAACCAGCGGTCTATACAACTGGTATGAAACTCATGTTTGCACATTAAAACCCTGAGGCAGTCGATATCTTCAAAGTCTGACATACAAATGACACATCCTCTACAAGATTGAACAGTATTGATATCGTAATTCTTTGTCAGTTGGGAAAATTTCAGTTTAGATAATCAAATTGCTTACAAGTATTGAAGCTAAGTTATAAATGAAATGTACAAACTTCGAAGCTTTCTTCTCTTCTTCAGGTTTATCTGCATATCTGAATGAAGGAAGCGATTCTATTTCTACAAATTTATTGAAGATTGGAATTAGTAAATGTAGCTCTTATGAAAATATTACGAAATGATAAAATTTTCACAAAATGCTAACCAGTTTTAGACAGACCACGACGCTTATTGTCTCCTACGCCATCTCCGAATCCAGCAAACATTGTCTAGTTCGTAAATCAAGACTTATTATGAAAGCATACATGTTTGGAACCATAGTACATCAGTACATACACAGACACAGCTTGTAATGCGTATAGTTATGCTATTTTGTAGAAGAAGTTTACATATTAACAGTTTTCTCTTATCTGACCTCATAGTTACCACTCTGAGAGTCTAAGCGGCTACTTCGACTATCAGGCAACCAAAAAAAGGCATGCACGGGAGGGGAACTAGAGATGGTATTCCTAACCAGCATCACATACAATTGAAATTTAGATACTTTCTACCAGTATCAATTTATTATAATTTATAATAGAAGCTTATATAGGTTTTATAGCTTACACAAATCTCATCATTGATCCTTGTTGATGTGGGCTACGAGGGGGTAATGGACGGAACGACATGTTATTGGTGCCTTGTTGCACTTGTACAACCTAAAAAATAATTCATACTAAATTAACTACAAGAAAGACTATTATAATTAATAATATACGAACATAGCAAAAAAATGTTCTATAAGCGTATTTTGCATACCGGAATAGGAACAAAACCAGGTGAAGTTGTTATAGCTGACGGTAGAATGACATGCTGATGAAATGTTCCACTAGGAAGATAGGTATGCATCATAACAGGGTTATGGCCATGATACGGAGTCGAGCGATAGTTAATAGGCCTATTCCATGATTCAGTATGCACTGAGGGAGTGACATTATTATTTATCTCGTAGGGTGTCTAGAAATAGCGAGAATAGCCAAAAATTTCGATACCATTAAGTTTATATCTAATATGTAGACATGTTATAAATAAAAAAATCTGTGAAAAAACCGTAGCTTACAGAGCCAGCAAATGGCGGATAGGGTAGTGACTGAAGAGAATTATGAGGAGCTACGTTGTTGGTGAAGTGGTCGACATTACTGTTAGGAACAATAACTTCAACGGGAAACATTGGATTATTTGCCATTGGTGGTTGAATTGGCCCAGTCTGCATATCAAGTGACGGTAATTGATGACTCTGTAATGTCTACAAAAATAATAAATTAAGACACCGATTCTGATCTATCCTAATTATGTCTGCTATGTATACAACGTGTCTATGTTTATGTAAAGTCAATCATAGAATTATCACTTATAGGATACATACATCTGGTTGTTGATAATGTTGACGGTTAAGGCAAATATAAGGAAGCGACGGCCAGACAGAATTTCCTTCCGCACGAGCACCGTCGTGATTAATAACAGGAACATTATAGCCGTAAGAAAGTGAAGTATTATCAGCAGCCAATGCGGGGTCCGTTGTATGTTGCGGAGTGAGACCAACGGAAGCAGCACGAGCAGTTTCAACTTGAGGACCAACAATAGGTACTTGAGGAGTTGGCCGATTGCTAGCATCAGCGATTGCTTGACTACAAATATCATAACATCAATGATAACAATAAACATGTAATCTTGTTGATTTGATAGTTCATATATCAGAAAACAACTAACCTCCGTTCCTGGCGAGGAGGTACGTAACCTTGCCTTTCGCGATTCTGTAATGTCCGACCATATCTACTAGTAGTAGATGAATTGCCCGCACTTCTGTCAGCTGCCTCACTCCTTGGTGGAATCTCTAGTCGAGGACGCTTTGCCTGCAATATGAAAATCATAATGTATTAGCCAAAAGGGTAAACTGTCAATGGATTATTAAACTATAGCGCAATGATTGTTAAATCTGTTACTAAGCCGTAACTTAGTATGACGTAAGCAGAGATTAATGGACATTATCTGACTTTCTAATAAGAATATGCCACAGGATAGCAGATATGTCGTCATGCCGAAATATAACGTAAGGATTTTGCTAGTTTAAACAATGCAAACTTATACCGTACACTTAATCGTTAGCAGTGTAGCAGTAATGAGAAGTAAAACTTGTGCATTAAGACATTTTAACTTTCTTTTATACTTTATAACGTACGGTTAATAATTTGCTCTAAATATTACAACAGATTAAAGTCTTATTTAGCTTTATAATGCATACTAGTAAAGATTATATTTTTGACTTTTCTATTGAAGCGCTAGGATAAGATTTGTATAAGTAGTACGCTGCATTATGTATTATATTCATCTTCTAGGATTTAAAATCACTACTAGTCTAACTAGATTGTAATCATTGAGAGTCTTCATCAGGAGAAAGGTAAGGGGTGAAATGAGACTACGATGCGGTATATCAAGAACTTATAGATGCTTCTATTAAATAGACCATTACTATAGACTACAGCTTGTAAAAACATTCACTATAACATTGTATCTGTACCAATTGATACAAGTACAAGTAAAAAAATAATGAGCGCAGCATGAGCTCCAGTTGTCAATTACAGTAGATGGAAACTACTTACATTCAAACGACAATTGTTCTCGTTACTGGCATAGCTGTGACGTCGGACACTGGAAGATGAAGGTCCAGCAGATCTATCCGTGACTTCTAAAAATAAAATAAATCAGATTAAATTAGTTTTAAACGACATTCTAGTTATTCTTGTGTACAAATGTACTGTACGCGTATGATGTGTCATACAGTACAATAGACATTATTAATAAAAGTCGTCGACCATCGCCATGATGCCGCATACAGTTCCGTATGGAGCATAATACAATAACAAAAAGAGAACATGGTTATCGTGTGCCATATTGATGGAACATTGGATCGTCATGCGTAAACGCATGCGCAAATGCATACGCTAAGTCGATAAGTATATTGATATTATGACGAACTTATTAATAAATAATAATAATAATGTTTTCGACTGTAAAATTCAATTCTCGTCTACGGTATAGTACACACTGAGTACAGTACAGTACAGTACTGTACAGTATGTTGTGATCCTTGAGATTAACATTTACTACGGTAGAGTACTGTAGAGTACTGCAGAGCGTCCCAACAAAAGTGTCAAGATACTGACGTACAGTACTGTACTGTACAGTACAAGTACTGTAGGTACAGTCATCAGCCGTACTGTACTGCACTGTACTGTACTATTGAAAGATTAATGTTTATTGTGAAAAGAAAAATAATAAAAAAAATTGAAAAAGGAATACAGTACAGTACTGTATAAAACAAGCGTGTACAGTATGCTATATCGTTCAAAATCCGAAATTAGCCAATTAAAAACTCTAGTATGTATAATGATCATGAAAAGCAAGAAGTAAATCCAATACAGACTGTATGCTTTAGCACTGCATTGTGTATAACAAGGCACAAGACTACCCCCTAAAAAGTACGAAGCCAGTTTTTTCTCTGTTAATTTACTGTTTCAAGCTTTTTTGTGTCCTGCTGATCATTCGTATGGTGCGGCCGGGAACTTGCGTAAGAGAAAATTCAGGACAACTACGATTTCATCAACAAAACAATACACTACTAAACATACAGTAGCACGATGTGGATTGTGCATGTTCACTTGGTAATCTTCTGCAGAAAACTTCATACATTCATACTGTACAAGGTACAACATACGTACATGTCACTTGTAAGGACCCCAAAATAATAGTGCTTAATGAAAAGGCTTGATACGCCTAATGAGCTTGTTATGTTTTAGTTTTTTTGCTGCATTGTCCGCGACAGATAGTCTTCAGTGCCCACTACGCAATAATAATTCAATGTTATTGACTAATAATAACGCGTACTGTACATACATTCAGTGCTATATTTAACTGCAGTTATCGGAACTTGATTCTTTATGGTTATAACCGTCAAAAAAAAAAAAATTAGAAATCGTTAAAAACAGTTCATTGTCAGTCAGCTTCTGATCGAGTGGCATGCAATTTGTGTGCCACTGTACAATGTACATGATACAATCATAGTGGTCTTACGGCTACGGCTGTAGCAGCAGACATAAAGTATATCGAGGATAACAACACTAATACATTTTCCGCCGGTGGAGTGTTCAATCTCCAACATTATTGAACTTCCAATGTACTGCTGCTTGGACATGTTTGGAACAGTTGATTACCCAAATTGTTACTTTCCTTTGCTCTTAACCCTACAGTATGGGGCCGTGCAGTAAAAGTCGATGCTTCTTTTCATAATTTCCGAATTGCTCAATTTTATAGCATAAAATAAAATATCAATTTACGCGTGTACTAGTCCAAAATAATAACAACAAATAAGCAAAGGAATAAGGGATAGTATTCACTACAGTAGTCATACCTTTGATGGAAGATGATATTTCTTGGCCTTTCGATGTCGACATAATATATTTACTATGGATATCTTGACTTGCGAATGGCCTAGTCCTATCACCTAAGTTATTACCAATTGATGAAGTTTCCTCTTTCTTAACTTTAGTCTTTAAAACTTTAGAGAGACCATCATTCAATTGCGATACCGACGAAACGTTAGAACAGACTTTGTCTTTTTCTAATTTCTTATTTGAAGAACTGCCAGTAATGCGCATATTGGTGTTCGAGTTACGTCGTATTGGATTATGTTATTTACGATGGACGAAACGCTTGATTTGCTATCTTGCCGTTGAAAGAGAGGAGCTAATAAAAGTCCAGTAGCGCTCTAAAATTGAAAGATTTACAGTTGTAAGCTGCGTGTTGGCGTAGCGAGTACATCTCTGTAATAATTTATTTCTAAAAGTTGTACAGTAATCAGTGCATTTCGATTACGAAACACTTCATTGAGAAATTGAAAAGCAATGCCATAAAAATAGAAATTAGGCTAGACTTGTTAGTGAGCACGCTCTTGAACTAACACTAAGTTACGCTAAAAAAAAAGTAGTGTATTGTACGTACAGCAAAGTGTACTATACACATCGAATACTTAGTAAATTTACAGTAGGGTACAACAAACGAGGACCGTCTCTGCTGTAAGATTGGAAACATGGAATCTTCAAAATTGAACATTGAACATCTATTACTATACGCTTACTGTATACAGTAACAGGACCCGTGTTGCAGAGAATTATATAGGTAAATAACGATGTACGTAAAATCTTCTTGCTATGGATGCACTGTCAAGTATTGAATTCAATTTTATATTCCTTCAACCTATACGCATTCACAAATGTGTCAATGTGGACGACCATCATACTGCCTCTACGTACGTGCATTACAGAAGAACTTATTGGTATATTTACTAAAGTTGAATAATAATCTGCCGAACATTTTACAAATATCAAAAGTATCATTGTATGAGTATATTGGATAGTACAACTCCATGGGACAAATAGTGCTCAACATTTGCTTGCTGGTCTTGATTCTAAAAGTCCTAGAAGTCGCAAGACTAAACTAACCTCATCCTGTAATAAAATGTTGGCGAACGTCGTATAAAGTGTTTATATATGCAGTGTTCGTTTAATCAATTACGGCATAAGTGAACCCTGTGGATTTCTTACCGATATTCTAAGTAGACGTTGAGAACTTGCGGAACTGCAGCATAGATTATATTTTTCCAGAAATAGTTATCATTACTGAGTTTCTGCCAAGATGAAAGACTGCTGCCAACTGAGAAGCCAACTTTTCAGAGGATTGGAAAATTTTACTTCACAGGCACAGTAGCCGTACACAGGTATGTTAGGAACAAGAGCCGTGGAAATGAATTGTTAGGATTATAAGCGTTGAGAACGGCTGTATAAAAATGACAATTTCCCTACCTTACTATACAATAGTAGAAGAAGTGCGGGATTCTTTTTCCTCTGCCTCGTCTTTTGTGCCTTATTGTTGAAGTCCGTATTGTCTCTGACGTCACAACATGTTTGTCTGTTTAATCATTTCTATTCTTGACAAAGCAACTACCCTGCATACAGTACTTGTGTGCAGCGTAGCGTACAGTACCAGTACTGATAAACTACAGTACAGTACAGCGCCGCATCCAGCCTTTGATGAATTAATTTACATTATTTTGTTAGAACAATACAGTACAGTGTACAGTATGTACTGTATTCATCAGGCGACCGTGTACTGTACACTCTACACTGTACGTACAGTACAGTACAGTGATTTCGAAGTTTCAGAAATACTGCTATACCGTACAGTACTGTACAGTACTTGTAGACGCCTGGTGGGAACTAGCAACTATAACCATCTACTGTATACTTAGCATACTGCCGCACACGAAACATGTGTGAACAGCTACTGCATAGTGCATGGTTGGAGACACGGCAGAAGCACTTTTTTCCGATCAGATTCACCTAGTCTTGCAGTATCTTGTGTGCTGTACTAGACACTGGATAATACAGTGTACTTACTGTATGTTCTTATGTTCAATAATGGAAACATACGCGAGCAGTGCCGTACACTTTGACAGTATGGAGTGACGGATTGATTGATCGACTCAAAATCTCATTCGACTATGACTGAATGCATTTACGGTACAGAATACTACAGTACTAGACACTGTATAATACAGTGTACTGTACTGTACTGTACAGTACGCGTACAGTACAGTGCCGTACTGTACACTTTGACAGTGTGGAGTGATGGATTGATTGATCGACTCAAATCTCATTCGACTATGACTGAATGCATTTACGGTACAGAACACTACAGTACCGTATCGTACACGCGTATGCAAACACTGAATCAATGAAAAAAAAAATAAAAAAGATCATAATTGGTACGGTATCTCTTTCTTTCTACCCCTTCAGCTTGCTGTAAAAGAAGAAAATGAATTTTCCACCGTATTTCCATGATGGCAGGACAGTCTAATACAGTAAGTACAGTATGCGGTACTGTACTGTTGGAGTAGCAGTCTATCGTATGTAAAAAGGTACCATGTTGTTTCATTCAAGCACTGTTTCGTATGCCGTACTGTACTGTACAGTGTACTGTATGTGCAATTGTGCATACGGCTACTATTTTTTTTTTTGTTGTTTGTTTGTTTTTTTTCTGGATTAATCTTCGTGGACCTACAGTACATTACAGTACAGTACTGTACACGAAAATTGATCCAGTACTGTACTGTACAGTACTGTACTCGAGAATGACAAGATCATGACACCGATACTGTACAGTGTACAGTATGTACTTTACTGTACTATACACTGTACGGTACCGTGTAAATAAAATTGACTCAGTGCCGTAGACTATCACGTACTGCATCGTTACGCTTTTTTCTCATTTTTAATTAGCGTTGTTGGCTATCACCGGAATATTCACTGTTATTTTTTTGTATTTGACAAAAATTTCTTTAGCTGCAGTTTCATTTTATACATTATTAACAGTAAATTAATTGAAGACTTTAGTGATTTTGTAGATCATCACTTTTCATCTGGATGATCTAGAATTTTTTGATGGTTATCCGAAAATCTTCTACTTACTGTAAGAGTGACAAATTCTTGTAAACGGAATGGAAAAACTATCAAACCAAAGAATAGTGGGCCCCAAATCCGGCCAAATAAAGAACGGCAATTACTCAAGATTTGCTGGCGCTAAGGTACCAACCCGAAATAGCATCTTATACGCTGGTCCGAAAGAAATGGAACCACCGGCTGCCAATGTGTTACCTTTGCCACCGCCTCATTGGGTGACAAGTAAATCAACCCAACATCTTCGGCATATTCTGAAAATTTAGCAACTATAAATATATTGCTCTTCTGTATGTTAGTATCGTAAGAATACGATGCAGAACATTTTATGCCTGACTGTATCAACCAATTTATCATCATGATGTACTAGAAATGTACAGATTGCAGATTACTGCTATGCTGGAGTCAGCAGCACTCTCTTATGAATTATATTGTCACCATTGTACAATGACAACTCGCAACGCCTAAAAAGTGCTGACGGGTGAATTTACTGCTGCTCTACTGTACTGTACAGTATAATTATAATTGTCTATTTCTAAAAGATAATTATTTGTCATATTTTATCTCCAAATATCTGTTGTTAGTTTCTGAATGATTCCATTTCCGAACTCTCAAAGATTATATTTCGTATTTTATATTTTAATACGATGCCACGCATCATTATGTTTGAATTCTGATTTAAAAGCTGTTACATTCATAGAGTTTACAAAACAAAACAACTCTATGGTTACATCTAAATAATTCTAAATTTTTTCTCTCGCGTTACGTGGGATATTCTTCATTTTCGGTTACAGACTTTTCATACTTTGTAACATTCTCTATATAATCATGGTATTTTGATTGATTCAATGATTAAGATTAACGTTTCTGTTAACTGTAGTTACTGAGATGTATTTTATTATTTCTAATTCTAACTATGATTGTATGTACACGCAGTACGGGAAGCACATAAGTACCTACTGTACTGTACTGTGAAAAACAGACATCACAACAGCAGTCAGTTGTGGTGTCATCCATTTTTTGGCTTCATGAAGCCATCACAACTCAGGAAAGAGTTTATATCGAAAACGGAAAGACTGAAATTGTTGTCGCTATTATTGAGAAAATGACTTGAATTTATTGATTGCATTGAATTGCTGCCATTACGGAACTGATGCAAGTGCTTTCGAAATGCTGATGAAGCTAATATTGTACTGTACTGCATAGTACTGTAGAGTACAAACGTTATTGCGGTGTACAGTATTCCAGTAAACAGACCGCTAGTGTACTGTACAGTAATTCATGTTAATTAATGTTAACGACAGTCTGACACTACAGTACAGTACACTGGTACAGTATACTATAAAATTACAATACAGTACGCTGTTCGTACCGTATGCTGTACAGTAGGCCCTGCCATAATAACTCCGATTACTCAGATACTCAGCGTAAATAGCTTAAACGATGATACATTATTCTAGGAGTCTTACTGTATACAGTGTGCATCAAAGTATTTTGTCACTTTGAAAAGCATCAACCAGTGATCTTAAAAAGTAAATACTGATTAACAGCAAGTGAAAGTTACGCCAGATTTTTTGACAGACACCTGGAATACTGTACGGTAGACTAATATTAGTGCTGTCCTATACTGTACAGCACTTTCTATAATACAGTACGTAGATTTTCTTTCTAGTAGTTTTTGATATAACATTTGCTAGAAGTCCTGTACAGAACTGTATAAAAAAAAAAAATTGGCGTATACAGTACAGGTAAAAGTAATTATTAGTTTTAGACTTGATACTGTAATCATGCTGTAATGGTAAGACGGCATTCAGCAGTTGTATTTCGTCATAAAACACCCCGGAGTGACATTCAACTCTGATGCAATAATGCACTCAAAATTATTCGATTTTTGCCAGCGATCTTTAAACAGTGACTGTGTCTGTAGAGTGTACCCTATGCCGTATAATACTCACTTAAAGGCAATATACAGTACAGTACTACAGTTAATAGATATATCCAGCATAATTCATTCATTAATTAATTAATCTTCTCTTTTTAACGGTCAAACTAGCTCCACTGTCGTAATTCAAATTCTAGACTTTGAAAATTGGCGTAATATTCTAAGGTTTTAAATTTCAATGCAAATACTATCATCATGGGTGTAATTGTGCTTCTACTACAGAACGCGTACAACATACATATCAATACCATACTGTATATCAGTGAAATACACGAAATAGTTTTCAAGGTCAAGAATCTCCCTACTGTACACTGTACAGTATATACGTTGATGTCGCTATATAGAGTAATTGAAGTGGCAAAGATGGGTTTAACAAACAATCGGCAGTCATAATGCATACTGCACTTACTAACAGTAGCACGGCAAACTGTTCATTACAAATATCATATTGGCAAATAATAACCGACACGCGTTATCTTGACAAAAGATTTATTAACAGTAAGATAACTTTTGGTCTACAAGTGAATTATGATATAAAGATAGCGCATTACAGGTCGATAAACGTACGAATTTAATAAAATTAATCTGCCCCCAAAATCACATCTGAATGATTGTAATTTTAAAATTACAGATAGACTATAAAATTTGTCAAGAGAAAACACTTCTGTATAAATTTTATCATCCATTAATTTAGTGTACTGTACTGTAAAGAGAATGTTTATAAATATAATCCGCTACTGAATCCGGTACCAAGTACTTAATGCTTTGTTGACGTCGCAATGCTCTCCTATAAATGAAACAAAGAAAGATGATTACTAAAGCGCATATTATGACTTCCTGCTAAAGCATAGTATAAAGGAAAATATTCAATATAACAGAAAATCTTGATGACTATTACACAAGATAATATGTATTAAAGCTTTAAAGGTCAACTACTAAAGTACGGTATAAAGCTCTATCAAACCTGATGCATGTAGAGCTAATCTCATTCGGAATCCATTCTGTTACAATATGAATATTATTCTGCAAAGCAAAAGATATATCTGTAACACCAGCTTGCAGCTATTTTTTTATCTGCACGATAATTAGAATAACCGAAACATGATTACTCCGTAGATATTCATTCATTTCTCTTACTTCGTATTTCCACAGAAGATCGCTCAAATAGATAAATTTACGAGGATCCGAACCATGTCGAGTTATGCAAACTAGCCCAAATTTCTCTACGATTTCCTGTAACTAGAATAAATATTTTCTAAAAATTAATAAAAGCTCTTACTTATGCTACTCCAACATGGCTTAAAAACACCTCCAACTTACGTCATCAGTAGACCAAAGATTTGGTGTTGCAAAACTCTCTAGAAGATCTGCACCACACAGTAACTTTACGCCAACATCTTGACACCGTTCAGTAGCAATATAAATCGAAAATATGAAAATAGATGCTTCAGTGAACAAGTGTCAGTCGATGTAATGATAGGATCTTTTTGACTCAGAGTAATATTAATTACTTAAGATTATATCCATTACTTTTATTGTTACCTTCTTTATCGTCTTCGCCGTGGCCTACAAGCTGATGAGATATGGATTTTATATACCGTAACACTTCCACAGTCCTAGACCATTCGCTCCTTCTGCATTCCCAATCGTTGCATCTACATATGCCGAGTAAGAATCGAATCCTTAAATCTATAAAATTTATTGATCATTGTTGCAGTGCAAAAAATAGAGATTTTAAAAATCATAGATAAGCACTTGTAAGATATTCGTAGGCAAGTCGAGCATTAGTCATAGCTAATGGGAATAAAACATCCTAAAACTCGAGAAAAGCTCTATCAAGAATCTAATTACGTCAATGCAGAATAAAGGTTTACTATCGATAACACTACAAAAGAGTAACAAGTCAATTAGCATCTTTAAACGTTGACGTCTATTCTATCTCCGTTATAGTAGGGTTTAAGTATATTAGTGGATGGGTCTCAAATGATGCTCATTGCTAACGGCCTGAGTTACTGTAAGTCTGATTCTGGAATTGCTACGCAACTGGTGATGTAAATTATTAAAATCTCTGATGGCCTATCTGACCTTATCCAATCCGATGTTTGTAAAGCTATATTGCACATTTCCAAACGATGCTTTGAGGAAATTAATCCCTAAAACAGTTAAATAAATACATACGCAATTAGACAGAATATTAGTGAAATTAGGTACCAAATTCTTATCACGTCGAAAAATTTAACTTTGTGCTAGCTATTTGAGAAATACTGTAATTTGAAATGATGTGCCAAATCTAAATTGATTACTTTGATTGATTACTGCACAAAATTAGCAACATCAATCAGTATATTGCAGCTAAACGCAAGATAGGCGCTATACTCTATTTATTAGAACTTCCAAGTTACAAGTAGACATTTATTTTTAATGAATGAATGAATTATAAATCAGTTACGGTTATTATAAAGCGATTCCATATCATGTATGTTGGCTTTCTTAGCAACTCTATACCATAAAAGAAACAAATTTTCACTGTATCTCAGTGAGTGTCGTAGACTATTATGTTCTATGAGCAACAAGAAATTGCTTTCATGAATATTTAATAAAAACTTTCAACATAAATCTTTTTCTGATCGTATAAAATAAAATGTGACGATTTGTAGAATAATACCAAATTGTAATATTATAAGCTAGCAAAGTGTTCCGTCAAGATTGTTTTGTATACAGTCAGCTGCATTATATATATATATACACGTACATACGCGTACATACTGTGTAATTCAGTTTTTGCAATACCTCTTTCTTGTAAGAATCGTGCACTGGAGAGACAATACCAGCTTTAACGTTATAGTAACCAGTTGCATTCATAGCGTCTCTTGCATTCTCTGTTAAATGAGTGACACTTAACTTAATAGGACTATCTCCATATGTTATCTCATGTACCGAAGCATAAAAAAATACTATATGCCGTAGATATGGATATATGTACGTTTTAATACATAACTTTGTTGCAAGATGTTGTAATATAATACCGTAGTTACTATGTAGTATAAACTTCTTATAGATACTGTATGTTCTCGACTACATAGATCCACTATCTACGCGTACAGTGCACTGGTATGAGCACTTACGAATATTAATAGCAAACTACGTGCTACAAATACGAAACTTGGTCTCGCAAATTTTATCAATTAATATTATAATAATTTTACAATTATATATATACGCGTATATAAATAATAATTATTAGTCAAATACACGTATACAATTGGACATTGTAACGATACGTATTTTGCTATAATAATAAAAATCAGTACCTTCGAATATATTGCAACGTACGACAGGTAGGTAGATATGATTAGCAATCACATCATATAATTGTGTATTATTATAATTAATTAATGATTGATTAAATCATTCGTAGCTTACGTTAAAGTACTTGGATAGGTGTATGCAATGTGAATGTCATATCATTGAATACTGTATACCGACTATAATACTCGTATATAATTAATCCAAGTTTTCGGCTAACATACTGACTTTTTGTAGGTTAGTCTAACCGGTAGGAAATATTGGCTATGCATAAAGTTTTACAGACTTTTATATATATATGTAATATACATCAATATTATAAGTAGTAAAGCCAAGCTGTTTCTAGCTTGTGAACAATTGACTGCTATCGCTAGAACTTTTTGAGCCTCAGAAGTGCAATTGTGCAATACGAAATCGTAAATGAGTATGACGTTGTTTACTTCTGGTTAGCATCACAGCTGTAGTTGGACGTATTGAAACTTCATCTATCTGAACTTTTAACTTTGCAGACTGTAAAAGAAGTGGCACCTACAGTATCCACGCTAATTGCAAGAGCAAAGGTAAAAACGAGCCAATGACATGCCATTTACATTTTTATACAATAGATGTTTGTATTTAAAATGAATTCGATTAACTCTTAAGTGTAGAATAGTATACTGCTATGGCTTCACTGTACTGTAAAGTATTACTGAGTATAGACTAGAATAGTAGCACTATTTAGAAGCGTTATGTAACTACAAGTAGAAAAATGATTAATGCAAACGTCCCACCTCCAAATCTCCTACCTACCAAATAATCTCAAATGCATGTGAGTAATTGGATTAAAGGAGCCGCATGCTAAAAGGATTAACGGGGATTTAGATGCCATAGTGTGTTACTACAGTTGACTAAAGTTAAAAAGCTTCTCCAGCTCCCTTCTTATAATAACAACTCTTTATTAACGGTAAAATGATTGGTAGCTGGCACTAAGATCGCAACTGCGGAACTGTAAAGTGACCTAGGGACTAGGAGTAATCTCGTTTTGAGTTTCTTTACTTTCGATAGCGATGTCCAAAACGTGTACTGACTAGAGTACAGTACTATGCATACAGTACAGTGCACTGTACTGTAATGATACACCGTACTGTACAGTAGCGTACCAGTGCAGTACAGTACAGTACTGTACAGTACTGTAATTGTACTGTACTGTACTGTACACAGTATTATACTGTAAAATCAAACACTCATGCGTACTGTATGTCGTATTGCATACTGTACAGTACTTTACAAGTGTACAGTACCTTGTACTACAGTATACTGTACATTAATGAGTACTGTACAGTACTGTACTGTACTAGTATAACTCTTGTTGTTCACACTTAGCTTTACCCAGTAGTTCACTTTGAATAGGATTCTTGCGATTTAAACTGCAAATCAGGTACAGTAGTTTGGTCTTGATATCTGTTTATGCTTGATCCATAGCTTATAAAATGGATAATTAATTCGTCAATTCTTGACTAACTAGAAATCGTACTCACTTCAGGATTAAATTGATTGAAACTTTCTTCTTACAATGACTGTACTGTATTCGCATTAATTATTATCAAGGATGATTTGGAGTTTTTATTTCGAGAATCGGATAACCGAATAGCTCGCTAGCAATTACCTCGTCGTGGCCTATGTACAGTAATATCAGCTACTGCATAAGATGCTTTTCATTTGAATGCAATCATCATGACATTTGTCCCCGTAGGTAATCACGGTTGCGAGGTAACGACAAGTTTCAAATCAATTGGATTTGGCGTTTCACAAGATTGAGCAAGAAATTGTTGAGCAGACGTACTGTACTAGTACCGTTTACCTATAGCGAGCATAACAAACTGTCTACAAGTAGTACTGTACACTGTGCAGTGGGAATTCTTGAATATTCCACTACTATACTCGTCTACGTATTACCTAATCTCTAGCAAACTGTAAATATTCTTATTCTTTGGCCATGACGAAAACTTGCAGTCCGCATCGTCTCATTATATCAGGTTTGGTTTTGAGCTATATCTCATTGACGGTCTTTCTAGCAATAACGAACGATATCAATGCTTATAAATGGAAATTAAATGATGATAATAATTATTGGATTGTAAATGGTAGTATTTTACGGCAAACTTCACCCAAATATAGATATAATCATCGGCTACCACTCATTAGTGATGGTATAGCCAGAAAGAATCCACTACAATTGTTATTGCTATCATCGTCTGATAGTCGCAAACAGCGTTCAACTAAAAAGGTTAAAATTTTAATTATCTCACGTCGAAATAAACTTAATTCATTTGCTAAAGGGATCGCAACTGCTATTGAAGCTAACAAATTGGATTATTCTATTACAGTTGGTGATAATTTACCACAATATTTATTAAATCGACGTCATTTCAAATTGATTATATTTGACAGCCTAAAATATTATGTAAACCTTAGCCAACGTAATAAATTAGCTGTCACTACTTATTGCAAAGAACAAAAACGTGTTGGTATTTTGGTATTTGCTAATAATGAATCAGTTCATCATACTAACATACCAATATTATCAAGTAATCAATTTCTTCCTGATGTCGCAAGTGTTCGAATTAAAAGCCCAAATCCAATATTACGATTAACACGTGATGGTGGTAATGTAACACACAACTTGCCAAATCGACCTTGGACTGTCTTCAACAATTATACTCATATGCAGCCTATCTTATATATTAACAGTAAGAATGGCCAACAATATGTTGGTGGATTACTGGATGATGGAAAAGATGATAATATTAAACGAGTTTTCTTTGGCAATTGTATCGATTTTTGGCTTATCAGATTGTTATTCCTTGATGCTATCGCTTATTTATCTAATGGTGTTTTTCAACGACAATTAAGCAGGTGGTTACAAGTCGATGTCGATGATGTCTTTGTTGGTAAGAAAGGTATACGAATGACCGACGAAGATGTGAATGCAATGTTAAAAGGCCAAGAAATGATTCGAAAGAATGTCGACAATTTTAAATTTATGTTGGGCTTTTCAGGCCATTATTTCATGAAGGGTCTACCCACAGAAAATCGAGGCGATATAGCCTTAATAAGCAACGCCAGCAAATTTTGGTGGTTTTGCCATATGTGGAAGCATACAAAACCTCATCTTTTTCAGACAACGGAATTGTTGATTGCAGATATGGAGCGCAGTCGAAATTTCGCTACTAGATCGAATTTACCTATTGTACCTGGCTACTCTGTATCTCCCCATCATTCAGGCATATACCCCGCTTATGAGCCACTTTATAATGCGTGGAAAAGAGTTTGGAATATTACGGTAACTACGACTGAGGAATACCATCATCTAAATCCAGCTCATAAAAGGAAAGGCTTTATTCATAAAAACATTCAAGTTCTACCTCGACAGACATGTGGATTATTTACGAAAACTTTACATTTTAAGACATATCCAGGCGGTATTAAACGTTTGAATCAAAGCATATTTGGTGGAGAATTATTTCGTACATTAACTGATAATATTATTTGCATATTTATGACTCATATGCCCAATTATGCCAATGATCGTATGGCAATCTACACTTTCGTTCATGCTATTGATTTTTTGAAAAGGTGGACAAATATCAAATTGAGCTCAGCACCACCATCGGAACTAGGTCAATCGTATTTTCGATTGTATCCAGATGAGAAAGACCCACTTTGGCTAAATCCATGCACTGATAAAAGACATAAAGCTATCTGGCCGTTTGTTCAAGGATGTAAACAGTTGCCAAGTATGATTATAGTTGGGCCACAAAAGACCGGCACTACGGCGCTTTCCTTATATTTATCGCTTCACCCAAAATTTAAACCGAATAAAGCGAGTAAAAGAACTTTCGAAGAAGTTCAATTTTTTAATGATAATAATTATCGCAAAGGTTTAAAATGGTATATGGAATTTTTCCCTCCTATTGAGAGCTCACTGGTTGAGCAATCAATCAGATACTTTGAAAAAAGTGCAACCTACTATGATCGAGCTTTAATCCCAAAACGTATGAATGCTCTTCTGCCTGATGTTGACGTTATCATTATTTTATCAGATCCTGTTAAGCGTGCCTATTCATGGTATCAGCATATGAAAAATCATTCTCACCCAGCAGCATTAAATTATTCATTCTATGATGTTATTACTAACAAGAAACAAGATCGACTTATTAAGCAATTACAGGATCGCTGCATTAGACCTGGAAAATATGTTATCCATTTAGAAAGGTGGTTAGATTATTATCATCCGTCTCATGTTATAATTGTAGATGGTAAACAACTAATCGACGATCCTATACAAGTAATGGCTGATCTTCAAATTAAATTAAAGGTCAATGATATATTGGATTACTCTATGAAGCTCCAATTTGATCAGAGAAAGGGTTATTACTGCGTCAAGAGAGAGAGAGGACGTAATAAATGCCTTGGTCGAAGTAAAGGTCGCAAGTATCCACCTATGGACAAGGATTCTGAGATGTACCTAAGAAATTTTTACAGACCGTACAACATTAAGTTAAAGGAAGTATTAGAATCGCGTTCGCTAGCCATTCCTACTTGGTTGAAAGAGCAAACGTGATAACTACTTGATGTATCTTTAATTTCAGCTTCTCTTTTCATATCAATGAGAAATTAGTAAATCCAAATCGATTGCACTATCATATAAAAGATCTGTAGAAATGTATTTATTCAGAATGGTATTTATCAGCCAGTAATGTAACAATCATGATATAATTAATTATGGGTGCGAGTAGTAAACAGATCTGTAAATGTAGAAATGTTATGTTGGAATATATATTCATCGGTTGTATTTTAATGAAAATGTTCTGTTAATGAGTGCATGTATAATTTGTAAAATATTGGGTAAATTTTTAAAAATTCAATGAGACGCTATGCGCTATTCCATCGCATAAATAATGAATCAAAAATTTATTGCAAACTAGTTTTAAATTTCTTATCCATGACAACTTTGAAAATACTACAATTAACAATATTATTCGTCGATGGGAATGTTTTAACTATAAGTTAAACATTACTACTGCATTAACCTATACGTGTATACCTATTCTTTACTGTAAAGTAAAATATCTTCCATTCTTTCAAACTACCCAATCACGGTATATATTGACTAAAATAAATCCAAGTGTTTGCATTATTTGAAACATAGTTCTAATCATGCAACCACAAATTAAGTAATGAAATAGCATTGCGTAGGTACGGTATAAATCGAATGTAATCCATGTTTTATACATTATTAATGAACTGACTTCACAGTTTATGGTATTTTGCGCTTACGATGGTCACGTTATTGGACATTTCGATATTGAGATATCAATTTTAGTAGACTGATTCTAGAAATGATTGTTTATAAATCAACACAGTACGAATATGGGCTGTAACTCTGTAAGTCAATTAGTAAAGTAGCAGCCTTAATATTCCATTTTAGTCAACAAACAATTTAGTGTACTGTACTGTACTATCGCAGTGTACAACTACTGCAAACTCCATACTGTATATGGCATAAATGGTCTACTTTCCTAGGCAAAAACCCAATGTATACTATAAGCTTTAATTTTGCATATTAAAGCTTACCAGAAAGTGAAACCAAAATGAAAAACGAAGTCGATATCCGCTATAGCTGCAGTACTTTCCCTAACCAATACAGTAGTATGGTCCATGTCACGCTTCTTAGTGGTAGTGAATACTATCAACTACAGCAACGTAGTAGTCCTGACCAAGGTACCATCCGTACCCGTATCATGTTCACTGTTCAGTACTGTGCAGTGGCTCTATCACTCGCACCTCCGACCTGAACCTAGTCATGGCGACCGATCAAAGGGAAGAGAGATCTTTGGACGAGACCAAGGATTTATCATCAGAAGATGATGTTAGTAAAGAAGTTAAAGAGGAAAAGATGAATAAAATGGAAATAACAGCTGAAAAAGAGGCTTTACTTACTGATGATGAAAAGCAGGTGCTGTCTATATCGAGTTTGTTTAAACGTATCGTATAGTAATAATAACGATTATAATTTAACAAATTATTATGTCGGAGACGAGTAAAATCAAACCCGCCCTTTCCAACTAAGAAATTATTTTCGGCTACACTAAAGTACGGATCAAGTTGAGAAAGTAATTACCAAAGTCTACGTAGACAAGTGCTTATTGACATGCAATTCTTTGCTACTTGTAATCAGTAATGAAGTTCCCAATTATATCGTTTGTTATGGCGTTGAACGACTGTATTATAGTACTATCTTATTTTCATCGTAGTACTGAAAATATCATTATCATCGTCATCGTAATAATTATGATAAGATCGTCGACGAAGTGAAAGCTTTCCTTTTAAATAGGACAACGTTATTGTAGAAGAAAGTAAAGTAGCTTTTCAGTGTATATCGAGATGTAAGTTGATCCAAAGTCGCGGCAACTGCATAAGAAAATTTGGAAGGCGCACATAAATGACTAATGATGATCGACTAACTTATTATGGTACCTTGTAACAAGGAATAGATACTTGCATAGTATTGCAGTAATCAAGAAATGACGATTTGCTTCACAATTTACTGTACATACATACGTACTATGAGAAAGGCTAATTTATTAAATGAAAGCTATTAACAGCGTACGTCGTACGTATCATCTTTCAATCTGATATAGAAATTGTGGGACGGTATTAAATCTCTGTTAGCCAACTACTTTAGATAGTCAAGTATTCTACAGTACGTAGGGTTGCGGTTGTATTCGTAGGCATTTAATTACCATTATTATTACCATTAAAAACCAAATTGCCAACGATATAACCCGATTAATCGAATCCAATTTTATACCGTGCATGTATTCACCTCGTTGTGTATCCTTTCTGTAATAGTAAAGCCATTATCGAAATGGCAGTAGTTTTATGCGGATATGACTGTCGTTTAATTAATTATGTTGAATTACTGAGCTAAAAATTAAATACTTATATGTAATTGACGCGTGTAGGAGCAAAAACGCCTAGCATTAGAATGGAAAAGTAAGGGTAATGCCGCTTTCGAGATACAAGGTAAGAATTTCTTTCCTTTGAAACTTATTTTACCTGTTAACTACAGTAATTACCTTCATTGAAAAGTAAAATGCATTACGTGGATAAAATTGTACTCTCCAATGTAATGAATGGAAGAAAATTATTTGAAAAATCTCTTCTGAACAGATATTAGTCACACAACGAGAGTTCAGTAAAATTTATTCAGACATTACCTTTTTCTATTTGCAGATTATAAAGATGCAATCGAATGCTATTCGGAGGCAATTTACAAATGTCTCCCCTCAATGATATCGGATAGGGCTATCTTTTATAGTAATAGGGCTGCTTGTTATATGAAATTATCTAGACATGAAGAAGCTCTGAATGATTGCAACGCAGGTATCCAAACTTATGAATTATAACCGAGCAAATAAATATGCGAGTATAATGTGCTTATTTGTTCAATATTGGGTTCTTTTGTACTTGTGCCCTGAGTTTTTGCTGTTGATACCATTTTAGCGCTAGATTTGAATCCAGATTATGTAAAAGTACTACTTAGGCGAGCTCAAACATACGAAGCATTGGACAAATTAGATGAAGCATTACAAGGTTCGTTAATGGCAATATTTGCGTTTATACGTACTGATAAGGTATAATAAACGAGAATTTAGGTAGTCATGAATTTTCTCCTTAATTAAAACTATTGAAAATGACTAACAGCTACTACTTATAATGTAGAATATGAGTATATTATGATGTACTGTAGTTTAAAATTATAAAAGCCAGATCAATATCTTAGTATCATTAACATAATGTTAGTAGTAATCGTTAAGGTACCGCGATTTACATAATTGTACTGTAGTAGAGACATGTTATGATGATAACGATCTTAAGATGACTTCGCTAAGCATATAACTATCTGTGCTAAAATACAATTTTTATATTCTAATGTGCTATAGATTACCAAAGCGTGGCGAATAAAGATTCTAGCAATAAAATGGCAAGGGAAGCAGTCATGGTTAGCCTACTAAAATGATATTTGCGAGGCGTAATTGTATCACTGACCATATTTCACTTTATAGAGATTACCTAATGAAATTAAGGAAAGAAATGAACGTTTAAAAGATGAAATGATAGGTTTGTACTGTACTGCTCTATTTTCACTACCCTCAATGATGAAACTTTATTCGATCAATATCGCTACTATTATCGTTGTGAACAATTTAACATACAGTATAATGAACACTAAGTATTGATAGAACTACAGCCGAAGTATTATTTAATTTTATGATCGTTATATACTGTAGGAAAATTGAAAGATTTAGGTAATATGATCCTGAACCCATTTGGCCTATCAACTGACAATTTTAAATTGAATAAAGATCCGACTACAGACTCTTACAGCGTAAAATTTGAAAAGTAACCTATTCCAATCATCGATATATTTATTATTGTATGTTGTAAACAATACCATAAAATTACTACATTAAATACTTCAGCATTTGATAAAGGCGAATAAATAGCTTTTTAAGATCATGAGTTTTAAAGTGATTCCTACGATATCGATCTATATAACAAAATGAACTTTTGTCATTATTTACAGACTGTAATAAAACAACCTGTAATTTTCATTTTGTATATGTTATACAGTAGAATAGTTAAAGGAAGCACGCAGTACAGTAATACTTATTGCGTTATTATGTTCTCTAAACCTTTGAAAGTAATATGTATCTTTTCGAACAAATTTAATTTAATAAAATATTTGTTGTTCAACTCTGTAATAACTCTTAAATCTGATGAATATCTTTTATTTCTAAGTTCAATTGATCAACAGAATTGCAAATACTATACATACATCATATATTACAGTATAACAACATATGCGGCAGACGATGAGAAAAGAAGGGAATTCTACAGGATATTTATATTATACAATAGTGACTTTATACAGAGCTAGTATTTCAAAAATACTTTAGTAACTTATCTGATATATATGCTATAATAATATTTAACAAATTACGCAATGAACAAATACTGCAAGAACTAATAAATATCAAGTTTTAGGTAACGTAAGATGCTTCAGCTTGGCTGATAGCTATTTCTTATTAATTAACGCCAAGATGTTACTGTTTATTACACCATTATCATTTGCAGAATTTTTTCTTTATACATATCGTATTAGTTAGTAGTCATAACATACATTCAATTGATTAGTAGAAAACTCGCTTTCAAATTTTTTTATTCTACATACAGTATACGTACGTAACTTTATATACGGAATCAGTTAATCAGTTAGCTACTACATTAAATGATTGTTGTTGCCGACTAGCAAGTAAGGCATCTTCGACAGCTTTCTGATAAGCACCACGCCGTTTAGGCATGTGCCGTAAGTCATAACTTTCATCGAAATCGTACAATCTTCTTGCTGATATAATTGAGCAAGTATTGGAATTATACCAAGCAACAACAGCTTTACACGGATACAAATGTTGTTCTTCAACCGTTGCATCGAGTGATACAATCCGGCCTGGCCACCATGGATGCCCCTGTACTTTACCCCAAACGATATCACCAACTTGAAAAGTGCGACAACTCGGATCATATTTTACTGTAGTCTTACTATTATCACTATTTATAATTTTCATTCCCTTAACTTTCTTTTCTGTTCCGCATCGATTATCACTACCGTTTTTTCTTTTCGAATGGGCCACAGCATGTAACTTGTTACATATATCATCGACAGTATGTCCGGGCATCTTACTATTAGTCATTGTGCTATTGCCTATAGAAGCAGATTTCTTTGATGATGCTAAATAATAAGTAGATGTAAATTTCGGGCTTCGGCGCCTTCTTTTTGATGACAGTCCATTATTTTGGCTATGAATTTCATGATATCCCTGACAATACCTATTATTAATGTTAGCCATTTTTCTCCTATTGCTAGTTGAATTGGTGCTGTTACTACCACCGCTATGACAGGATACTTCATTATCATTGTCATCATGATTAGTGATATTGCTCGCTCTGTTAGTTTCATATAGCATACGTTTATTAGTACACTGCATATCTTTTGAAGAGTGATCGTTAACTAACAAGCTCTCAGATTGGCCATTAACTTGGGATATATTTTGCCGCGTATTGAAACTATTTTCCTGGATGCTATAAGTCAAATTAGCATTTTGCTGTGAAGTGATTTGTTCGTCTTTAGTGCTATCAGCTATCGCCTGTTTGCTATGACTGCTAGATATCGTCTCTTTTACTTCATTGAGTGCCTTTGTAGTATTCTCAGTTAATCCTAATAAGGCAACATTAAGTATTTCAATTTCAATATTGCTCGACACATTATCAACTTTATGAACGTTTAAAGCAGTAGAACAGGTAACGTCATTAGGTTGTAATATTTCTATAATTATGTAAAGGTATGAACCTACCCGTAATTTTGTTATTTTGACTAAACTTGCTATCTTTTTCTATCTTTATATTATTTTCTGTGGTTATTTCAGTACAAGTTTGACCGCCCAATTGGCTATTAGACCATAATCCATGACCAGTATTACAAAGAAATGGTTTAGGTCTCTTGGATAAAGCAGGGACCGAAATCCTAAAAGAAAGTTGGTCAATACGTGTATATTAATTTGTTTAGTTTTAACTTTTAATTTTGGAGCACGTTGTCGTATTTCAGCGTCATAATACCACAATTTTTTGCTATAAAATACGTGGATTAATCATTGCTCCATTTTTACGCGAATGTTTGTTATGGACTGTTAAAGGCTGTATGTATAAATTTTGCGGACAAAGAGACATGACTAACAGTAAAAACAGGCTGATATTCAACAATATTCTGTATTTCATCGGCCGTTTGAAGTGGTTGAGATAGCGCAAATCTACTTGATAGACATACAGTACGCATACAGTACTGTATACAGGCACACAAGTAAAGCAATGATCAGTTACCGACTTACAATAATTAATCATTTCTACATACGCATACATCTTCTTTCTGCGTTTACTATCTACATGACTAGAGTAGAATAATTTGGCTTTCTCCACTTATTTTAACCAGTATACTAACTCATTCATTATAATTACAACAAGTAGAGACAGATCCACAGTCAAAGCAGTCAGGATAAATGCATAAAGAAAACTTCTTCACCATTCCTGTATCAAGGTAATTGACCTTTTGATGGCAGTAACGCTGATTGCTGCATATCGTTAACATAATTACTTGTTACAAGTTCGGATAATTTAGATGAGTACAGTACTATCAAGTACATCATTGGCTAATCTTCAGCAACATAATTAATAGCCTTTAGCCAATACACAGCAAACACAGTTAAAAGGTTATTCGTCTTGATATCGACATTGAGCTACCATTCTTAAGTTAAAGTTAAACATTGGACTAAGATAACAGATGATCGATCATAATTTGATCGATATTATGATCTCTTAACAAACTAATGACACACTTTATGACTTGTTTGAATGTAATCGGAACTAAGTCATTTTCTAAGGTCATTCACCCTTGTCCTATCCTAGAGGATTTAGGAAAAATTTTTTTTTAAATCTGCCTATCTTACCGGGTTCACTACCCATGTTGACTTGTTGAATAAGGGTAAGATACCGAAAGCAGGAATTGAATGTAAGCATAAACTACAAAACGAAATAGCAACTCTACAGTTGGTCATCAATTAATTTCATAGGCCTACATCATTTGGATCATTGATTAGCAAAGTTACTGGACTATCAGAGCAATATCCAATCGATCTAATAGCATCATATCCATAGCGCAGTCCAATCAAGTGAATTCATATTATTATTAATCGATCTGATTCTGGATTGGCATGTAGTAAATAACCTGTATAGTAATATTCATTTATTACGTACCTGCTGGTAACAGCTTGTATTGTGCTGGTTGTATTAATTAATACTCCACGGTAAGTATCGCCATGATAATTTAAAGAAACGACAATGACAGCGTTGTCCTTCTGGTCTACTTTAACCTCGGCAGTGCTTCCTACCTCGAGCTTTTGATTTTCCATTTTGAAAAATTGAAATGGAAATCGTCTCCAAGCTAAGCCAAACAGTCTAGTCAGTTGTGCTCGTGTACTCCACAGCGTGAAGAGGATTTGTATGCACTAATAGCAAGTAATGTTATGCTCAAGTGAAAATCAGTCAATTTGATCGTTCCTCGTACTGAGTCTGCTCTACTCTCCTCAGTCCCCTGATAGGCTGTTATACCGAACGACCGATGGATTGATAGCGTTTTGTATAGGATGCGAAATGATCAAGATGGTCGAATAACCTGGTTGGAAATATGGATTCTCACCCAGTAAACTATCTTGTTGCCTTAACAGAATTTCTTACATAGCAAGCATAGTGCTGTAGCGTATTCTATTTTCCAATCTGGTACACCTTTACAACAGGCGTATATATACAGGAAAAAGAAAATTTTTGTTCTTCCGTAAACCCACTACTACCCGCTTTCAACCAAGCACAATGATGGGCGTCGGATGGATTCTGTCCGTCCATAATCTCGGGGTCTGACTGAGGATACGCTTCCAATCGTCTCTATGCGATAGTACAGTATTATAGCGTAACAACGCGTTTAGCGTTGACACAACGATTCTTCCTCGCCTGCAAAAGCAATCTCATTTCCTAGGGGTATTTCGGGAGCATTTTGACGATAGAAGAGCCTGGTGTTGGACTATTTTGATAGTGTATCCTATTTGGCCAATTTCAAGCACTCAGTCATTGTATTGAGTTTTACTCTTTATATCCATCTTATTGGATGAGAAATTGACTATTTTATGGCTGAGTAGTTGGATTTAAACATGGTGTAATTAAAATAAATAATAACAATAATATAGTAACAACAATGCTATAATATTTATAGATATATATGTATAATTAGAGACAATCATGAATTAGAATCATTTTAAGTCAATTTCAAGACTAATGATATATCACTTTCCAAACAAAGCACTTTGTACAGTAGTCAAGAATTACTGCCAACTTTACCTATTTGAAATAAAAGTAGCCGCTGAAGGCTCAAATCTTGCCAAGATGTCAAGAAATTAACATACGATGATTATCAAAACATTTCAATATTGAAATGATTTCGTAGTTTACAGTATCACAGCAGAGACGCAAAAGTCCTTTTATTATCAAGTCTCTGAGTCATACAAGGCTATCAAGAATACAGGAGATGTTATATAGTACTCTACGAGGCATGAACACTGTTTTAGGGACCTGTCAAGTAAAATCGCTCTCAAAATCTTCTAGTACTGTACGTCTAGTTTACTGTATGCGTATCTTCAATAATAATATACTGTAGTGTACAAAAAGTAAGAGTTGACTATCATTGAGGTCTTCCAAAAAGAGTCTTGCTCACTCACTAACTACAGTAGTGCAGCGAGGTCCTTAAATCAATGAAAAATTGCCAAGACATTAAAATAGACAATTTAAAATGGAATTCAACGAGAAATAATCAAATGCCTGAAAGAATTTGGACAGCTCAATTTGCCTCTTTCATACTGAACTCTATCCTCGATTCCAGTGTACAGTGTGCAGGAGACCAGACGGACGTCCAACAGACCTACAGTACAAACAATCTTGAGGCCCAGACAAAATCAGTACTGTACACTGTACAGTACTAGCTTGCAGAGTTCAGCCTGAGGTCCTTAAATCAATGAAAAATTGCCAAGACAATTCAAAATGGAATTCAACGAGAAATAATCAAATACCTGAAAGAATTTGTTAAGCTCAATTTGCTTCTTTTGCCTCTTTTTTAAAATAGACAATTCAAAGTAGAATTCAACGAGAAATAATCAAATGCCTGAAAGAATTTGTAAAGCTTAATTTGCCTCTTTCATACTGAACTCTCTCCTCGATTGCACTGTACACTGTGTACCAGACCAGACGGACGGACGGTTGACCTACAGTACAAACAATCTTGAGGCCCAGGCAAAATCAGTACATTAGTACTAGCTTGCAGAGTCCAGTCTGACCTGGTACTGTACAGTATGGCGTGAGGAGAGGATTGGACTGATTTCTTGGCAAAGACATATTGCCCATAGAAAATACGGATATACAGTGTACACTATAGTCGAAATCTCCTGAAGGCTACAGTAGCTTTCGGCATGTTGAACACACTGTGGTCTGCGTACTACTACTGCACACTGTACAGTGTACAGTACGCTATACTGTAAGTACGTTTATAAAGTGTCGACTCACTTTCTACTCAACACACGCACCACTCAGCTCGCCTTCACTGCCACCTTTGGCCAACCCTCTCGCTTTGCATTCGCCATTGCAGTGAAAAATTCTTCATTGAAAATAATATTTTCTCTTACTTCTACCACTTGAATGACAGAATATGAATGTAGAAAATTTCGCTCTTGCTTGCCGTTTCCTACCTTCAACTTATGTAGAGCAAGGAAAACAATCGAGAAAGTCTCATGAAAATTACATTAAAATCCTCTTAGAACATGTAAGTGCATTTGCTTGAAATTGTTGTTTGCATTTTGCTTGTCCACTGGGGTTGTATCATTGATGGGTAAATTAGCGCAAAAGGTGACCACTGTTTTAGTGAACCATTCGAACAGCCAACCAAGTATATACTTCCGTCTAACTTGATAGCTAGCGTAAAGTAATCACTGGAAACTGTCAATGAAATATATTTGATAATACTTCACATCAAGCAGAACAATAGAGGATGTTTGTGAAATTCCTATGGTCAACATCTCAGATTAATGTTAAAAATACTGACATGAGGTCAATCAAGATACTCCTCTCTTAGCTAGGATATCAATAAATAGACAAGAGGGATAGCAAGCGATTTGGGGGCAGCCCCCTACCTTTTACCTCCCTCTTGTGTTACACCAAATGCACACATACTAACAATAATAATGATTATAATATTGATGCAACCTCGCACTCAATCATCTCCAATGCTGAACCTATCTTGCAATGATGATCGTTGTACTCGCATAAATGGTTTAAAGACCTAAATGGTAACTCATACGTAGGAATGATATGTTTTACAATCATAAATACTTTATTCAAGAAAAAGGATATAATCTGTATAAGAAAGAATGCTATGCCATCAATGATACATTCTTTAGTTTGCATGCTGTACATATTCACTATCGCAGATCATGTTATCGATTAATTAAGTAATTAGACGTGCTTCTATGATCGGATCTGATCAATGGCAGTATTCTCTAGCATTGATCAATCATAAGCAATGGCCAATTTTATTCACTCCTTGTCACTCAATCTTGAGATAGTATCATCGGCAGTAAAAACATTACACTTGATAACACCAGATATGTCCCAAAATTACCACCACTGTATTCTACCATCTTTTACTTCCTCTTTTTTTGGTGGGGGGGGGGGCGATATACAACGATAAAAATCATTTTAAGACTTGGTCCATTTCATGTTAATTAATATCTCTTTTTATGATATAGTGTATTACTAATTAAATGGAATAGTACGTGCATATCCACCAGAAATCTTATCGACGTCTCCTATTTTTAATGGCACAACTTACATTGTCAGATTTACGGTAAAGAATAAAACCTATCTCGTCAACGAAAAAGAAAAGACTGCTTTATTCACTGCTACTCCACTGCTAAACTTAGTTTACCTTAATGGCTTTTTGAACAAATACATTGATGAACTTTAACAACCATCATTATTCAACAGAACAAATAATAACAATGCCAGACCTCTCGCAGTTATAACCAAAAATCTACTATGGAACAAAGTACTCCATTGTCTTCTATTAACGATAGTCTCTAGTCGTTTCTTCATGCCATCAAAAGCCTCTAAGTGCATCTTCACGATAGATTAAATCGCCCCAGGCAATACCTTACCTTTATGAATGAATTAATATCATCTAGATTGAAACTATTATAATTATCAACCTGAATCCAGCTGTGTGCCACTGATACAACGCTTAATATTAAATTGCTTGAACGATAATTTTAATTATTCACCAACATCAAAATTGTACATAGTACGCTAGATTAATTTACAGTATTTACTCTTACGAAATAGTTTAATATCGGTATGCTAATTCATTCGACACAAAAGTCGCTTAATGCTTCTACTCTCGTACATGCTCTTGCCTCATTTTTTAGAGAGCTTGAGAGGTTCATGATCCAGTCCAACCACTATGAACGTCATATACTGTACACGTACAGTACATAACCATCTTTGAATGAACATCCATTAAACCACGTTTAAAGCATTACAATTGCTTTTCAAAGCTCGATATTAGGCCTAGAATGATGATTATAATTAGTGGAAACATTCTTAATTACCAATAATATCAATAAAGAATTACCGCAACAATGTAAATACTGTACACGTAATTCACAGTATAGCACAGTCAGTGCCAAAAGTATGTCATGTTTACAACGTAAATGTAATCTAATATGCTCATATTCAATAATGAATAAATTAAAAATGAGGAATAGCGCTAATTTAATCAAGGCATTACGGCGTGATACTGTAACCGGATTACTGAAAGTATTCTTTTAAAATCTAATGCGATCAAAGTCATGCATTCAATGATGAGCAAGAATATGCTCATAATTTAGCCCAGTGTATATTGTATAGATGTGACGCTCTACCGAGCAGCCGTGGATGATCATTATAATAGCCGTAAATTTATCGCTATAAATGCTCCTAAGTTCACTTAAAATAACCAGATAGAATAATTATACCGTAATATCATATTATGAGTCCCTAGGGTACATTGCATTCCACATTAGCAGTTACACACAGTAAAGTAATTTTTTCGTTGGTACAGTATATCCTTTCCGCTTTCATTCTATAACCGTCATATACAAAACCCTCTTTTCTTTTATATAATATAAAGGGATTAACTTCGTACTACGCCGCTAATGTAGACAATATCTTTTCACTACATAACTATCGCCAATTATTAATTAATTGCTTATTTTAAATTTAAATATATATATATCTATTGCCAACGATTTAATTCTTTCTGTTGATTGAATAATGGTAGAAAAAGCTACCGGTCAAAGGATGGGATAGATCAACAATCGAAATGTTATTAAACGAAATATCCACGATGGACAGCAATAATTTTTTAGGTCTGTAAAACTGCATCAACATTAACAATTTCTTAAATTTGAAGTACAATCTTAATATTTCAATAATTACCAAGCCAGCAATGATACAAAACAAAAGCCGTAGTACTGCTTGCTGTGTACAGTACTTAGTCTTTTAAATTGCAATATATTTATGCGCATTTTTTATTCAGCATAATGAGCCTTGACCAGTTCATGATAAACTACGCGTATATCACCAATATAGGTAATGCTGGGATTGGAGAAAGAGAAGGTAGAATTGCATCGCCTATTGTTGTTCAGAGACATTATGGGTACAATATTAAACTAATTATATAACATATTAGAAATAATAAATATTGTTACAATAGCCTCGGTTATTAATTAATGAATATTGTATGATTAATGAGCGCTAAAATAGATGAGCAGTTATAAAAATAAGTAAAGATCATTTTGCCTCATATTACTTGGCAGATGTTGAATTTCTCTATATTTCTAAATTCAATTATGAAGTTATAATTGTTATCGTATCCGTCATTCTGTACACAATGAATATCAGTTGTAGCTTGTACCGCAAGAAAGTACCTATTCAACACTGTACAGTAACTATTCTTTATAGACCTCAGACAATACTGGTATGTTAATAAATATGCCTTAAATAATTTCATAGCTACTGTCTACGCTATTTGGTATTTGATGTAAACAACGTCTTTGTTTGCACAAATTGCTAATTATTATCATTATAACGATAGACTGGCCCACGGTATTGGAAGATCTGGCGATATTGCTGCCGTACAACCAAAGGCTGCAGGATCTTCTCTAATGATGAAACTAACTAATGCAATGGTTTTAGATGCCATTCGAATTGCAGGTATAGATACAGGATATCTTTACTTTTGCTTCATCATTTATACGCATGTTGACTTTCTTACCGTTGGGATAGCAGAGCTAATAATTAGCAATAATAGGATTACTTTACGAACCGTAAACCAATGATCTCTATTGCTAATTAGCTAGATCAGAGTCATTAGTATACTCTTTGTCTTCGTTCGATGCATTATGCGATACAGATATAGTATTACAATTTACATCAACCCGGTCAATCTCCTATGCCTGTCTTGAGACTAAAGTTACGCTAGCTATTAATATACGTGTATATGTAGAATTAATGATCCCATTAATTTGCAATAATGACTAGTGTTACCTATGCTGCTCTAGTCTGTATTATGCTGATAGCTTGCAATGACATAAACCGTACTTATTACTGGAGCTTGAATGCAATTCCAATTTTTACTGTGTGATCATGTGGATATGAAATATTGTTTTCATGCCGTTACTACAATTATCTATTAAAATCTTTTCTAAAATCGTAACAGGCGTTCGGAGTGCATCTTCTTGCATTGTGGTTCCTATGGCAACTGGAATGAGTATGGTTTTGACCTTTCTAACCATTAAACAGATGAGACCTGAAGCAAAGTATATCATTTGGCCTAGAGTAGATCAAAAATCTTGCTTTAAGGCTATTTTTACAGCTGGTAAGAATATCTTTAGGAATAGCTTAGCGTTCTAATGAAATACTACAATTTTATAAATAGTTCTATCTGAAAATCAGTCATTGTAAACTGAGATAATGTTGCATTCATAGGCTTTGAACCAATCGTCATTGAGAATATTTTAGTTGAAGATGAATTAAGAACTGATGTACAGATGATAGAAAAACATCTGAAAGGCATACCGCCTGAACAAATATTGTGTATTTACACTACTACAAGTTGCTTTACACCACGGGCTCCTGATAGGTACGATAAAGTATTAATTCTTATGTAATAGTTTCATAAAGTATGTTAACGCAATATAGCTTTGAACTAAATTAAGGTTTCGCCGTTCACAATGACGATCATGACATGAATTGAAATTTGAGAATCAAACATAATCTTATTTCAATTTACAATTTATAGTTTAGAAGCAATTGGCAAGTTGTGCAAGGAATTCGAGATTCCACACGTAGTTAATAATGCATATGGTTTACAATCTTCAAAATGCACTCATCTAATAGAGCAGGTTTATAAGTATATAATATATAGATACAGTACATAGTACATAAATATAGTAGAACACTGATATTATTGAGAGTGGCAGTTTGTGAAAATTAATTGCTTAATTTACTACTATTTTTAAACTTTATTTAAAAGGCTGCACGCTCTGGCAGGCTCGATGCATTTATTCAGAGCACAGACAAAAATTTTATGGTTCCTGTCGGTGGAGCTGTAATCGCAGGATTTGATGACAGTTTTATCAGCAAGATTAGCCAAACTTATCCGGGTATAGGATTACTTATTTCCAGTTAATGAAAAGAAGTGCAGACATTAATTAACTATTACGTTTTTTATTATCATTTCAGGACGTGCGTCAGCTGCTCCAGTTATGGATCTATTTGTGACTTTACTATCAATGGGAGTAGAAGGGTTCAAGGATTCACTGATAGAGCGAAAAGTGAGTATGCTAGCTTTAAGGCTTACAGATCAAAGCGATCTACTGCAACTACTTACTTATACAAATATTTCGTCAAATAGACTCTAAAATTTGTATATCTATATAAAGAACGAAGGAAAGATATAAATATATATTGTGGCCAGGACATGAGATTCTTTTTGCTATACTATATGATTATTGAAACGAATTTTTTTCTAGGGAATGTATCGATATCTACAAAAGCGCTTGCAACAGGTCGCATCAGCTCACGGTGAACGACTTTTAGTCACCCCTAATAATGCAATATCTATAGGTATCTGACCGATGTACTAATTTTTTAGCTGATTTTAATGGCATGGCGTTGTTACCTTAGCTGTAATGATTAGTAACTCCTAACCTACACTCTTATCACACCAACAATAGGTATTACATTATCTTCTATGCCTACTAAACATGCAACCGAACTAGGGTCAATGCTCTTTACCCGAAACATTTCTGGGGCAAGGTATTAAGTCAAATAGTATTTTTTTTCTAAATTATAAGTACACTACGTGGTTGTATACCTTTTTTGTGCATATCTTTATTCGGTATGGATACTTACGAACAGATTACCTAGATTTCATTAATTATTAAGTCATTCTTTAGCCATTACTAAATGTACCGATTTTTTGTCAGAGCTATAGCCCCTGGTGTAACAAAGCAAATAGGATCAGTCACATTTGAAAATTATGGATCCCATTACAATAATTACCCTTATGCATACTTGACAGCTGCTGCTGCTATTGGATTGAAAAAAGATGATGTTAATACATTTGCGAGAAGATTAGATCGTGTATTTAGGAAACTGATAAAACGTAACATGAAAAGACGAAGTATAGAAAAAATAGTTACCGAAAAGTTAAGTGAACTTGATATCAAATGGAGCGATTTTTCATCACAAGAAGACGACGGTCTGGAAGGTGGACAAAATCAAACCCACTTGACTTCCGCTAAAAATTCTGCTGAGAATTTATTGACAGCCAGCAAAAGTAATGAAAATCTTAATGCAAATGATAGTAACAGTGATATTGGAGTTACCGATATTGGCATCGAAAAAGGCACGGATTCTTCTGAAGGCGGAGTTGTAATTGAGAATAGCAAGAATTTTTCCCAGACTAATGTAACTAACCAAGCAGATAATCCCACTGCTGCTTTTATTACATCTGATAATGGCAATCCTGTCGACAATACGCTTAAAATAAATATAATAAACGATGAAACTATTGAACCAGTATCGACGCCGAATGATATTCATATTGACTCCTAAAGTTCTGTTGAATAACCTTTTAAGGAAGTAAGTTTCAAAATACGACATGTTAACTTATACTTACTACGAAATCCTCGTTTGGTATCAGCAGAAAAGCAATATCGTCATTTAAAATAATGAAAATTGAAGAAAAAATGACTACGTAGTATTTTTACCACTAACTCTACGGGTGATTTATCAATATCTTTAACAATCGAAGTGAATTATTGCCATTTGACTTAATTCTGTAATGGCTAGATTAATCCCATAAATTATTCGAACGGTTGAATGAAATCTATGGAATACATTTATATGGCTATAATGACCAGGAAGGAGCTCCGACCCTGCTCTAAACTTTAGCAACTGAAGCTAAAATTGGAGAATGAAATAATTTCTGTTTCCTCATCTAATTCTAGCTTTAGAAATTGAAAGTGATTAATATTTTAGTATTTTCTATTATTACATTCGTGATTTGATCGAATTCTTACATTACCAACAATAACTTAACGGCAAATCACGTACACCAATACTAATAGATTTAATTGTCATTAAGTTAAGAAAAGTAGAAATTACTATTAAATTATCATGATAACATTCCCCAATTGCTTCAACCCAACTTAGACCAGATTTTTAGTTATTGTGAGATTACTAATTGATTAAATGCTAATTGTTCACATTGGTTTTTATATCGATTTTTAAAGCGCCTATAAATTACACGTACGCTATTGTTTACATTAAATTAAAATATGCTTTAAAATTTTATTTTCCAATGAGAGCAAACATATATTTTAAATAATTTTTGTTGAGGAGTATTCCAGCCAGATGTCATTTATGCCATTTATGTTATATTAACGATAATTGTGAGCCAGATAAAGTAAAACATGATACAATTTATTGCCATATAACACTTCAAATGATATTTACTAAGTTATTTATCTAATATTTTACGGTACTTTTTAGCCATTATCATCTAGATACGAGTGTTTTACAATTCTATAGTCAAATGTAACGATATTTAGCTTTACATTACAAAATTGATTGAACTAGGAATTACGAATCATTGATTGTATCTTTATGCGGTATCGTTATATAAGCTATATACCAAATATGTGCGCGTTGATGTGTTAATTATTGATAGAGTACTTAGTTGAAAGCCCTACAGTACGACAAACATATTTCGGATGCATTAGAATTGTACAGTAATTTTAATTTTTTGTATGCCGAAATACCGCACAGCATCGATCGTCAAATGTTTATATTGATAATTAATTACTCTACTATGATTTAACCTTGCTAATTTCTGATATTGATATACGATGTACGTATTTTCGACTTTAGTATTTCTTCTGTGTTATAATCATATTTATTTATCCCTGTTATACCAGATATTTATCCAGCTAAGGTATCAACTAGGTCAATTAATGCAGTAACTGTGTTTATACATATGCACAGTATATATATATATATATATATATATATATTTACCTATGCTACAATGTTATAAGCAATAAAATCAGTTGTATGCTCTGATTTTGTTTCATTAGATTAGTTAGTAACAGATATGCCTGGATTTGTAATGCTTTATTAGTATCAGCTAAGCAGTATACTGTGTATGTTTTACGTGGCCATCGTACAGTATTGTGTATTAGGTACTACCATAAAGTTAAAATTGATGATATACGTACTTCTATGTTGGCATCGCTTATGCAATATAAACATTGCTGTTTTATACTTCAATTTCCTTACATGTATAGAAATAGAAGTCTGTTTGTTTGTTGGTTGATGAAATATCTAAACTATTGTAAAGTACTAACCGTCTTGTAACTGTCTGCTGCCCTAGCTGCCTTTTTGCGTTGAGCACCAAGCGAATATGCGAAAGGCATAGCGTAGTTCTTTCTTTCTACTACTGTTATGTTAGGTCCGATAAGTACAACTTATTTATATCATTGTTCCAGGTTTTCTACGACTCTATGTTCATAATTGATTGAAAAAATTAAATGGCATGACACAAGTAATCAAGTATTTAACTTAACTACTTATACTCCATTTCCTGATACTAGTAATAAATAAACTGTAGTGCTACTTTTTATGATGCCATAGCAACTACTCGATTTGAATAGCAAGAGCCAAAACCGAAGATCGACAGTGTTATTAAGCATGTTTGATGAGACTCATATCAATTTGAAAGTACTCTATCGCTATTAACCTAATACATCGTTCCTAAGCGACTCATAATCGTCCCAAACTTTAATGAGCAGCAGTTGTTGAAAATGATTTGCATCATGATAATATTTAGCTACTTATTCTACATCATTCCCTGATTCTAGTTCTAGCTCCTTTCCCCATGATGCCACTAGCATCTTCTCGATTGCAATAGTAAGCACCAAAATCCAAGATCTAGTATGGGGTTATCGAGCATGTTGAAGAGTCCATACCTATTTAGTATGGATTTTTGGACTGTTCTTGCTGATCACCTCACTTCATTGATATAATACCATCGAAAGGCTTTTTTTCTATTGCCTCCTCCATGGTGGACTGACCCCGACGATGATCTAACTGTGTACTGTAAAGTCTATCGTACAGCCAAAGCATGGGCTTCCAGCTGTAGAAGCCCATGACTACAGTGAGTCTGCCTGTCTGTCAGTATGTTGTAGTCCATGGTGCTGTACTGTACGGCACGCTACAGCATGTACAGTACAGTGTAAACCCTTAACTGGAAATAAAGTTCGCGGCACGCGTGCGGCCTTGACCATCATTGCAACCTGCAGAAAAATGGCTAGTCCATCTAGGTTGGTCAACAGTCTGCTTTCGTTGTGATTAATCATTCATTAACTAGACTACTTATCCGTAGAGTCTGATGGATACTTTGAGCATACAACCAAGCATTTATGAATTATTTTTTTTATAGATTTCCAAACGATATCCGGTTAATCTTCCTTTTGCTATACGGTCCAATTGGATTGGTTCTACTCATTTTACGCCTTGCTGTCTATCTGCAGCTGCAATTAGCTGCTCATTTCATACCATGTTACTATGGCTCTATAAGAAGGTTGGATTAATTGACCTGCAATCAAAGCCATGATATATTGATCGTGATTAAAATGTGTCATTCATGCGATACTTGCTTCAATATTCTTGTAGGTTTATATTGCAAAGTATTTCAGCTGTTTGTGGTATGCTAGTGCATTGTTCTGGCCGTCATCAGTTATCCTCGAATAACAAGGTTCGTAATCTTTCGGTATGATCAAGGCAAAATTGCTTGTTGACTTCATGGAAAGTTATCTCTAGATCAACATCAAAAGTCTCTCTAATCGTATTATATGCTATATTATTGTATAGGTTATCGTCAGTAATCATGTATCGGTTATGGATGCTACCGTATTGAATACGACGTTACAAGTAAGTTGGGAACATACTTGAGCGAATCTCTTGCACCCGGTTTTAACCTCTGTATCAAGCCGATAGATAGCCTTATCGCTCTTATCTAGTTGTCGTCTTTCCATGTTGATATATGGAAATTCTTTAGTCGATAGCAGCCTAAAAATACAGGATACAGTAGTACAGTAATCAGGATTGAGCAAAACTGCAATTTGTGCGATCCTGGTCTCCTGGATCCAGTAAATTGTACCAGTTTTAACTCGCTTGATTAAAAATACTTATGTCCATGAAGTAGTGTGAACGTTAATAACTGGAAAGAACAATACCGTATCTAATTAGAGTCAATAGTTCCAGTTACGATCACAGGTTTAGTACATCAGCCGATGCCTTTAAAAATATCGATAATGTTGCTAGTTGATTCGAAATTTTAATGACTTCACCTTATTGTATACCGTACATGACCACTATCCAAGTATCCCATTGGAAAGTAATATTCGGTAGACGTGCTAATAGTGCAAATAGAATTTTTACCTTAGAAGGAACTTGACGTACGGTAACTGCAGGGTAGCGTGTAGTAGCTTAGCGAGTCAGGACTCCTAATCTGTTATCCACCGCGTTTGTAATTATGGCATAATACTTGAAGAATGAATACAGGGTCTTTTTTTGCCATGTAATCAATGCATTGCTGTATATCTTAAATGATTGATTTCATACAGATTGATTATAGTCCTAAAGTAGCACTTATTCTTTATATCCAATGAAGGTCAATAGATCATATAGCAAAGATTATTATCCGTCAAGAGAAGAATTCCTTAAGGCTTGTAAAAGCAAAACTGGTGAGCACTGTATCTTACAGCTTTACTTTCATACTCTCTTACTAGCATTCCCTCATTGCTCTGCTAACGCGTATGCCTCTACAACATTTATATCTTATAGTGAAAGTAGTATTAGTAATAACGAGTAGCAAGTGTGTAGTCACTAAACTAATACGTAGACTGTTACATTATTGATCATTTATGTAATATGGCAGTAATTACTTCCCCAAAGATCTTGCAGTTTCTCAGATAAAATTCTACTTCTTCATATCCTAATGTAAACTAACCATGACACTTAATTGCCTTTAGAGTTATCTCAACCCATCCTTCTTTTCCCTGAACGCACTATTTCCGATGGAAAATCCTTACTAGAATTTTGGTAAGAGATCAGTAAATTTTTATAGCACTTAAATTGTACGATGATATACTGTACTCATGTTTGTAATCTGCTTACCGTTTACTCTAATCATTTTAAAATCAATTTCGTTTACGTAGCGTAAACTGTACATTTTCATAAATGCGTGTTTACATATTTTATCGTTCAACAGTGATTGGATTTTCGAGACAGAACATTCTGTACAGCCAGTAAGTATAATGATTTAGTGATCATAAACACATCGAGTATGAAGTTGCTGTTAAGAACGTTGCTATTGTAGCATCTTGATTCATGTATTATGTAAACTAAGCAATACTTAATATTATGATCTTACCAAGATTTTGACATTGCCTATGTTATTCTATATAGATTGTAATTAAAGCTACACGACCATTTCTTGGTTATGTCAGATTGGTAGGTAGTTTGTTTTAGTATCGATACAGTAGGAAGATACGACGTAAGGGTGATATTCGCATTATCTTCATTTTAATATTTATTAGACTACTCGAACCAGTAATCGATGGGAAGACCTATTGTGGCATTTTTTCGTTCCTTATACATTTTATGATATACGGTATGAACTAATCATTCCTGCAGGCATGAACCATGTTTGTGTAATACGATAAATAATAATATTTACCCTTATACTCTCATGATCTAGTATTTTACCTGTCTTATCAAAGGATGCAAATGAATCTAATGATAAAGCTATATTTAGATTACGAAAGGTATTATATATTATTAAATTTGGCATTTTGTGAAATAGATATACGAGATATCTGTATACTAACAGCTAAGGGCTAACGTTTATATTTGCCTCCTTACCAACTTTCATCAATATGTTTACAGGAGATAAGTGAGGCTTTAAATTTGCGAAGTGATCCAATAGTCTCTGAACAGTCTTCGTTATCGGCATCCCAAATAAAAAAACAGGCAGACGGTGATATATTTTATTGATGGAAAAAAGATATTTATTTCTATTGAGCGTTGTATAAATCGTTTATGCTTAATTTTACTATTTAGATGGTGTTATAAATAGCGATAATCCGCAAACTGAAGTTGTTCAACCTGTGACACCACAAAAAGATAGCAGTAAATCCCCCAAGACCACAACACCTACCAGGGATACCAGACTGGCCAAGATGGTGCAACAAGTGCAAGATGTTTTTCCTCAGGTTCCTTACGATGTAATTCAAAAGGATTTAGGTGACTATAAGAATTAAAACTACCCCCAAAAAGCAAAGTAGTGTCAGATGTTAATTTCTGCCTTTGTTATTCTTACAGCTATAACTAAGAACGTTGATGACACTATTGCTAAAATCTTGGATGGCAGAATTAAGTATACGCCTGTAACTCCACCTAAGAAGACCGAAAATAATGAGATATCTACATCAGTAAGATAAATTTGATATTACTATTGCGACATAGTCAAAAATGATATTGATAAATGATCGATGTCCTTTACAGCCTAATAGAAGTTTATTCTCATCTAAGAACTTTGGAAGAAGTTCATCAGAAAGACTTACGTCTCTATTAGATCGAAGGGAAGCTTTAATAGAAAGAGCACGGAAGTAAGCACACATAAAATAATGACAACCTGAGTTCTTGCTTAGCAATTGCGATTCATATTTCTTTCATCTGTTATATATAGGAACTACAGAGAAAACTTAGAAAGTAAATCGAAGTAGAAAGTTTTATAGTATGACAGTGTAGTGTAACTGAATATATATAGATATTTACGGTATAAATGGATACCTATGTTGTATAATATCGATAGAACCTTCCCGATATTTCGACATATTGACTCTTATAAGATTATCATGAGCATTATAAGAATGTCTATTTTTCATAATGCCATGATGAGCATCACCCTATAAAAAATTTTAAATGTGATTTCAAATTCAACTTTTGCAATCTAATTTTAATAGTTATCAAGGCATCTTGATTTGGAACTCACAACTAACTTAATAATGTATTGCTACCGCTGATGGTTATTGCTACATTTTAATAGCCGATCTTTTATGTAATATACAAATCTATCAACTTAGATGTTTGCAACTTCGTCATAACTACACAATGAGTTACCATTAACATAATTCAAGTCGATTTGTAATTGATCACATGTACGCCTACCTTTAGTTGACTAGCAATGTTTTAAAATACGGCGTTAATAGAAACTACTATCTTCATAGTGAATATTATATTCCTTGCAAATACGATATGTGCAATAGGTTACTGTTTTATATCATCTGATTATCCACTTGTTTGTTTAAGAGTTTCTTATCTATAAGTTACAAAGCTTATCAAACATGAACGTGCATCAAAATGCTGAATTCTATATTTAATTATGTATTAGGTTATTGAGATTGTAAATTTAATTTAATGATTGTTGTTACTGCTTTATATAAGAACTGTGCGCGTTGTCACAGTAATAACAATCCAAATAGCATCATATGACAAGTTGTCATTTATTAATACTTCGTATAAAAATTATTGTGCATTAAAAATTTGTACGATAATATTATATTGAACGGTTTATTGTTTATTGTACTATTAACTTATATTAAGATACTGTACATTTCTGTATAAGTTATTTACAGAATAAGATACTATTGTTTTATTAGAGACACTGAAAACAGCTATAAATACCAATGGCATGACATGCATCAGTGCATTTTAGTCCATACAATAGAAATGTTTGCATATAGTCAGGTAATGACAACCTTGATATCATTATTTGGTGACGATCTATGCTCGTACTCTATTAAGCAATAGCTGGCCATCTTTACTTATGACCTTTCATCAAGCACCTTTCTGTATAGATCCGATTCAGTAGAGACGGTAATTCGTCAGTGTTAGTGCACTCCACTTGATAAAGCTGTGGGTTGGAATTTCGGCGTAAATCTGTCATAATATCCTTTCTAATATCATTGAACTCCTTGGATATATCTATATTTTGAGAATTTATTTTCCCTACTACGTATACAATTTGACGAAAGATAACAATTAAATATTAATGGTAGCAAAAGTAGGAATCACTGAATAATAGCAAAGCAAAATAAAAATATTTACCCTTTCCAATATATTGTTGTATAGATTGTGAAACTAACTTTCTCAGTATTTTATCAGCTTGATGTAGGAAATTATTGGCAATAATTGATCGATCTTTCTCCTATCCAATTACCACAATAACAAATGCATGACAGAAATATCAGATCAGATAATGCAAATGCTATTACGAAGTAACCCTCCATTTAATTTAGCTAATTTATAAACCTTTTGTAGCTCATCTGTCGAAGAAATAAATACTACCGGCTTGCTGAAGGTATCTATAGTAAAATCGAGCAACATCTTCCTAGTAGAATAAAAATTTTAAAACATTTCAACGGTAGCCTTACAATCGAAGCAACTTTTAACTTTATAATGCAAAGCAATTTTAGCGGTGAAGCGTCTACATAACGTGTATCTATCTTTCCTTACTAATAAAATATGCATTATCATATCTAAATTTACCAATTATCAGGATCTTCATTGGTACTTTCAAAGATGAAGTTATTGTCTTCCCAAGGAAATTTACTGGAATTGGCAACTTCTAATTTGCTGTCCATTTTTGTAATCGTTGCTTGAGCAACTGGAACTACTCTGTTACAATTTCGCCGAAACGCTACTTCAAGAGGGCACTTTACCCAAATCTGACCATATCCCCATGCATCTACCAGATAAATGTACGACGACAATTTAAAATGCTATAAAACACTAAATACAGTTAAATGATCAACAAATCAGGTATAACTTATGCCAATCAAATACTATGCGTACAGAAGCGAAATACTTTTACAACACAAATTATGCTTTGCAAATAATCACAACGATCTGATAAGCGGTAGTATGTACAGTACTGTAAGATTATCTGTTCTACTATCACTAGTAAATTGGCCCAATTGCATAAATGGATGTAAAATAAATAGATCTATACGAGCATCATTCGCAAATGAATACTGCACATAATAAGAAATAATCACTCACGTTTCTTTGCTAGCTGATAGATCTTATATCGCATACTACGATAATAAAAGTTATCATCTAGTATATAAAGGCACCTACGATATTTTATCATGGATAATAGAGTTATATAATTAGAATTTGTTGTCGAACTCGTTGTATAAAGTACTTTACAATGACATCTCATTTTAACAAATAGCACCTTTTACTGTCTTTCTTAGCAGTCTGTATCATCTCTTTTACGATTTGCCATTTTTCGCGATAATCAGGGTTAGTCTGCCACGGTAGTAGAGTATCATCAAAACATTCATAATATTCAATACAATCCAAAATAAGCTGCCTCATGTTCTTCCATATTGTATCTTCACTATCCTAAAAACGATTGAAGACTTGTTAGTTTCCCAAAACAGTATACTGTGTATCTTGAAACTTCTACGGTTACGTGAGTCATCTCTGGCCCTTGTTATCACTGCATTTCTCGTATCAGGAGATTTTATTAGCTCGTAGTACAGTATAGTATATTACGATTCCTTATATTTATCAAGAACCCTATTTGCGGTCAATGATTAATTACTGGTTCTGGTGAAATTACAAGCTCGTCCACGTATAGTGCTATTATTGACTACTAAAAGAAGATCATCTTTTAATGGCGCCTAGTACCATCACCCAATTCGATATGAGTCATTAAGGAACAATGCTATAGCATTTTTTAAGACTTATGAAGTGGACTGTGTCGGTTGCAGCACAATCTACTTTTACTGCCAACGGGGACATTCTCGTAGTACTGTACTTTTACGCGTCTACTGGCCATCTGAGATAGCTATCATCGTCCAATTTTGAAGAAGATTCTTACGCATAAGCTCCGATATCCGTATGATTTGTAACTAAACCGCTGGAAATCAGGACTTATCGACATAAGGATTGTGCAATAATAACATTCATCGTTGCTGATATTTAATAATAATTCTACTACAAATCACATGAGCTGCAAAATGGGGTATCCGTAATGCATTGCTTGAAGTCACCAATACTGTAAACATATTCATGATTTACCTCCAAAACATTATTATTTGCAATAATAGGTATACTAGTTGTACAGCCTGTAGGCAACTCTTTCTATGCAATAGCATGCATTAACACTCGATTCGTGATGCCTTTACCTGGAAGTCAATTTCCTTAGGTAGTATTGAGTCATAACAAATATGAATGGGGATCAATGGCTGAGCATGATTGGGCAATGCTGATATTAATCGATGAATTAAAGATGTTTTACCAGCACCTGGCAATCCATAAACAGCGAGTAAAACTGTCTGACTAGCCATCTTTGGGAATAACTAATTCATTAAACTGTTCAAAATGTTAACTGGCTTTCATCATTTGGCCTAGAAACTAATCCATCGGTGGTGGAAATGATTCTCTACTTATTTTATTGATTTATTTCTGCTATTTCTGATCCTTATTGGCTGTTTTACTACCGCTTGTAGTAAAGCACTGTACTATACTGTACCGTGTACCAGAAGACCTGGATTGACCACTCTTGGACGGACAGACATCGTTGACCTCATCTTGTCGAAATATTATGCCAAACACTTGGTTATAACAGTACTTACAGAGTTACAGTAAGCATGCAGTTTGCGAATTGGCTGATTTCTTCTAAATTAAGTAATATTATAGTGAATCTTATTGCCTATTAATAAAGTGCTTCTTGGACACAGCTACACAGTATAAGATCGATGATGTTATTTAAATTAGTGCCAGTGCAAACACGCACGGAAGATCCATACTAAGTGGTCATTCTTCGACATTACTGATGGTCTCATTTTGGTCAAAGATTCTGTCTGTCTGAGTTCTTCCCCACATACTACTCTAGTCCATGACGGTAACTACTGCTGTATACTGCTCAAAGAGCGGGTCCAACCTCTTAGGTACAGTATTGGTTAGTCTTGGAAGTCGCTGTCTGTACGATGGTCTACGGACAATTGGACATGGACGACGAGAAGGGTTGCTGGACTGGACACTGGACATTCCGTTGGACGGACAGACACCGGGCTAACTTTGGTCAACCAATTGTATCAAACACTTCATTATGACAGCACTTTAGTATAAAGACTATCGATTGTGAATTGACTGATTTTTGCTATATTAATTAAGTAATATTACATTGTATTCTATTGCCTGTTACTAAGTTTTGCTTGGAAGCAGTAACTTGAGGTCATCCATGTTATTCAAATGAATACGAGCGATTTCCAAAACAGACACGGAAGATGCATACTGAGCAAGTATTTTTGTTTTCGGCCGCATCTGGTCAAGAGTCTGTCCATCCGATACCATCGTAGTTCATGGACATTTAGAGTAATAACGCGCATACTGTAGACAACAGTAGCGTGCAGTACTGTACAATGTACAGTAGTACAGTGCAATGTACAAATGTACTACAGTACTGTACACTGTACAGTATATCGTATCTCTATCGCCTGAACGCCAAGCAAGTCAACCTTTGGTATCGTACCGATACCAAAGGTATCAGTACCAGTACAGTACCAGTACGGTACTGGTCCTGCGAGCGGGTGCGACCATCACATGATTCGATGACGAGAGAGAAAAACGAACCGATCCAAGCATGATGAAAGGTTCGGTTCGGTACGGTACGGTAGAGACGAGTTGCTGGACGGAGTGGAAAGATTCCCTTGGGTACAGTATTGGGGTTGAGTTTTGGAACGCAGTCCAGTAGATATTGGTTCACTATCGCTCGAGTTGATTGGTGAACAAGGTTGAAAAATGGCCGCTTGGGTTCCTCTTGTTATTTTTACTTCTTTCTGGTTTCTTGTAGGTGGTGTTGCGCCTTTCTTTGTCCCTAAAAAGAATCCTAATCGACAGTAAGTTATCCTTATTCTTCATACAGTACGCTATGGCATGGTTGTCGCTGTAGCAACGACACCAATCACTAATGAAGTTCGTCTTGTTTAATAAACTGTCCATGCTTAACTAACGCTAACGCATTAGTCTATTGGAGTAGATCGACAGTATTTCAGTTTATTTGACAGCATACAGTAGTGTCAAAATAGCTTGAAAATGAAATTTAGATGGAGATAGGACGATCCATTTTAAAGTCTTGTTATGGTCCATTCTCGACATGACTACTGCATACGAGTAGAATACTTGAGTACAATTACAATACTGCTCAGTCGATGATTACGAGTATATCGCTATGGCTGAAATAGTTGCGGCCGTTCAATTCAATTTTGGGACAATGTTACTGTTGGTATTGACTTTAAAACTCCATGTTATCCATGCTATGTAGAAACGAATAAACATGACAATTCATTTTCTTTCTTAGGTTAATCCAGACCATGTTGGTTACAACGGCTGTCTGCTGCTACTTATTGTATCCTTACTGATTATTTTTTTCCAAAAGTACAATAAAATCCACTTCACTTACCAGTAGCACATCTGACGGTGTCTTGTTGTACTAATCTTAGTATATAGTATGCACATTGGCTAGTAAAATCTTTACTTTCAGTGATAAAAAGTGCCTGGAACACATAGATAAAATCGACCAGGATGAATCGTTAGGTCTGTCCTGCTTCTTCCTTAACTGATCATTCTATTTCAGCTGGCTATGTGCTTACTTGACTCAACTGAATCCCTTAATTGGACCATTGCTGAAGAATGAAACGTTGAAAGTGATGATTAAACAGTGGGCACATCGTTCGATCTAATAGCCAGTCATCTTTTCCATCTTGTTGAAGTAATTCCAAATCAAATGAATATTCTATAGAATAATGGACATCATCGATGCCGATGCGAGTAACTACGTTCGAAAATTCTGACAGTTTTGGACATCAAAATAGTAAAATAAATAGAATGACTATAAGATTTGGCTACGACATAGAATAAGAAATCGCATCTACGATCATTCTGTGCCTTACAGCAAAACCAACAATATGATATGATAAGGTTGATGTAGATGCTTGCTTTATCCTTTGTATTGATGATGATAAAATCAGTAGTAATTGCTAGCTCATGGCTATAATATTCTTATAGTACTGACCATGAATGAAATTTTTGATAATGAATAGCTGAAAGTAATGCCATTCTAGTAATATTTTTACTGTTCTTCGTTAGATTAGATGTAATTTTAGTTTTGTTCTTCTACCTTCTTCTTAACCGTAACTTATCTACTTCCGGCATAAAGGAATAGATTATGATTGTGATAGCATCACATCTATTTCACTCACTGTTATTATTAGTACGGCGAAAACAAACCAATAATAAGAATCTACTCATGTCTCTTACTTCTATTAATATATCCATATTATGTCTTGATGTAATGAATTTAATATATAATATTATATCTTGACATAAGGAAACTAATGTACATTACAATAAATACGGACGGTAACTAAGTTCACGTAATTTTTTGAAGTTCTGTTAAAGGCAATGTAGTATCTTGAATGTCTGATTCTCGTAGTACATTGAAAACTTGATATTTCATTCCTTGTTTCTACTTCATTGTGTCAGAATAAATGCGTTAACGATACTGCAAGAAAATCACCTATAGCCACAATAATATCTAGTCCAATTTGACTTTGATACTTGCTTATTATTTGAACGTCATTTAAAGCACCTACCATCAAATTATATTCTACCAATAATTTATTATTAAAACAACTTGGCTCGTATTATGTCAATATATTATCGAGTACGGTATTCACTACCCTTGCTAGAATAAAGTGGGCAACCATCGTAGTAAAGTATAAGCCAAATCAATTTGTTGCAACCTCCAAGTAATCCATATTATAATGATTTACTGCATTCCTAGGCTATAGCTGTAATAGGCGTGGAATTGCTATCCCATGCAAACGAACTATTCGAATTTCAAATATCGCAGTATTGTATCTATAAAGCACTACACTAATTTATAATATTTTTAGTAGGTCTCGTATATCTGGTAATACATAACTGTAGATTAATACATTCACATATTATACCATGGAAAGCATTGTACTGTAGAATAGAGTTATTTTCGAATAACTTATCAGACGCATGGACAGAGATTTTAACAAGAGTGCTTATTACGCCCTTGCACTATTGCTTAATGCCATACTTCATTAAATGACTGCATCAATATGATAACTGATGAATCAACTTAAAAATTAGCAATGGTAGTGGTAGCATAGGATCGAATTCGATCCGGAACATGGTGTAGTAAATCTAACTTTTCAACTGCAAATGATGACCTTATGTTCTGCGCTATCCACGTGATGGTCATCATTTGAACGACCTTATGGTTACCTAGAATGGCAGATTGAGGTATAATATCTTCATTTTGACGCACTAGTATAGAGTAGGATATCTATCACGTACTTCTACACCTGAAAATTATTCTAGTCTGTGATCAATATTGAATATTACTCGATTAGCAACATATGCAACGTGATATTTCCTACAGTAACGGTATATCGACTATACCAAAGTGAGCATTAACCATTTGCATATTCATGCGTCATCAGCGTCAATATGTTACCCATTTTAATCCAACCATAATGAAAATTATGGCCATACTGATACTAATATGCCAACAGGATGACTAGAATACTGCATAATAAGTTTCTAATATGAAAATTATATATAATTAATTCTAAATTAAAGTTAGCCTGCCTGATGTTCCTGACTGATGTCAAGATACTGCTGTCTGTAGTAGACGGCATAAGCGCGTGAAGAAATAGCAAGACATCATGTCGGGTTTACCAGCATTTCTAGGCATCACCTTTTCCTGGTTGTTTATAGGTGCTGTTGTGCCATTTCTGATTCCAAAAGCAAATACTAACCGCGGGTAAGTGAATTGCTATTCAGAAATATTTATTAGCCCTAAGCAAGATCGATTGTAACGCCATCATCTCCAGGTATTAGAAAGAAATGCCGTCAGAGAAATGGGAAGACACAAACTGTTTTAAAAATTGACGCTATCTGCTTAGCAATGAAAGTGAACACAAATCGATTTTGCATACTAAAATCATGTTTTATTTCTTTGAGAAATCTCTAAAACGTGACCTTAAACATGTAGAAAATTACCAATCTTTACTTGGGGATCTATTTTATTCTCAGATAGACCTGTTTCGACTGCTATCGTGTTGTTAATTGATGCAACAGGGTAAAAGAGATACAGGATATCCTAAACATCAAAGTTAGCTAATTTTAAAGTTTGATTCCATAAGTAGAGTTGTAAAGAGAAATTAAGAAAGTACTTGGATACAAAATTAAATCTTATTCATTGTAGCTAATTAGTCTCTCTATAGTTTCTTATAATCCAGCTAGGATAGGAAAGGTGTAATATGTTTCGTTATTAATACGCGTATTAGTTTCCAATGCCTAAAAATTTTGTAATCGACCCATGACTCGCTTAGCATCATTACTCAGAACTTTCACTAGTTGAAACTTTTAGTTATCATCCAAATTTTCTTTCTAAATCACTAAAGTCACAATAAAATAGATGATATGGATTACGGTAGTCAATTTTTCAGTGTAATCTGTATTTAGCGTTAGCTAATAGCTCTTTCCGAATTCATCTTACCATGTCTTGCTGTGACATATGTCTTCCTGTTTATTGCAACTCTTCTACGACTTATCTGCTAATCTATAAAGCATTTTAGATAAAGTGACTATTTCGCTTCAAAAATTATCAGTAAATGATCTGCATTTTCATTCATTAGCATTATTTAATATCACCAATAGCAACTTTTACGAAGATACAATAAAATCTAAATTCGAAAACTCATATGTACTATACAGTAGAATTGAATATATTTTTGTTATTTTCTCTAGCCTGATACAAACATGTGTGGTCATTGCGGCGTTCTGTGGATGGATGTTGTATCCTTTACTACAATGATTCGAGAATTCAATGATAGCATTACACGAATCTTATAGCGTATAGAACGTTAACTAACACTGTTAAGGTAGTATATAATCAAATATGTCAATATTCTAGTTTGACTTTTACTGAAAAATAAAAAAATAGCTGGTTAATAGTCTTTTTGGCTCAGCTGAATCCATTAATTGGGCCTGAATTAAATAACCATACACTTCATATTATGATCCAACAATGGGGCAGAAGAGATGGCTAGAAATGGAGCACATCTGATCTAGGTATAGCACATTTTCTACGGGATTATAGTTTTCAACCGATCAGCATTTTAAGCACGGTTAATATAGCGCGTTATCAAGTCTAAATATCTACACATGCTATAAACCGTTACGTTAAGAAGCCATCATAATTATTTTATTATTTATAGATGGAAATAGAATGCTGCTATTTAGATTGGAATATCAATTGGATTTTGCTTATCGTAAGAAATATATGTACAAGCCAACATAATGAGAAACGACAACATTGATTTATATTTTAAAAGCTATGGTCTGAATTCTAATACTTTTCTGATAGAACTGAATATATACTTGCAATTTGTCTCTGATCTACTTATTATAAGTATGGTAGTGGATAATAGATTTAATTTCTACTTCTACTGTTTATAATCTAGTATTAAGACTATTAATTTAATAGGATGCTGTTATTATTCTTTCCTTCTTCAGCTGGTTAAAGTTATCATAATTACAAATTTTAACAGTTAATAAAAGATAGTTTAACTTCAAAGTCTAGCCTAAGAGACTTAAAAGACTACTATTGTGATATAGACTAATAGGTTAGTTTCATTATTACAGCTAATATGTCCATGACATTTTAAGATCGGCTAGGAGTAACAGTAATTCGGAAAGAAGTATTCCCCGTCCTAGAATGCGTGCCTATACCTACTTTATAGAATTTATTACTACTGTATTTCATTCGTAGATATTTCATATTACCGCATAGCTTAGGTAACCCCATAATTATCAATTGTTAGGCTAATAAACTCTTATTTGTGATATGGCTAGTACAGTATTAGATAATATAAGACCCAACTGCAAGAGCAAGATGCATGTACGATCTAGGCATTCAAGTAATTGCAAATTAAAATTCTATCTTCTTATATTTCAAAGAGAATTTTTACATCATATGCCAATCTACTGTCAGAATACAGCTAATCCATTACCCAAATTATTCCGTTAAAAAATATCACCTAGATTTGTTAGGAATGGGCAATTATGGTCTTTTCTAGATCAATGAAATGATATACAATGTAACATTAATAATTCTAAATTATCGGCAAAGTACTGAAAGCTACAGTTATCTATAATTAATCAAAATATAGAAAATATTATCAACATAACTACGGATTTCGTAGGCAGTCCTTTACTACAACGGTAAATACTTAATAAACAATTAATCATATCATTTACGGCGTTATTAAACTTTCGAGAAATTTCAATCACTATTACAATCATCTCATGGGTGTAAAGTATGAGTACATTATTTTTAAATTGCTACAATACAATAAAGCCAGTTTTTATCCATGATTACAGTCGCTCTACATGGTATATAGTTTTAAATCTTTACTTCCTAATGATACCTGTCAAGAATTACTGTATAGGTTAACATTGGTACTTTAGCGAGGTTTATGTTGATAAGAAAGGTTCATGATCATCATGCATTATATTTTTGTATTATATGAAATTTATAAGATTACTTAATGATCTGTTTAATATAGCAAGAGAATATATTCCACAATCTATTATAATTATTGACAACTGATGGGTAAGATTAGCTAACAGTGAGTATTAGTGCATATAGTAGCAAAAATTAGCTAATTTACCTGCATATATGAATAGAATTTCTTAATGCATCTTGATTAAGCAACAAATAGCTATGTGCACGAGATCAGCTAGAAATGAAGATGCACATTACTTAATGTTCATAGTCGCTAAAGTTGGCTAATGTACATGTATATACGCTTAAAATTTCCTGACGCATTTTGGTTGAGCAACATATAGCTAAGTGCACGAGATCATTTTGAAATAAGATATCTAAAATGAACATATTAGTGCTCAGAATACAAAAATGGCTAGCTAAATTGGTGAGATCGGCTAGCAATGAACATTATGCAGTGCTGATAGTAACAAAGATTGCTTAATAATAGCGCTTTGTACGTATATACGAAATTTTCCATATCTATCTTGGTTGAGCAACAATAGCCAAATAGCG